AATATGTCGGCTGCCGTTGGGGGGCTGTTGTGCCCGCGTAGGCAGCCGGGTTGTATGCCGCCGGCGTGTAGCTGGACTGAGTGGGAGACGTGTAGGAAGTCGGCGAAGCGGCTGACCCATACCTGCTCGAAGGGGCTGGGTGGTATGGCAAAGACGCGGAGGCGGTCGATGGCGTCCGCGCAAAGGCCTGGGGGTTGTAGTTGGAGTGAGAAGACGTTGGGGGCGACGAAGCCTGGTACTGGTGCTGGTAGCCGGAGAGCGCATTATTGTTTGAGCCGTAGCTGTGACGGCCGCCGCCGGAATAGCTCGAGGCAGTGGGGCTCGTCAGGAAGAGTTCGTCCTCGCCCCTCGAAGCAGACGGCTGATGGCCTCGGGCTTGCGCGCGGGTCTGGTCGAACATGGCGGCGTCATCACCGTTGTTGAAACTCGGGCGTCGGGCGAGGTAAGCAGAAGACTGGTCTTGCGACTGCTCAGGTGTGGGGTATTGCACGGGAGGAAGGTGGCCGTAACGGCGCTGGCCGTCGCCTCGGAAAGACATGGCGATCGCAAGCGAATGATGGCGACAGCGAGGTCGAGACGAGTCGTTGAAGTCAGCCTCTCCCACGGGCTTCTATATCGACCTGTTGAGGATGCTGGAGGAGGTCGATTGCATCTGTTCGTGGCGAGCTCGATCGAGGTTATTGCCCGCTGGACCGTGCAATTCGTGAGTCGACGACGGATTGTTTGGATATACACCTAGAAGTGAATCGTCGCTGGTTTATTGACGGTGCTGCTCGATGGAGAGTTGACCGATCGTTCGTCGCAGGGTGAGGTTTCGTGTGGTTATGGCGGTGGTAGTTGTGTGTCGCGGTGATGTGCTGCGCTGCGCTGTAGTGCGGCGCAGACGGGCGTAATAGGACCGAGGTCCTTGGGCTGGCCTCTGGGTAGTGATATGCGGCGGGGGCAAGTTGGGGAGAAGGTTGTTGGGCTGATGATGGCCTAGGACTGACACACAAGCCAGAGCAGTTGTCGCACTACAGACAGGAAGCTAAGCGACCTGGGGACAGTGGTCAGGCGCAGAATAGCAGTGCGGCTCCGGGGAAGAAGGTCCTGCGCGCAGAACTTTGGGTGTTGTCAGGTGAGAGTGAGTGGCCTTGATACAGAGTCAAGGACGTCAAGGCCGAGAGTGAGGCAGCAATGACAGACGGTGGGTGGGGTGGGGTGCGTCTTGCCAGTTGGGGAGAGCGAACCAAGCCACGAGACCGGGCCTGGAGATTCGTCACAAAGTTACAAAAGCCAGAGTCGTCTGTCGGGTTTGGCTTGGGGCTGGCGGTATCGATCGCGCAGGGCGGACGTGGACGGCTTTGGCGTCCCGAAGTGAGGTGAGGTGAAGTGAGGTCCGAGGCCCGTTTCCAAGGATGTTGCCGGGCAAAACGGGGACTTTGGTCTGCTCTGGTTATGTCTCTGATGCTTGTGTTCCTCTTAATGTCTTGTTTCTTTTTGCGGTTCGAGTCGCAGACAGTGGCTGCGTTCGTCGTGTGTGTTTGCGCGCTCACACACTTCCTCGATGCCTGGCCCGTCGGAATTGGGGTGGGGGTGGGGGAGGTCTTTTTTTCTTCTTTTCTTTCCCCCTTTTCTTTCCTCGGTCAGAAGACGAGTGCAGTGGTCTCGTGCCGGGTCAGGTTGTGGTGCAAGAAGAGAGAGACACCACACCTCACTTTCGGTTTTCACCTTTTTTCGCTAACGATGGGTAGGTAGGTCGGTAAGAGGGAGGCAGGCTGGCTAGGTACCATATGCGAAGGTTGTGCGTTTGTAGGTGGGTAGTGGGAGGTGGGAGGCGGAGGACCGGGGAGGGGAAGCGGCGCACCGGGGCCAAATTATGAGGCACCAACGGAACGGGGGAACGAACAAACAGCAAAGGAAACTAACTAGTCTTGTGTCCTAGGAATAGGCCCGGCGGTCACCGTACCTAGTCGTGTGCCTAATCTGGTTGTATTTCTGTTACCTATCTGCCAGAATATCGCCCTGCTCTGGTGCCAAGAATAAGAGATTGAGATTGTATGTGTGATGTATGTCTAGCTGTGTCGAACAAAGTCTTGGCTTGGCCGAGGCCATGCACCCACGGGCTAGGCACTCTACAGAAAAGTACATTGGCCCGCTTGCCTGGACGTCGCCTGTGTTGGGTCCCGATCCTCGACCTCGACAGCATTCAGAGGAGAGACAAGGGGATGATCCGAGCATGAAAGATACTCAACCACACCCACTTGTATTGTATTGTAACGTGCTACACTGATAGAGACCGACATACTCGGGCCACCTGCCCGACAGGAAGGGTGGGTGTCTACAAGAGAAGTGGAACAAAGGCGGGAAGACACATACGTACGGATACAGGACACCAGACACCACCCATGACTTGATAGTGTAAAGACGTCTGATGTCCGGCTTGGGCCTCCTCGGATAACGTGCATTATCAGACTGCCTGGGGTGTATGTTCACCATCATGTAAACTACCTACCTATAAGAGAGGGTGGTTCATTCCAATACCAACAAGGGTATACAAGAAGAAATTCGACCGTGAACTGGTTTGGAATAGGTCATGTATTCTCTAATTATGGGCCGAGCTGAAATGACGCCTGGCCCTGAACAGCAGGTTAATCTGGAAATCTACCATCAATCATACATCATCATATCACACTTCACTTCACTTCAGGTCCAGCCTGTCCAACGCCCTTGGCGCACGGAAAATTCCAACAATTCAGGGTCCCTACCGGGTGGATATCAATGTTTTAGCGAACTCTATCCTCGTTTAGAAAGTCCTCCAATACTACCTTTGACAAGGACCATACCTCCTTGGCCTCCCGCGGGAGCTCCAGTCTAACCGCCCCCAGCTTCATCTCATTTGACGGTCAGAGACGGAAATGCACTGGTATTTTTTTGCCTTTGTCTTTGTTTCTCGGCCTACTGCCCATCAATATCCATACACTGAGTATCATACCACAACGGCATTGAGGTGGTCGGCACGCCGGCGACCTCCCCCTCCAGACAGACCTAGGCTTGTCTAGTAGGAGAAATGTCTGCAACCATGAGATGCGGAGATGGCCAGTTTCTCTCCACGTGTCCCGCCAGAATCGTGCTCAACCCGTGCGCTGCAGAGCCGTGGCCGTCGCTGTCTCACATCTCGCATCCGGCACCCACGCCCACGGTAGCGAAGCTACCCTCCTCTGGAACCAGCTTTGTTTTCAAGTCAATCCCCTACCTGTCCCGTTTCACTAACCACAGACATTGTTGTTGATAACAAAACAAAAAGAAAAAAAAGAAAGAGGAGTTGTCGGCAGGGCCGGAAGCTTCCCACCATGCTGCGGCATGGACCATGAGCCTCTCTGTCCGTAGGGCTGACTGCATCCGGAGGGCACGGCACACGGTTCGTGGGATTGGTTCTCTGCACTCGTCAGCATTCCTAAACGGACGGATGCCAAACGCGACTGGCCGGTCAGTTCGGCATCATGCAGGAGGCGTGTCGGGGGAGGGGCTCCTTTTGCCTCAAATATGTTCCACTTGTTCGGGTTCCCCGTCCCTTGACGCTCCTGTCTGCGAGCGTCGCGAGACGAACCAGTCGGGTAAGGACGGATACAACTGCAATCCTGATATCGAGACTGCTTTGGCTGCAATTGATTACTGCTCCGAGGGTCTACGTTTACGAAGAGGGCGAGCATTTGTTCTGAATAAGCACAACACACCATAGCACATAATGCTGCTGGGCCTGGAGGAACAGATGTTTCAATGCCGACATGTTAGCCACCGTCCAGCCACGGCAACGACTTGTATGACGCGTTAGATCTGTTTGTTTTCGGGATGAGCCCTGCAACTGCCCCTCCAGCTCAAGGCCAGGGCTTTATGATAGTGTCGGCGGCGTATACAGAGTACAGTGCATCGCGATGAAAATGGCTGCAGCTCGCGATTGCGGGTGGCTTTGTCGACCCGATCTGGACACTTACTGGGCTACTCCCCGCCGTATCAGCGCGTCGTCGACCAACGACAGTAAAAGCCTATTACGGCGCCTCATCTCAGCAAGATGAAATCTTTCAATTGTCAGGACTGCAGATGGATCGGAACAGCCGGATGCCTGCCATGCCTCGTCGTTTTGATTGCTGGCCCAGGCAGGTTCGGACCACGTTTTGCGGCTTGCGGCGATTCTGCTCTGCCGTGCCGCCGTGCCGTGATCGTGATGCTAACCTGCCCGACCTCGGGGGAGGTGTTAGTGAGGGGCTGTTCAGCGAAAATGTGGGACCAGTGCCCTGTGCGGCTGGCTGGCCGACCATCGGCTCCTCACCCTGGTGCTAATGGTTGATGGTTCACGTTCTGACAACGCGGAGTCGAAGCAGCAACAAGGCAACTGGTAAACCTCTCTCTCTGCCTGCTGTTCCTGTCGTGCTGCATCATGCATTTGTAAGCGTTCTAAATGCCACGGCGACAGCAAGCCAACCAGCTGCGCTCGAAAGCTCATCCTGAGCCCACTTCAGTCAAGATGACGACAATGAGATACTGCCAGAGCGGGGCAGAGGCCATCCATCCCCCCACCATCCAAGCATAAGATGGCACCCAGCCGGGCCGGTACGGAGAAGAGGGGGAGATACGGACTTAGGGAGGGGAGGGGAGGGGAGGGGGAGCATCAGTGGGCGAGGAAGGATGCTGGACGAGTAGGAGAGCGAGGCGAGGCGGCGAGCGTCTGGTACTCGGATCTCCGAATTGTTCCCCGTCTTCGGCTCAGAGTTTGTGCAATCTTGTGCCATGCCGCCTTTGCATCCTGTCCTGTCCTATCCTGGCGGGCGTAAGCCTCTTTCTTTGTCTTTCCATCTGGGGCTGGTGGTCCCCCCAAAGGCTCCATAAGGTACTTCCACCTTCTTCCCCTCTTTGCACCATAAACCTTCATCGCTCTTCTCCCCAACAACTGTCGATTGAGTAACCACCTCACGCTACAACAAACCAATTCAAACCAGAAACAAAAACAGAAATCATTCAAAATGGTCAAGGCTGGTAAGTACGACTCTTTATATGTGCTGAGCCGCAGCACTGGGGATGGAGGGGTCACGCAGTCCAACCATGCATTTGAGCTGGATTGAGCGGGTTTTTTCATGAGGAGAGTGAGGCAAAGAGGAAACACCCTGATGGCTCTGCAACATGCCACGACTGGGAACAACTTTCCGTTGGCCAATCTGCAAGCTCGATCGACTCCATTCTCGCGTCCCTTGCCTCGCAGCTCCCGACCTGCTTGGTCCGAGTGCAGATGGTTTCCGTCGTTCCCGTCGTGGAGAAGCCTGGGGTGTTCTGTCCGATGGGGAGGGTGGGAAGGAAGGGGCCCAGCAAGAAATTGAAGACGAGGATCAGCCGGTTGCTAACTTTGTGTTCTAGTCGCTGTCGTCCGTGGTGACTCCAAGGTCACCGGCTCCGTCATTTTCGAGCAGGAGTCCGAGTCCGCTCCCACCAAGATCACCTGGGACATCACCGGCAACGACCCCAACGCCAAGCGTGGCATGCACATCCACACCTTCGGTGACAACACCAACGGCTGCACCTCTGCCGGCCCTCACTGTAAGATCATCCCCAGGTATCCCGAGCCCTGTTTCAGGGCAAGAAAGTTTTGGGTGAAAGAGAAACGAGGTTGCTGACCACGGAACACTGCAGTCAACCCCCACAACAAGGGTCACGGCGCCCCCGAAGACGAGGACCGCCACGTCGGTGACCTTGGCAACATCGAGACCGATGGACAGGGCAACTCCAAGGGCACCGTCACCGACAAGCACGTCAAGCTGATCGGCCCCGAGAGCGTCATCGGCCGCACTGTCGTTGTCCACGGCGGCACTGACGACCTCGGCAAGGGTGAAAACGAGGAGTCCAAGAAGACTGGCAACGCCGGTCCCCGCCCCGCCTGCGGTAAGTACCTACTGCTGGATGCTGTGCCAAAAGAAAGAGACGAGGTCTAACAATATTTTGCAGGTGTCATTGGCATCTCTAACTAAGTGTCTTGGTCCCCAATCTAGCTGTTGTCCGGATCGAAGTGCGGCCCGAGGCGGGGTTATCGAGCTTGAAGGTCCTCGGAAGCTACCATAACCAGGCGACAAGCTTTCGTTGCTGAATTCCGATATCGCGATGGTATACTCGGCCTCGAGCTTCGGTCCGTACTCTGTGCATAAAATAAAATAAAAAGTACCGTAATTTCTGTTCTCGTATCGTGATGTATCGGCCTTTGTGATGTCTTAACTGGTTTGTTCGGTGGTGATGGTGGGGTTGGTCCTTGCACTGTGAGGGGTAAGAGATGACGTGAACAGCGGTAGAACTGGCATCACAAGTGGCTGTGCTTGCTTTTCTACCTGAGCACCGGCCATTTGTGATACTCCATCCTGCTTGTCATACATAGTACAGGTGAGAGAACAGTTGATGCACATAAGATCCAATTGAATCCACGCAGCCCCTAGACCGGTCACAACGCCGAACTATTGCCTCGGTCACCAAACGATGCCTTGTTGTCCTTCTGGCTATGGAGGCTTAGATGCTACGCATGTAATAGGGGAAGGAAGCTGTCCTTACTAGGCACGAAATCCGAAGGTGCAATGCCCTACATAAGCTCTTCTAAGTAAACTAGCTCCAACCCCGCTCTCGCTTAGCCACCCGCCGCCTGCAACTGGCCAGCGGCGAGCTGCTACCCCTGCCTGCAGCCTCCGTGTGGTCCCTGAACCTCCTTTCCCCACACTTGCTTGCTCAAGACCCGGCGAAATTGAGGCAAGCTGTCAAAAAGGCGGTAGGTACGACTGACTGTCGAACCTTCATCGAATGATCACCTGTTGTTACCCCTTCTTCTCTCAACTCTTCCTTTTCCCTGAAATCCATCACCGCATCCTCTCTCTCCCTTCCTTCCTCTCTGTCATATTCGCTCCCATCTCCCTCTCATTATACTGTATCCGTAAGTCAATTGGATTTTCTTTCGTCACAACTGCTACCGAAGGATCCCCTTTCCGTCCATGGTTCAGTCCACGGCTAGCTAATGTCGCTGCCTGGAGACACTGCACCTATCCATGCAGCTTGCAAACGCCCTCATCCGAGCACACTTCTTTGTTTTCTCAGCCGCATGTGCAAAAGGAGTCACAGATTGTGCAGCAGTTCCGCTACTTTTGCTATGCCAAAGGTCTACAAGCAAGCTATTGCTGTAGACTACCTGCGACGGCAAGACCGAGACAATGAACACTAAAGATTCAACGGCCACTGCAAGCAGCTCGAAATGGACAGCGCACTAACTTGGTACAGTGTATCTTCTAGACGCCCGGTCGCTCATTGATCATCCATCATGTCGAAGCCCTTCTTCGCCAAGGTCAAGAGCGTGCTGAGTGGCGACACCCTCGTCTTGACCGCTCCCAACAACCCGAAAGCCGAAAAGACCTTCTCCCTCGCATATGTTGGCGCGCCTCGCTTGAGCAAGGAGGGCGACGAGCCCTTCGCTTTCCAATCAAGAGAATACCTCAGGGAACTCGTCGTTGGCAAGCAGATCCAATGCACAGTAGCTTACACTGTACCCTCTGGACGTGAGTTCGGCACTGCTCTGCTCTCCAAGGACGGCCCCTCGCTTCCCGATGAAGCCGTCAAGGCCGGATGGCTCAAGGTCAGGGAAGACGCTGGCCGCAAGGAAGACGACGAAGCGATTTTGCAGCGTCTCGAGAACCTGCGCAACTTGGAAACCGAGGCCAAGAACGCCGGCAAGGGTGTGTGGTCCGATAAGGGCGGCCACATTGAGGTTCAGAATGACCTCGGCGGTCCCCAGTTCATGAACGAGTGGAAGGGCAAGACCGTTGATGGAATTGTCGAGCGGGTCCTTAGTGGCGATCGTCTGCTCGTGCGACTTCTGCTTTCGGATAAGAAGCACGTGCAGGTCATGACGCTGCTTGCCGGAATCCGCACGCCGACCACTGAGCGAACGATACAGTCTACCGGCCAGACCCAGCCTGCTGAGGAGTTCGGAAACGAGGCCAAGTCGTTCGTCGAGGAAAGGCTGCTCCAGCGTCGCGTCAAGGTTGATATCGTTGGCGCCAGTGCCCAGGGACAGCTGGTTGCGGCCATCATCCACCCCAACGGCAACAAGAACATCGCCGAGTTCCTCCTGTCCGAGGGTCTTGCGAGATGCAACGACTTCCACTCTACCATGCTCGGCGAGAAGATGGCCAGCCTCCGTGCTGCTGAGAAGACTGCCCAGGGCAAGAAGCTGCGCATGCATCAGCACCACGTTGCCAAGGCCGATGCCTCGTCTTCCGACATGGTGGTCGCCAAGGTCATCGGTGCGGACACCATCATCGTTCGCAACAAGGCTGGCACCGACGAGAAAAGAATCAACTTCAGCAGTGTCCGCGGTCCCCGCAACAACGAAGCGTCTGAGGCGCCTTACAAAGATGAGGCGAAGGAGTTCCTGCGCAAGAAAATCATCGGAAAGCACGTCCGCATTAGCATTGATGGTTCTAAGCCTGCTGCTGATGGTTTCGAGGCTCGTGAAGTTGCCACGGTGACTGAGAAGGGCAAGAACATTGGCCTGCTTTTGGTCGAGGAGGGCTACGCTTCTGTGATCCGCCACCGCAAGGACGACACTGACCGCTCGCCCAACTATGATGAGCTTCTCGCTGCTCAGGAGAAGGCCAAAGAAGAGAAGAAGGGTATCTGGTCTGGCAAGGCGCCCAAGATCAAGCAGTTTGTTGACGTTTCCGAGTCTCAACAAAAAGCCAAGATCCAGCTTGGTACACTGTCAAGACAGAAGAAGGTGCCCGCCGTTGTTGACTTTGTCAAGTCTGGATCTCGTTTCACCCTTTTGATTCCTCGTGAGGGCATCAAGCTCACGCTGGTTTTGGGCGGTATCCGCGCTCCTCGCGCCCCGGGTCCCCGCGGCGAGAAGGGCGAGGAGTTTGGCCAGGAGGCCATTGACCTTGCCAACCGCCGCTGCAACCAGCGCGATGTCGAGGTTGACATTTATGACATTGACAAGGTCGGTGGGTTCATCGGCGACTTGTACATCAACCGCGAGAACTTTGCCAAGCTGCTTGTCGAGGAGGGTCTTGCCTCCGTCCACGCCTACTCCGCTGAGAAGTCGGGCAACGCTACCGAGCTGTTTGCCGCCGAAAGGAAGGCCAAGGAGGGCCGCAAGGGTATGTGGCACAGCTGGGACCCGTCACAGGAGGAGGAAGAGGAGGAGGCGCCCGTCGACACCACAACCAATGACACCCCTGAGGCTTACGAGAACAAGCCCAAGGACTACCGCGACGTAGTGATCACCAACATTGATGGCAACGGCAAGATCAAGATCCAGGAGATCGGCAAGGGCACTGCCGCCTTGACGACGCTCATGAACGACTTCAAGAAGTTCCACCTGGACTCCAAGAACAGCAAGCCTGTCGGTGATGCACCCAAGGCCGGCGACTACGTCGCGGCCCAGTTCTCGGCCGACGGCCAGTGGTACAGAGCGCGCATTCGCTCCAACGACCGCGCGGCCAAGGTGGCCGAGGTTGTCTACATTGACTACGGAAACTCGGAGAAGCAGCCTTGGTCCAAGTTGAGACCGCTGGACCAACCCCAGTTCACCGTCCAGAAGCTCAAGGCGCAGGCCACCGACGCCTCACTGTCGTTCCTGCAGCTGCCGACGGCGCCCGAATACTTTTCAGAGTCTATCGGCTTCATCGCTGAGCTGACTGAGGGTAAGGAGCTGGTTGCCAGCTTCGACTTTGTTGACAACAAGGAGGGTGTCAGCTACATTACGCTCTTTGACTACAACGCAAGTGACAAGAAGCCGGGCCCGAACGACTCCATCAACAAGGAGATTGTTGCCAACGGCCAGGCCATGGTGCCTAAGAAGCTCAAGGCGTGGGAGCGCAGCAGCCAGCACGCGGCTTACCTGAAGCACCTAAAAGAGGTGGAGGCCAAGGCGAAGGAGGAGAGACTCGGCATGTGGGAGTACGGTGATATCACCGAGGACTAAAGGAAGCGGACGACGATTATGGGCAGGATAGGGAGATATCTTTGGGTTTGGGGGGCGGCGGTTCAGGAAAAGTCCATACATAATTCCCAGTAGCCTTGCATGAATCAATAGGCGGCATGAGACCTTATCAGGTTGGCCGATACGATTGTTTTTGAGTTCGTGGCATTCACAATCATGGCTGCATGGGAGGTGTTGGTGTGAGTTGGATTTCCGAATTGTGACGGAGATGTGAAAGCCAAACGGTTGTTGGTTCTCGGAGTTTACGTAATGGGGTGGTGTTGTTCGCCGGTGCCGTTTGGTGGGCGGGACGGTCGGCCGGTCGGTGCAACGTCTCCTTCCCACCAAGGCGAGACCAGGGTCAGGAAAACCGAGCAGGTCACGGTACGTACGGTGGGAGGCGGTGGAAGGCCAGAGAAGCACACGGGAAAGAGCCAGTAGAGCCTGCTGGAGCCGGAGTTTCCTGATTCGAGTGGGGGTGTGTTTTTGGGAAAGGTGGGGGAATGACTTGGCGTTTTTTATTCGTTTTTTTAGCGGGCTAGAATGGTGACCGGGAAAAAAGCTCGCCAGACATTGGCGCGGAAGTGCTGCTGTACAGGCTCTCTCTCTCTCTCTCTCTCTCCCTCTCTCCCTCTCTCTTTCTCTCTCCCCCTCTGGGCTTTTATTTTCTCACGATAACGGAACTCGTTCCCTTCCAGCGCGGGGGTGGAGGGAACAACACCTAGCAAATGTCGCCCAGAGATAACGGTAAAAAAGGCTATGGCAAAGCGGCAATTCAAGCGGCTTGCGGATCTGACGGATAAATGACGATTGGGGGATCCCGGCACGAGAGCTTTTGGGCCAATGGCTAGTGATGGCGAGCACGTGGTGAAAGGCGAGAAACACGAATGGTCTGTCTCTCTCTCTCTCTCTCTCTCTCTCTCTTTTCTTCCTCTTCTTTGTCTTATTCTACTCCTCCGTGGGCTTTGGAGGGAGCTGAGTAATAGCCGAACGCGCGGGTCTCGCGATGCTGTACCGTTCTTTCCTAATTCGGCCACTTGGTCACTTTCGGGTGAGTGAAGAACAGGCTGCATAGGTATATGAGAAAGGCCTACACTAGTCTCGAGCAAGGGGCGATGAGTAAACCCAGGGCTCATTCCCGAGCCGGGACGGACGGATGAACGGATAGGTAGTTAGGGCGTTTGACGGCGTCTGCGGTAGGTTTCGATGGCCATGGGGCTCAACATTCGTTCTCGTACATCGCCCATCACCGAAATAAAGAGAGGGACTGATGCTGCTCGAGTCGGGCCTTTCTCATCCCACTTGGTCGCTTGGCCAGCGGTATTCCTCGCTTCTGCAGCCGTGTGCCTTGGTTTTCCAATTTGTCCTTGCATTTCTTGTATGAGCGATTCAAGCAGCTCGGGTAGAGATGCAGTATGGACAAATCCCATGGCGATTCGCGATTGCATGGCTCCGTTTTGGTGTTTTATTATGGGGATGTTACGTCGACGTTGGCCCGTCCGTACATAGTACACTACTCCGTACTGTAGGTGGTATTAAATCATCGAGCGATTTTCTAGGGGACCCGAAACCCCCGGCCACTTGGACCAAGCAGACAACAGATATTCGACAGGGTCTTGCGACGCGGGCGGATCTTCATCGACCCTTTTGAGACCAAGAAAAGTCGACATCTTTCGGCGACCCTCTGCTATTTCCAAACGGCGCATCAACGAGGCGGTTGGTAGGTCGAGGGGGGATGGCCCACGGGTGTCCACGGAACACTGGGGATATGACGCTGATTCTGGGTCATGGAGGGGCGAAAGGTCGGTGGTGGAGGGGGGAGAGGGGTCCCTACATCCCCCCCCCCGTTATGGACCGGACCCCCTCGGCATAGCTAGCCTAGCACCAGCTAGAAAGCGAAGAAGGTACAGGTAGGCAGGTAGGTAGGTAGCCTTACTCACGATAGCCGCGACCGTCGACGTAATACCCCGCCAAACGGTGGGCTACTGCGCGACGGTGGGCTTGTCGTGTTTGGTGTTGCTCGTGTTGTTTCATTGACATGAGCGCAGCGCAGCACAGCACAGCACAGCACAGCACAGCACAGCATGGCATATCAGAGCATTGCGCAGCAGAATAGGATCACAAGATAAACCAACAACCTGCCGAAAATGGTGTCGGCGAGGAAGACGGGTGATCGGCATTCTGGAAGGCCGTCACGTCTATTCATGTATCCAATATCAGTTCAAATGGGGTGTATCCTGGCGGTTTTTCACTATTCTACTCCAGTACGGTAAGTACAGTACACGGATACGCAGCAACCCGCCCCCTAGTGTGGGTCTAGAAAGTGTCAGTGAGGTGAGGGACAAATGCTACCCCTCGTCCCCGGTGGTGCGGTGCGCTCCTCCCTCAACAAAGATCCCAAACTACTTCTATAACCTCACGTCCGCCTTTTTTCTTTCTCACCTATTACTTTCATCTTCCTCTCTCTTTCTCTCTCTCTCCAAGTCAAACTCTTCTTGATACCACCCACCTAACCGTCACCATTCATCCATCATCAAACAAAATGTCTACCTCTCTCGACCAGCTCAAGGCCACCGGCACCGTCGTTGTCAGCGACTCTGGCGACTTTGCCTGTCAGTATACCCCGCCACTGCTAGCCCGTTGACCCCCCCCCCTCGCCCCAAAATGTCTCACATTATGTTGTTGCTGTCTCGTGTGATGGCACGTCTCGCCACCGCCGCACCCCAATCCATCAAGAACAATTGACGACGGAGAATCCCATCAGGTTGCCGACGACGACCCGGACAGAAAGCTAACATGCTACTTTACAGCCATCGCCAAGTACAAGCCCCAAGATGCCACCACCAACCCCTCCCTCATCCTCGCCGCTTCCAAGAAGGCCGAGTACGCCAAGCTGATTGACGAGGCCGTCGCCTACGCCAAGAAGAAGGGCGGCTCCGTCGACGAGCAGGTCGACGCTGCCCTCGACTCCCTCCTCGTCGAGTTCGGCAAGGAGATCCTCAAGGTCGTCCCCGGCAAGGTCTCCACCGAGGTCGACGCCCGCTTCTCCTTCGACACCAAGGCCTCCGTCGACAAGGCCCTGCACATCATTGACGTGCGTCTGCCCCCGGCCCCCTCGTTGAATTGCTTGCTGAGATACTGACAAACCCACCTGCAGCTGTACAAGGAGCAGGGCATCTCCAAGGACCGTGTCCTCATCAAGATCGCCTCCACCTGGGAGGGTATCAAGGCCGCTGAGATCCTCCAGCGTGACCACGGCATCAACACTAACCTGACCCTCATGTTCTCCATTACCCAGGCCATCGCCGCCGCCGAGGCCGGTGCCTACCTCATCTCCCCCTTCGTCGGCCGCATTCTCGACTGGTACAAGGCTGCCCACAAGAAGGAGTACACCAAGGAGGAGGACCCCGGTGTCAAGTCCGTCCAGACCATCTTCAACTACTACAAGAAGTTCGGCTACAAGACCATCGTCATGGGTGCCTCTTTCCGCAACACTGGCGAGATCACCGAGCTTGCCGGCTGCGACTACCTCACCATCTCTGTATGTCCCACCCCCTCCCGGTCCCTGAACCCTCCACTTGCTTGCTGGCACACCACTAACAACCTATCCAGCCCAACCTGCTCGAGGAGCTCCTCAACTCCGACGCCCCCGTCCCCAAGAAGCTCGACGCCGCCGCGGCCCAGAGCCTTGACATCGAGAAGAAGTCGTACATCAACGACGAGTCCCTCTTCCGCTTCGACTTCAACGAGGAGCAGATGGCCGTCGAGAAGCTCCGTGAGGGTATCTCCAAGTTCGCTGCTGACGCCGTCACCCTCAAGGACATCATCAAGGCCAAGGTCGAGGCATGAGTTGTTTGCAACGGGATATGGGAATGAGGGCGTTAGGGATGTGTGTGGAGGATATATCATGATGTGAGAATGACTTAATGAGATGGAAATAAAAAAACAACACAATTCCCACTATACACGCACTGCACCTGAAAAGTGAAAATGAGGCGCTATGCCAGAGAACTCTTTTCAAGACGATATTATGCTTCATTAAAGTAGCTACTGTACAAACGGGGTAGTTGCTTCCGCCTGGTTCGTGGCAACTAGGTTTATATGTATGCGGCGCAACGCCCAATCGTCGCCGATACGATTGTCGACGGGATGCTGTTGCAGTTGTTTGTATCTTCCTGTCCGTCTTTTAGACACACGACTTGGGGGGCATTTTTCATCGACCCAAGTCGTTCCGGCCCTTTTTCTCTTCTTTTTCTTTTTTTTGGAAAAAAAAGAAAATCGGCTTACACTTCCATGCTCCTTAGTTTTATCCGGGAAACACAGATCGCCCCGTTCTTCTGTCTTTTTGCAAGTAGGGTATATATCATGAGCCCCTTTCAACGCTCTGGCATAGGGGAGGGTAAAAAATATAAATAAAAAAAAAGCAAATGGAAAAAAAACAAACGCAGCTCCGACTCTATGATTGGTCTTCCTGCTTCTTGCTTTTCTTGCCCTTCTTGTGCTTCCTGCCCTTCCTCTTCTTCTTCTTGCCCTCGTCTCCGGCGCATGAGACGCTCCGGACGACGTGCGTGACGCCCTCGGCCGTGGCCTCGATGACGAGAGCGCTCAGCTCGCCGCCGTTGACGCAGCCCGAGTCGAGGCCGAACGTGTACTGGCCGACGTGGAGCCCCCGCTTAGAGTCGTGGCCGTAGGCGACAACCGTGCGGGGGGTTGCCTCGGGCAGGGCGCGCTGGTGGGCGTCCCAGGCCTTGGGCCAGCTGCTCGCGCCGTCGTGGCGGTCGGTGGGGATGGCGGGCTCCCGGTCGCCGGGGCGGCGGCGCCGCTCGTGCTCGCGCTCGACCATGGTCTCGGTGATGGGACCGACGGCGATGAGGGACGCGGCGTTGTATGCCTTGCGGGCGTCCTCGAGGGCGCGCTTGGCCTCCTGTCGGCGGAGTTCCTCGCGCGGGTAGACGAGGCCGCGCATGTTCATGACGGCCCAGGGGTCCTGCCGAGGCAGGGGCACGCCGGGGACGAGGCCGGCGTGGACGATGACGAGGTCGCCGAGCCCCTCGATGGTGCCGGCCTCGAGTATCACGGGAAGGGAGGCAAGCCAGGCGAGGTGCTTGCGGGAGAGTCTGCGGGCGGTGGCGCGCTCTTGGGAGTCGCCGTGCGAGAAGACGGCGGGCTCAAGGTCGTCTTCTTCCTCATCATTGTCGTCGACTTCGGCGGCGGTTGCAGACTTCGGCTCGTCCTTCGGTTCTTCCGCTTTGGGTTGACCCTCTATCTCTTCACCCTTTGTCATGACAGGGTTCCCGTGAGCGTCCTCGTTGGCGACGTGGGTATTCTGCATACTCCTGTGGGCCAGCAACACGCGGTCCTCGTGGTTGCCGCGGACGGCGGAGGCGCCGAGGCGGATGGCGAGGTCGAGGACGCCGGGCGAGTCGGGCCCCTTGTTGATCATGTCGCCGGCCAGGACGAGGTGGTCGCCTGCGGCGACGGCGAAGCGGAGCTCGTCGAGGAGGCGTTCGAGCGAAGCGTGCATGCCGTGGACGTCGCCGACGATGACGAGGCGGCGGCCCGGATGGGCGCGCGAGGGGCGGTGGCGCTCGGGAAGGGAGGCGATGTGGACCGACAGGTCGGTGAATCCCGGGCGGGCGTTCAAGCCGTAGGACATGGGGGCGTCGGCGGGGGAGCGTGGCGGGGCCGGGACGTCTCTGGCGGGGGAGGAGCGGCTGGCGGAGAAGTCGAGGGAGGAGGCGATGCGGGTGGCGGCGAGAAAGATGGTGGTGAGGATGAAGAGGGCGCCGATGCAGACCGCACTGCGGCGCAAGGCAGCGAACGTCATTGTAACGACTGTGCCGGGGCCGGGTGTGCTTTCGTGGGATGTACGGTTGATCTCTCGATGGACGGACACGAGAGAGTCAAGTCCCTTTCTCTTCCTGCGGCGTCGACCTTGGAGGGTTTGGGACTCCACGCGCGACGATTGCCCAACCTGATCGCCACTGATATGGTTTATGAAGTCGACCTCTCGGGGGTGTGTGTCCTGCTGAATCCTTTCTTGATTGAGGTTCGTGTCAGCAAGTCCAAGCTCAGCCGTCGGTAACTTTCGTCTTGGAGACGGGCAGGGCGAGGAGGTTCGCGCGCGGATCGACTTCCGAGACCCGACGTTTGGGTCGAAAGGTTGAGATGAGACGACGAGCAGGCACGTAGAGTTTATCGTTGGCCGCCAGCAACTTTCGAGAAGTTCCACGGGCTGCAGGAGGGGGCGAATAAAAAGTGTATATGGGTCGGCGGCTTATCACAATCGCTTAAAAGGGGTGGACATCGTCGTGAAAGGATGGATACGGGTCTAGTCGGGGTGGGTGGTACGTCATCCAAAAATATGTTCAGGGGGTTGTTTATGCGAAATCTTGGATCAAAAGACGACTTCGTTTCTAGGTACTCAGGTGTCATCGCTCGTGCCGTTGGGAAACAGAGGAGATGAAGAAAAGGGGGGGGGGGGGGAATCAAAGCAAAAGGCGGGAAACAACAAAAAACAAAAGGAACACCAAGACCTCCAAGGCCTCCAAGACGGAAAACGGGATGGGAAAGCGGGAGGATGGCTTTTTCGCCAAGTGAAGTGGGAAAGTCGGCACGCGACCCCTGCGAGTTTCCTGCTGGGCGGCTCTTTTTTAAGGTATTACACACTTCGCCCACTCGATCCCGTCAGCAACGTCACGGTTGTACAAACATGACTGTGTACGGAGTATCTGTAGCCTGTAGGTACACATGCAGCCTGCTGCGCCGTGTAGCGGAAAAGTTTATCATGAGATTCTGTAGTGTTTGCCTGTCACCAGATGATGTGCTTTCCTCTACCGGTACTTTCCGTCGCATTCTGCGAGGCGGCTTTCTCAGTGATAGCTCCGTAAAGGTACATTCACTAGGTACCTTATCCGAATACGGGTAAGCAAGGCTCTTGTGCACGGATCAGGCACACCCACACGTGATCTTGTCAGTTGATGACTCATCAAACCTGTCATTCTTCCACGGCCTCGTAATATCAAAGACACTTTAATACCTACCTATCCGCCCACGACTCGCCCCATTCAAAGGTAACAAACAGCATGGGATCCTCAAAGGCTACAGGTGGCCCTGTCACTTGGACCATGCCTATCACCGAAAAACCATGCCTCTGACCTCAGTTCAAGATGACCGTCGAGGTTTGGCAATCGAATACAATGGCTTGTATAATATGATGCTCTTCGACGTCCATCTTGAGCCACATCCTGTACGCACCTCCCGGCCTTCCCGATGTCTCCTTGCACCGCTGCAACTTCCCACCCGGACAGACGCCGTTCATCCTGGTGGACACCCCGGGCCTCTGCACCCGCGCACATAATCTCCCGGATTGCGAGACGATTGACCTCATCAAGGCCCGGCTCGGCCGCGCGGGTGTCGGGCGCAGGTCGACCTTGTGTCCATTCTGGATTCTCGAACCCCGGTGACGAGCCGCTCGCAGACAGCCCGTAGTCCTGGGAGGGTATCCTTGTGAACAGCAAGTGCTGTACAATGTGATTATTTGAAGAAGATGTCGTCGGATGTGATTTTGGGAGAATATCGGAGGCAGGCCCTTGGAAATGCTATCGCAGTCACCGGACTTACATTGATCACGCCATGGCAACTGGTGATGGAGGACGAAAATGGTTGGTGACCGATCTTCTACGACCAATCAAGCAAGGTACCATCAACCCGAGACACCTGCTATGCGTATTTCGGATCAGATATCTGTTGCCAAGCCAAGCCAAGCCACAACCAAAGAAGCAAACATGCATGGCATGCACACACACCGTAGGCAGATGTCATTACTGCGTCGGAGTTCGACCTCGTTCAGGCGTGCCTGCATCCCAACGACTGCACTACCTACCTACCGGTAATTCGCCCGCTTCTCCATCTTTCGTGGAACTTCGGGATAGCCGACGTTTTTAAGCGACCTGACCTGCCGCGCCGCCCCGGTTGGCTGGCAACCGACACAGGCGTTTTCCCTCATGCAGGAGCGTCCCATTTATCTCCGTCTCCCCTGTCGTGAATCCTAGCCTGCTCGGGAACTCATCTCCCTGCCGCAGCCTTGCATCTTCGACCCCGTGTCACTCGCATCGCGAGAGATCCAACGTCTTATCGGGATACCAACGTCTTATTGGGATACCAATGCCATGCTGATCCCACGGCGAACTCTGCGAAAGACTATATACACTGTTGGAGCCAGAGTGCTTTCGATTTCATCTCGGTAAGTCGACAAACTCCCAGCTCGCCCTCCTCCCACCCACCATGTTGTCGTACGCCGTCCGGCTCACTACGATTCTCGTCGCCGCCCTCACATGTCTGGCCGTCGTCGACGCCTCGCCGGAGGCGTCGTGCAAGGCGTACCCTGGCAGCGCTGACTGGCCCTCCGCAGAAACGTGGGCCCGCCTCGATGAGTCTCTTGGGGGCCGACTCCTGCGACCGACTCCTCCGGGAGCTGTCTGCCATCCCGGACTCGCCGTCTACGACGAGGGCCGGTGCGCCGCCGTCACGGCCGGGTGGGGCTCCTACGAGCTGCACGTCGCCGACCCCGTCTCAGCCATGTGGACCAACTTCGGCAATGACTCCTGCCCTCCTGACCCAGCTCGTGTGTGCAGCCCTGACGGATACCCTGCTTTCGTCGTCAACGCCACCACGCCGGAGCACATCAAGCTCGGCGTCGATTTCGGTTGGTTAAACATGTTCTCTTTCTCTCTCTCTTTCTCTCTCTCTCCCTCTCTCGCGCGCGCGCGCGCATGCGCGTGTCGGAACCCTCCGGCGGTGACTAATTTTGTTTTTTTTTGCCCCCAGCACGGGAGAACAACGTGAGGCTCGTGGTCAAGAGCACCGGCCACGACTATCTCGGCAGGTCGATTGCCCCCGGCGCCCTCTCCATCTGGGTGCATCACATGCAGGATGTCGAGTACCACCCGGGTGAGTTCAAGCTGGCGGGCAGCGACGTCACCATCGCGGGCGACGCCGTGTCTGCCGGCGGGGGCACCGAGATGTACAAGCTCTACAGGGCCGCCGCCGAGCACGGCCGGGTCGTGGTCGGCGGCACGGCCAAGTCGGTGAGCGTGGGCGGGTATGTTACTGGAGGCGGCCACTCGCTGCTTGCGCCGCGCTTCGGCCTGGCCGCAGATAACGTCCTGCAGATGGAAGTCGTCACGCCCTTGGGCGAAGTGCTTACTCTCAACGAGGCCCAGAACACGGATCTGTTCTGGGCGATGCGCGGTGTAAGTTGAGCCGGGATTCCAAAAAAAAAAAAAAAAAAAAAAAAAAAAAAAAAAAAACAGAACCAACATGAGATCTGATGGGCTTTTAGGGAGGCGGGACAACTTACGGCGTCATCACGTCCGTCACCTTCGCCACGCACCCCACCCCTCCGATATCCAGCACGGCGTGGGCCATGCTCACGGAACCCAGGGCCCCTTACCTCCCGGGCCTCGCCGCATACTTCTTATCCCAGGCGCCGTCGCTCGAAAAGGCCGGGATGTCGGGCTACGCCTTGATCAACTCCCACATGCCGAACCCCATCAGCGCGCCGGGTCTCCCGCCCAACGCGGCCGGGGTCATCGGCGTGTCCCTCCTGCAGGACGACGCGGACCTGGACGAGGTGGGCAGGATCTGGGCCTCGATCAACCAGACCGTCGCCGAACGCTGGCCTCAGGTGACATTCCTCAGCTCGAACGCGCAGTTCCCGACCTGGTTGGACTACTACGACGAGAACTACGACCACAACAAGGCGGGTTTCAACAAGCTGCTGGTATCGCGGCTCATAGACGAACAGACGCTGACGGGGGACACCGGCGCGCTGGCCGGCGCGGTAGAGACGATGCTCGGCAACGTCGGCGGCATGTACGCCTTCCTGGTCTCGGGAAAGGGGGTGCACGGCGCGGAGCCGAGGGGCGGCGGGAACGCCGTGCACCCGTCGTGGCGGAGAGCCTATATTCTCGCAAGTGAGTCCAGATGACCGCCATGACCTCCCAAGTACTACCGGAGACTGACAAATTGGGGGGCTTACCCGCGTAGTCTCTGCCGTGGGGTGGACGTCGTCCGACGCGGCCTCCAGGGATGACGCCAAGAAGAGCATCTACGATGCGGCCGAGGGCTTTCGCCAGCTCGGGCCCGACATGGGCGCCTACCTGAACGAGGTGAGAAGACGCGTCGCATCGCTCAAACTGCGTGATCGGGCCCGAGTCTCTTGACTGACAGCAACTACAGGGCCTGCCGCACGAGAGGGACTGGCAGAAGACCTTTTGGGGCGACAGCTATGCGCGCCTACTCGATATCAAGAAGTCCGTCGATCCGGGCGACACCTTCTGGTGTCATCCGTGCGTCGGGAACGAGGGGTGGGCGGAGAGGAGTGACGGGCGGCTTTGTAAGGCCTGAGTGAAGGCCCTTGGTAGGTGGTGGTCGCGGTATCATAGCTTGAGGTTTGATGGTAGCCTTACTCAACAATACATACTCGAGTGAATCAATGCCCGTGAACAGGATCTGTTGGTCGAGGGACGCCGGATACGCATTCTTGAGCTACGCGTCTTCATTATTGACAACACATACGCGGTGTACCTCCATTTGATCAGATGGCGTGAAGCTCTCAAGTTATCGATTGGGTATCACGGTCTACTTATCCCCTCAGCTTCGACACACAGTTGACATCGACACATATCCCGAAGTCATTGAAGAAGCCTCCAGTCTCAACAAAAGTACGGTAGTCATCAGCACGATTTTGGTTCTTGAAACATTTTTGATATTCACTCGCCCTGCTGCCTACGGGCAGCGAGGCGCCTACGACTTCCTCGTCGGGTTCATCGCCTTGACCCAGGGTTTCCAGACGCCCTCGATCGTCGCCGGGTGGTTCCACCCGTTCCACTCGTAGTTGGTCAGCCCCCAGCTGTCCGGGACCCCCTGCGCGCCGGAGCGCACGCGGTAGCTGCCGGCGAGGCCCCAGACCATCCAGCTGACGCCGTGCTTGACGGTGTACTCCCGCAGGCACGTCTGCAGGGTGTCGGTCCAGAGGGTGTCGTCCTGGCCGTTGCCGAATTCGGAGAAGATGACGGGCGTCAGCCGGCTCGCCCGGGGGCAGTCGCCGCCAGTGGTGGCGTTGCCGCAGGCGGCGGGCGTGTCGATTCCAAGCGCGTTGAAGCCGTTGCGGTAGAGTCCGGCCTCGATGACCGCGCAGGTGCCCGTGTCCTGGTCCTCGCTCATCTTGTAAAGGTGCAACTCGAACACGAGCTTCCGGGACCAGGCGTGGGCGTCGATGTCGAAGACGCGGGGCTCGCGGCGGGCGGCGTCGCGTATGGCGGTGCACTTGTAGCACGGAGCCGTCAGGTAGTTCGCGCCCGACGTCAGCGCCGAGAGGTCCTGGCCGTACTGCATCCCGCCCCAGAGGATGAGCACGTCCGGGTTGGCGGCGTGGATGGCGTCGGCGCCGGCCGAGAAGTTGCCGACAAGCGTCTCCCTGTTTCGTTCCATTCGCTTGTCTCGATACCACACCCTCCTAGGTCCAACCAAACCATGTTGTTGGGGTGGGCGCGGGCCCAGCCGGCGACGTGCGCGAGGCCGCGGCGCCAGCGCGCGGCGTCGAAGTGCACGTCGCCGAACCAGGCGTTGCCGTCCGTGTGCGAGCAGCACCACGAGGCCTTGCTGACGTGGACGTCGGGCGAGATGAAGATGCCGCGCTCGAAGGCGGCCGCGGCGATGTCGGACCAGATCTCGAAGCGCGTTGTCTCGCGCGTCCAGGACGGGTTGTTACGGATGATGTCGTTGGTGACCCTGGTGCCATTGACGAAGCCGAGGGCCGTGATCATGGCCACCTCGAGGGGCACGTCCTCGCCTTCGCGGTCGTATATCTGGTCGACCATCTCTATGGCGTAGCCCCTAGGGGGGAGATGCGTGTCAGCGTGTCGTCCTGGTGGCCGAGTGGACTTCGTCAGGGGGGACTCGGGACTCACATGCGGATGTAGTTGAAGCCGACACTCTCGACGTCGTCGAGGATCTGGTCGATCGAGGCCCATTCCACACCCTCGGGGACCATGGTCTCGCCTGGGGTTCAGATCAGCAACAGCTCCAAGGTCTGGCCTGGGACCGGAACGCAGACGAACCACTCATGGGCCAGTTGACGCCGGCCCATGTCACAACCTCGCCGCGGCTGTTGACGATGTCACGCCCGCGGGTGCTAAAGGGGCCGTACGGCCACGCGCTGCCAGTCTGGTTGCCCTCCTGTCTCGAGACAGGTTTGCGAGAGGTGTACCGAGGCATCCCAAGCCTCTTCATGTACTGGGCGCATGTCGACGACACCAGCGCCGCGATGGCGAATGCGAGGCCCTTCATCTTGGAAACAAGCCCACGTCAAGGTTCCACGCGGTGTAGGAAGCTGCGGTGAAACGACAAAAAGTTGGTCTCGAAGCCCTAGAGAAGCGAAACGGACAGGAGCGAGCAGGAAACCGTCCTCTTCTTAAAGCTTAAGGAAGACGTGACATCAAGATGCTGTATTCTAGGGGGCACAGCGATCCACTGGGCAATTGGCATCGCCATTCGGCTCCGCACCCCCCCCCCCCGCACCGTTGGTTTCCTCGCTCTAGCTCTACTGAGCATCGTCATTCGGACCCCATTCCCCCAGCGGTGGCCTAACGTTGGTGCGATAGATGCCGGCGGTGACCTTTCTACCGAAGCTCTCCCAACCGAGGGAGGCTTGGGCCACGGCGCCAAGGACCCTCACCCCCAGGTTCCCGATGACGGCATTGGACCGCTTGAGCGAGTGGAGAGAAGCTCGAATCTGTGGCTTGCTTTACCCCGCATTCGATGATGGAGATGGTGGAGAATGGAGAAGGCATTCTGGGGGTAAGGGGAAAGTAGACGGCGGGCAGCGGACTAGGTGGTCCGCGTGGTGACGGTCTTCCGGAGCGGGGGAAGGTTACACGCGGGTCACCTCGGGGCCGGCCCGGATTCGTGGGCGACCCGCCGAGTCTATTCGAGAAGTTTACCCCGACTCCCGTACCATTTCGGATGAAAGGGCCGGAAACCCGGGGAGTTTCGTCAGTCAAGGCCTGTTCTTCTTCTCTGCAAGTCGAGCGAGAGTAGTGTGCGGACTGGCCCTCGCTTCAGCGACATGCGGTAGTTTCCCAATCATGTGACGGAGGTCCCTGTTGGGGTTGGACTTCGACGCGCTGCGCTAAATTATGGTGAGATGCAAGTTTAAGCATAACTAACTAGCCTGGGTGCTGCATACAACCAGTCCCACGGGGTTCAACTTGTGTCCTGAACCTTGAATGGCCCCGAATCACAACCTACTGAACTTCTGTGCAGCTGTAGACTTTCGCCGCGGACCGAGGAAGCAGCCAGATAAGGTCCGAATGTTCTCAGTCGTGTGATAATTTAGGCAGACGCCACGGCCAAGACCAGTGAGGAGCGGGTCACTCCCTCGCGCAAGATGAGGTTGCGAGACCTTTCATGCAGCAAAGTAGCCGGGGCCAGGCAGGCGAGTGAAGTGTCGTTATGCCCCCGAAGACGGCATTGCGGATCAAGCGGAAGAGCCGGCACGTAGGCAGACAGAGTCATAAGAGGGGTAAGATATTTAAGCATGAAGATGGGACTGGGGTAATGACGTTGTGGAAACAGACGAACAAAAAAAAAACCGGCCAAGGGGAACACAGTGCACCGAAGGAAGAGGGGTCGGGCAAAGCTCCTAGGGACGGAGAGTTTCTCCCCAATCCATGACTGAAACAGTAACGAGTTTTGGTCTACACAAGATGGTGGGATGGGTGGTGACGAAATAAACTGAAAATCATAAAGAAGCAATAAGGTATTTGAAAAACGAAAAGAGTGTGTGGTCAAGCGACATGATCCGAACATGCCGACCTTGCGGAAGCGAGCGAACTTCAGTCACAAGAAAGGGGAGAGAAAGGAAACTCAGTTGAAGGTTGGCGAGCGGTCCTCTGACCACCGGGATGCACCTGGCTATGAGAAAGGTTACGATAGCCTCTCTCTCTCTCTGTGTGTGTGTTTTCCTTAGTCTACTTCGCTTCAACTGATCAAGGTAGCTTTTCAACCTCGCGTGAGCTTCGCATCGACTGAGTCACGAGGGCTGAGATATATAAATTTCGTATGACTTTTAAGGATAGACTACATACAGGTTGCACAGCTTCGGGTGGATTTGCCCAACCCTGTATGCTGCAGAATATTTCGACATGAAGGCCCCCTTCCCCCCTTCCCCCCCCCCCCCCCCCAAAACCAAAACGTTGCCGGTCATCACTTGCTCAGGCTCTTCTCCGGGTTCTTCTCGAACCGGCCGCACCACTTGCGCCACTCCTTGGCCGCCTTGTGCATTACCACCCGCAGGTCTTCTTTGACGTCATTTACCTCCCACGCCTCGTCCTCCCAGTTCTTCTGCCCGCGCGTCAGGGCGGGGGACCAGCCGATGGCCTCCAGGCACTCGCTATGTCGCGCGGCCGTCAGCACGTCGAACACACCTGACATGTGATTTGGATCGGGGAGGAGGATGGAGGGAGGGAGGGGCAAGACTTACACTTCTGTAGGTGACGACGTGTATCTGGGAAACATTCTCGAGTCGACGCGGTGGCACTCGGCCTCGAGGTACCGCGCGAGGACGTCGAGGCGGTTCGCCGGTTTAAAGCTGAGCTTCAGCTTGTCCTCCTCGGCCATCTCGGCCTCGGACTTCTCCGGATCGATGGACTCGGGCTTCTTGGAGGAGGACGCGAGGCGTTTTGTGACGGAACGCGCCGTCTTGGAGCCCTTGATTGTGAAGTACGCCCACACGGCTGTACACCGTTAGCAGCATGCTCGAAGCAAGATAGGGGCTGTGTACGTGTTGAAGTACTGACCGTTGACCTCAAAGAGTCCAGAGACGGCGATCATGAGGGTGTCGATCGCCAGCGATATGGGCAGCAGCCCCGTCGCGATGATGGCGTCCCGCTGCGCCTTGGACTTTGTGCGCAAGATGGAATTGATGAACTCCTCCCGCATGGCCTCGGGCGTCATATTCATCGACGGCGAGTACACGAAGACGATCTCCTCGACCCCGACCGTCCTCTTCGTCTCATGCGACGCGTGGGCCGGGTCGTCTTCCATCAAGTCGCCGTGCTCGCCCTTCTCCTCGTCCTTGTAGCCCTGCTCCTCGGCGAGCTTCTCCTGCCGCGCCTGCTCGTCGACGACTTTCCCTTCTTGACCCCTGTTCGGGTCGTTGAGTAGTGTCTCCGTGTCATCCCTCTTCTCGGACGTCTCGCCTTTCTCCTTCCCGTCCTTCTCATCGCCGTCGGCGGCCTTGTCCTTCTTATCCTTCTTCCCCTTGCCCTTGATCGCCAGCTTGTGGGAGATGGACGACGGGGGCTTCGGCGAAGGCGTGACCCTCGCGAGGTAATCCAGGTTGCTCGTAGTGGTGTACTGCATCGCCTTGTCCACGCCGCGGGTGCACTTGGCTTTGAACCCCGCCCAGCTCGTCGTTTTTGCATCGCTCGTCTTGGCCTGCCGGACCTCATTCTGCCACTTACGCTGCACCTTGTGCGCGACGCTCTCCTTGACGCCCTCGGGCGGCGCCTGGAGCGGCGGAGGCGGGGGCGTGTAGATCAGGAAGCGCGTAGGGATGGCGTCAGAGGGCGCCTTGGCCTTCAGCCAGGGCTTGGGGAAGGGCACCAGGTATGTGATCAGCTTGTGGGGGTCCCGGGAGTAGTGGATGGGGTTGGAGGGGTCGTCGTTGCCAAAGTCTGAACCCTGACGCTTGGGGGGAGGCGCGATGCCCTCTGTTGAGGGTGTTTTGGAGAAGGGGGGTGACACTGGGCTCTGGGCGAGCAGCTCCTCGACGGCTTTGGGGTGAGGACGGGCTGGCAGAGGTGGTGCCTGTTGAAACTCTTCTGACTGTCCAGCCTCTTCTGCCTGGAGACGCTGAGCAAAGGCAAAGTCCTCGTCTTCGGGAGATGTAAAGGGGTTGGATGACAGAGGCCCGTTGCTGCTCCACGCGGGCTGGCTAGACCGGTGCGGAAGAGGAGGCGCCTGGTTCTCCTCTTCTTGGAGAGCGAGCGCCATGGCATAGTCGCGATCCTCCTGCTCTTGAACTGCGGGATTCACACCATAGCCACCGCGTTCTTGGGCATAATAGTCGGGGACCTCTGTAGACACGGGCCTTGGACCGGGCAGGGCCGGCCGGTCTTGGTTGTTATGATAAGTCTCGGCGGCTTTACCCTTATCGGGTATCGCGGGGCCATCGTTATAGCCCGAGTGCTCTGTGTTTTGATGCTGCAAGACGGGCTCCGGATGCTGTCCAGCCGCCCTGACATGATTGAGGGAAGACGGACGATCGTACTCAGGCGAGCCCGGCGCATCGTTGTATTCCTCTGGACGTGTCTCGGTGGCTTTCCCTTTATCGAATGACGAAGGCGGCCCATTTGGTTGGTCAAAGCCAGTGGCGTTATAAGCAGACGAGGTGCCATGGGCTGGGACCCTGGACTCGCCGTGTGGCGGCGAGTTGTTCCTGATGCCTGGCGGGTCGTAGATATTATCCTCCTCCGTCACCTCGGGCAGAGGGTCAGACATCTGCTGCCTGTGGTCGACATACTCGGGATAGGAAGCATTTGAGCGCACGCTATTGGAGCGAATGGTTGTGGGCGTAGCCGGGATGATGTTGACGGCAGGGACCCCGCTTCTTGGTTCCACAGGCGAGTCGTTGTTAATGTCATCATACCACCGAGGCTGCAACTGCTGGCCAGTCTGAGGCTGGCCATGGCTGTGGGACCCCGACGACTGGGTGAAGAACAGCTCCTGCTCTGCGATGGAGTTTGTGGTATGGCGTTGCCGCTCCTGGGTGGTGTCCATATTGAAGGCTCCTGGCGATGCAGATGGCGAGGTGAACCGAGTTGTCAAGAGATCCGCGAGGTCTTCCCAAGAGAGGAGGAGCAGGGCTTTACGGCATGGAGGGGAAAGGGAAAGAGAGTTCGGATCAACGGGTGCGCATCACGATGGTCTATGAAAGCTTAATATTGGGCCCCAAGAGGCGGCAAACAACTTGACTCTAGAAACGCGCAACACAACGACTGCGGCGTGGGCGGGCAAGGGTGGATGAGCGGCGAGGTGGATGACGTGTATCGAGATACTCATGGTGTGGCGCAGTCCTGCGGATTGTGGCAATGGCCGCCAGCGATTGATAGCGATGGCCATGTCGTTCAGACCGTCTGCTAACGGGAGTCACAAGTTCACGCGAGTCGGCAAGGGTTTGGGAAGCGAGTATTGTGGCTAGAGAGCGTTTCACAGCAAAGAGGGGGCGAGGCGTCGGTGGTTGTTTGTTGGGCAAGGCATAGAGAGGTGATCCCGGAATTTCACTTGGATCCCCGGGAGGCCAATCCGCCCGGAAGAGAGGGGGGGAAACGTCACGTGACCGTTACGATGGCCTGCCCGGGCATTTGGTCTGGACCCCTGCCACAGCAGGCCACAATGTCCTAGGGCGTCATGATTTTTGTAAACAAAAATCCCGAGAAACTTGGAATTCCGGAATGGTCAGGGCGGCCCAAGACAGGCCCGACACAATGCAAAGACCGAATCCGCGATGCTGCCCACATCGAGAATGTATATATAGCGAGTTGCCCCTTTCGTCAATAACGGCGGCCAAGGTCTTGGTGGGTTTTGAGTGGGTTGCGATGCAATAGCTGGGCTATTGTCAGGGTTAGGAAAAAATACTTAAGTATAAGTAAAAGTACAAGTATACTTAAGTAAGTAAGTATAAGTCCAGGGTTAAAATACTTACTAAGTATAAGTAAGTAAAATTCTCTAAAGCAAGTACTTAAGTATACTTAAATACTTACTTATATAAGAAAAAGATAGATAACAAGGTGTATAAAAGGCTAAATTAGCTAGCTACCTAGGTTATATAACTAATTATATAACTAGAGACCTAGTTTATTAGCTTTATCTTTTTTACTTTGCCAAGAAATTCTTTTAAAATATTATATAATAAGTATTTAAGTATACTTAAGTAAGTACCTTCTTAGCTTAAGTAAACTTAAGTAAGTATCTTATAGGCCTAAGTATACTTAAGTAAGTATTTTTTTAGAAATAATTACTTAAAGTTACTTATTCCTAACCCTGGCTATTGTGGAAACACAGGCGAGCCCAAGGGTTGGTTCCTTCCGCTGTCTAAAAAAAGACGGTGGGTCGGTGATGCTCTGGAAAAAGAACAGTACTCGATCGGGACGAGGAAAAGGTGACGGATCGAATAGAGCAAGAGGCGCGGAAAGATCAGGTTATCGGGCTTGTCGTCTGTCGAACACGGCTTGGAATCTGAGCCCAGAATAAACCCTTACCTTTGGGGGGTTAGAGATGGATGTCGCGTCGCAGGGCAAGGCCATACGCATCAAGGGACGGCTGGAGTCACAGTCGACAGCTCCGATATTTCCCGGCGGTGCTACTGCTTGATTGTCGCCCAACGCGTCGCTTGGTTTTGGGGCCGACATTGCGGGTCTTGCTATGCCCAGACGGCATTTCGGAAGTGAAGTCCGTCATGAGAAAAAGGAGGAGTCCCAAGCAGTTCGCGACCGGGTGCAGAGCCGCACAGGTCATCGAATCGAGGACTCGAGGACGGACTCGCCGTCCCCACATTTGAAGAGCTCGTGGGAGCCTGTCAGCCTGACGACACTGGATGTCTGGTACTGGGCTGGTGAAATAGCAGCTGATAAGGTACACTAGGTAGCAAAGTGATAATGTCGATCCTGATGCTTGGGCCGAATACGACGACGTGGAGCACCTGGATGACTTTGCGTGTCTTACTGACGTCTGCTATAGCCGTGCGCTCGGCCAACTGGAGTTCAGGACATGCCGTGGAAGAAGGTGATGGGGATTGTCGCGTCGTGTACGGAGTAGAATGCGTGGTAGAATAGGTAGAATAGAGCAGACGGGGAGATGGAAGACGTACGTAGGTACTGTATCCGTAGTAGGGAGTACGACCGGGAGAAGGAAAGAAAAAGTAGGCAAAGCGCGACTAGGTAGGTACGTACCTGCTTGAGTAGGTACTGTACTGGTAGTACCGGTAGTGCAGCTGAGTCATGCCCCTCCCCCTTTCCCTTTCCCTTTCCCTGCCCCTGCCCCTGCCCCTGCCCCTGCCCCTGCCTTCTCTTCCCGTCGTCAGGAAGGCGCCCGACTACCATCCGTCCCGGCCCCACTCCGGCCGTTCCCACTTTCTACCCGGACCCTCGTCCGCGAATATCTTCAATCCAGTCCAGTGTGTCTCAACTAGGTCAAATCACGGCGCGCATCAACAGCCTGAATGCACCTGCCAAGTCCCGTCAGGTGTGGCTCTCTCATCCGTCACCCGTCACCCGTCACCCGTCACCGCCAGTACCGTGTACACACACACCTTTTGCCAATTGCATCGTGGTCAGTGCGGCTCTCCCAACTCGGCTCGCTTTCTCCCCGATGAATGCGGCTCTTGCACTGAACTGTGCTGTGTGCTATACCTACAGGCTACTGTAGGGATTGTACTAGACTCGATTCGATTCGACTTCGGATGCATCAAGCAGGCATGCGCTTAACTTTCTAAAATAACCTTTCCTCTGTATGACAAAGTCTCAAGGCCCCCTCACCTCGCATGGATGCGTTTCCGCCCGTTCTCTCCTGAGGCATGTTTCACCGTCATCCCCGTCGCTGCTGCTCGTCGATCTCCCGCCCACACACACACACAACACACACACACACACACACACAACAAAATACACACACGCGCATACTCTCTACAGCGGCGCTTCTCTCTTCTTAACCCCCACTCTATCTCGCCGGTCGAGAAGCTTTTGAAACATATTTTGATTCGTCCGCCGTATCCGTCTGTCACCACCCGACTGTACGTACAAACATAGTACATACGCATGCTGATGGGTCCACCTGCTTCGGACCTGTCATGCCCGATACTGGGGCGTGGGACCCGTCTCTCCCTCCGTCGTCTTGGGATCCACCTACAACCAAGCATAGTTGCACCAGACACGACTTAAAATATATGAGGCATACCAAAACACAAAACACTCTGTCCTGCGGCCCACCTCCCCCCCAGTGCTTATTTTGGCAGCCCTTTTTCAGTCGGCCGGCACTTCAAAGATAAGCTGCAGAGCAGAGCAGCCAGGCAAACCGTCTGCCCCCCTTGGCTAGCATCAAGGCCATGCCTCTCTTCCCCCCCCCTGCCCTTGCTCCCCCCCCTACCCGGACCCTCCGACCCGAAGAATGGGTTTGGGCTGTATAAGTAATACCCAATGGCTGCTTTCCGTAGATCTATGCGGACTGCCGGAAGCCTGGACCTAGGCCCGCGTCTCTGATTCTCTTCCCTTTTCTTCATACCCTCCCCCCCGGGCTGGTTTCCCGTTTCCTCTTCCGCCTGCCACCGCGACCATGCAGGTGAAGAGCTTTCTCACGCTTGTTTTCGCTGCCCTGGCGGCCGCGGGCGATCCTCTCGACACCGTGCTGAGGAAGAATAATCGCACCTTGAGCACATTCACGAGTAAAGACCTCCCCTTCTCCCCAGCTTCCAGACTTCCGCCCTGCCACTAACACGCTTCCAGCCCTTCTCACCATCGTCCCGGAGCTCAACGAAACCCTCACCAAGACCATCGATGCCACCGTCCTCGCACCCTCGGACGACGCCTTCGCCAAGGCGATGCAGGCGGACCCCACGTTTGCCCAAAAGGTCACCAACGCCACTTTCGTCGCCCAACTCCTCTCGTACCATGTCGTTACCGGCAAGACTATGGCCGCGTCCTTCCCCGAAGTCCCCAAGTTCGCCCACACCCTGTACGCGGCCCCTGACACCAACCTCACCGGCACCCAAAGGGTCGAGCTCGTCCGCAAGGGCGAGCAGGCCCATGTCTTCAGCGGCTACAAGCAGATGAGCGTCGTCACGAGCCCCGACATCACCTTCTCCGGCGGCGTCCTGCACGTCATCGACTCGGTCCTCACCTTCCCCGGCACGCCCGCCGACACGGCCCTGAACACGGGCCTCACGAGCATGGCCGGCGCCCTGATGCGCGCTGGCCTCTTCAACGACCTCAACTCGCTGCAGGCCGCCACCGTCTTCGCCCCCACGAACGACGCCTTCCGGGCCATCGGCGCCACCGCCGCCGCCATGGAGCCCCAGGACCTCGCCAGGATCCTCGAGTACCACGTCCTCACCAACCAGGTCCGCTTCACCCCGAGCGTGACCATGGCCAAGATGTCCCACAAGAGCCTGATGGGCGAGAAGGTCACCCTCCGCAAGCAGGACGGCGCCGTCTTCGCGAACTCGGCCAAGATTACCATTTCCGACATCATCACGAGCGACGGTGTCATGCATGTCGTTGACAGGTTAGTTCCTTTGCCGACTTTTCTTCCGTCTGACGCCGAGTCGTGCCTAACATCATGCAGTGTCCTCAACCCTGCGTCGCCCAAGTTGGCCCCCGGCAGTTCACAGCCCGCCTTTGAGGGTGCCTTACAGGCCGCTACCGCTCCCTTCACCGAGGATGTGAATCCCACAACCAATTACATTCCGGCGTCGTCGACTATGCGAAGCTCTAGTGTGTCTCTCGGGCTCGCTATGCTCGGAACCCTAAGTTGTTTAGCCGTTGTGTACCTGTAGGCAGGAGGTGGGGGTGGTGGCGGCAGGTATGGTGTTGCTTATACTCGATTCATTCACAAGCTCTGGAGAGGGGGCGGTAAAGAGAAGGATATTTCTCTCGTTACATAGTTTAATTCGAACGATTTACATACAAATAACGGGCACACAAATTGCATACCGCTATTCAAGACTAGGCGCGCGGTTACCCACGATGAGATGCCGACGGGGAATGTGGCTTCTGTTTGACATCTGTGAAAGTCGACCGGAATGAATTCTACCAAGCGGCACACGTAAATGACACACAAAGAGTACTCATAATGCTCTGTCTCCGAGCGTGTCTTGTATGTCTGCAATGCATACATGCCTCAACATGCTCTCTGCCTGGTAAAAGAGGAGAAGGCTTCCCAGTGGCTGCAGAAACCATACGAACCACACCTGACCTATCCATCCTTGCGTGGACGTCCGGACGAAAGGCGGCTTTGGGCATTGAAATAGGCCCACGTATCTTTTTAGGCCGAGTCGCCTCAAGATTTTTTTGGCTTGGCGCTAGCTTATGATCAACCGCAGTAAACCCGCGGCCGGCTCATGAACAGAGTGTGCTCAACATCAAACAACGGGATCAATACTAGCAACTGTCTGTATCACCAGCCATCAACGCAGAGAGGAGGGCACGACACGTCCTGCCCGTATACACGGTGCCTTCATGAGGGCAGTGGGCTTACGTCGGATGGCAAGACACGTGTGCCAGGCGTGGGCTTCAAGTCCTTTGAGCGTGCCAGCCTTGCAAAGGCATGGGTTGATTCAGAAGAGGGTAGCAACAATAAAAGATACGTCCGACTCAGCAAGGCGACTTGCCCGTCTTAATGGAACAACCTCAGTCCTTGCAAGAACAACGCTCTACATCTAGTTTATAGCTTCTACAGCCAACGCTATAGGCATAAACATGTTTTCTGAGGGTGTCAAAAAAGCACTTAACATGATGAGAGACACAGCTTTTGAGGTGCAATTATTGTAACAGTAACACAGAACTACTGTATGATTAAAAGGTCGTTAACAATGAATTGAGTTTAAAGCTAGGTAGGTAGTAATGAGCCTAAATTATACTACCATTATAAAGGAGTATTGGATTCTCTAACTTATTCTGCCAAGTGTATAGTATTTCTCTACTCACATAGGTAAACAAAGAAAGTCGCTACATATTAATGTTGATACCAGCGATCAAAGTCGGCACCCTCAGAGGCAGCACAAGCAAGTACCCAGAACCATCTCTCTCCGCTTCAGATTAAGATTCAAGGCAGCTAATACAAGTGTAACCCAGTATTCAGGCCCAAGAGAGATATTTTCTAATACCTCCTCAACGTCCGTGGACCATACCCCACGCAACCAAGTGCATATACTCATTGCGTGGTTCGCGTCGTCGCTGCGGCCACTTTGGCGAGCAAAATGTCTCTCTGCGGCACAACCACTCCGCCGGACCAACAAGATCAAACACACCAGCTTCAAACGTGACCCTTTCTACTCGAGGTCAAGGAAAGGTGATCGAGATGGTAATTGTGTAGACGATAGATACGGGACCTTTTGCTCTAACTGTCGGGATATTCAACTGTTCAATAGTGGAGCTAATCTATGGTCACGTGATTTACTATCACGTGACTCACCTTAGCGGCTTACTTACACTACTATAAATATCTATAGTAATAACTTCTTCTTCTTTTTCCTATTATCTATCTTAATAAGTAACTAGTAGTTAATTAAACTATTACTACTTTATAATTATAATCCTTATAATACTAATACTAATTAGTAGTTAACTTTATAGTTACTACTACTATAGATTAGTAAGGATTATTAAAAAAGGCTATAATACTTTACTTACTATAGTAGCTTAAATTAAAGTATTAAAGTGCTAACTAGCCTAAAGATTATTAGTACCTAGGATCTTATAATACTTAGTAAATAACCCTTTAAGCCTTATGTTTACTATATAATAACTACTATTACTACTATTAACTTTATTACTTTTAGAGAAGTTTTTTTTTTTATATACTACTTACTTACTAATAACTTTTATAGTATTTAGTATAATTATTTTCTTTTTATACTTAAGTTTTTTTAAGTTCTTTTTTTTTTTATTTTTTAACTTTTTTTTTTCTAATTATTAAGATTTTTATCTTACTAAGTTTTTATTTTACTATAGTAGTAATAGCCTATATAAGATTATAAGTAAATAGACTTTTATAAGTTCTTATTTAAATAAGATCTTACTAGTAAGACTAGCTATAAAGTAGTTAAGTAAGAACTACTTAAGTAATTTACTTTTAATATAGTATTTATAAGTAAATAACTTTTACTAATCTTACCTTTATATACTTCTAATATTATATTATTAGTTAGGTATAGCTTATAGTAATTATAACTTTTTCTCTTAACTAAATAATTAGTAGCTAAGTGTTACCCTTAGTAAGTATACCTCTTTTTGTTCTTTAAGTAAGGTAAAAAAAGTAAAAGTTACTTATATTACTTTAATTTACTTACTTTTTTTTATCCTTTAAATACCTATTAATAACTATACTATCTTTTTTACTTTTTTTTTTTTAAGTAAAGTATAGTTATTAGTAACTAATATAATTTTTACTTAACTTTACTATCTTAATTAATTTAGGAAGACTACTTATTATTTACTTTTAAGTAAGGTATATAACTTTAACTTTTTACTTTTTTTTTTTTAAAAATCTTTAACTATAGTATCTTACTTACTAAAAAGTAAGGTTTATATATATCTTTTTTTAAAGATAGTATATATCTCCTTTTGTTCTTTAAGTAAAATCTACTATAAGGCCTCCCTAGAGCTATCTACTACTATCTATTTATTTATTATTTTATTTTTTTATTTACTTTATCTCTTACTTATACCTCCTTATATTATATTATTTATTTACTTATCTTATTATTATCTATACTAATAGTAGTAATTCCTCTAACGTATAGATTTACTTTTAACTTTATAAGTAAGGAGTAAGTGCCTATATTTAAGAGGTTAGTAAGGCTAATAGAGGGTAATAATAGTAGAAAAAAGACTAAGTAAAAGGTAAAGTAAACTATAGGCACTAGCTAAAGTAAAGGAGTATATCTATCTATAAGATATTAAGGATTTATATTTTATCTTAAAATATAACTAGCCTTTTATTATTATATAACTATAAAGTATAACTAATTTAGCTAATATTCTTAATAGCCTTACTTAAGTTAGGTAATATAACGCCTTAAGTACTATTATTATACTCTAAATAATATAATATAGCTTTATATAGCTATATAGTTAATAGCTATAAAGATATACTACTAAAGACTTTAAAGAATAGTTACTTAATACCTTTAAAGGTACTACTTATAAAACTATTATTAAATTTAAAGACTACTTAATATATAGGGGTATATAGGTATTAATAGTAAAGTTACTAACTATTACTAAATAAATTTACTATACTCTTAAGGCTAATAATCTAAAGGCGTAGACGCTTAAAGATATTAAAAAAAGGAAAAAAAAAAGTAAGGATTTTTACTTAAAGATTAATAAACCTAACTTTATATAAGATATTATAAACCTACTACTAAAAATAATATTAATATAAGATTAACTAGGCCCCTCTTATATTATTACTCCCTTAGTATAAGTCGCTTAAGTCTAGGAAAGTTAATAAAAGCCTATTAATCTAGCCTTATTATATAATAACTTAAATTTTATTCCTTTACTATTTAAGTAGATAAGTAACACTTACTTTTACTTATTAGTTATACTAGTTACTACTATCTTACTTATAACTTACTAGCTTACTAACCTTATTAAATTATACCTTAATAAAATAAAGTATAGTAAAAAGGTATATAAGTTACTTAAATTAAAGCTTATAATCTTTTATAACTACTATATAAAGGCTAGGATTTAGTAAGAGCACTTTATAAGCGCCTTCTTTATTATACTTAAAGGTAAGGCTATAAAGTACTATACTAACTATTTCTATAACTAGACTAACTTTATTACTATAGTTATATAGATAAGGGGTAATTTTAAGAATAAAGAGACCTTTTAGGCCTACCTTACTAAGCTATAAAGGACTAATTTAATAAGGACTATCTTAGATAATCTAAATAAAAGTAAGGCTAAATACCTAGAGTTACTTATTAAGAGAGTAACTACCTTTATAAGAATAGTTATAAAGATTAGTACTTTATCTAACGTAGCCTTTTATAACTAATTACTTAACTCTTACTATAAGATAGAAGAGTACTTTTTTACCTTTTTTAATTTATTTTTAATATTTACTAGTATATATAGCTAGCTCTAATTAGTAATTAGTAATATAATATAATTTAAATAACCTATATATTAATACCTAACTAAAAAAGTAAATAATTAATACTAGACTAACTATACCTATAATAGCTAGTAAAGTTACTAGTAATTTAGCTAATATAACTATAGCTATAGTAACTTTATACTATAGTGCCCTTTTAATAGTAATCTATAGTAATAAGCACCTCTTTTACCCTTATTATTATTTATAAAAAAATACTATATATATAATAAGCCTAACTATTAGTTAATAAGGCACTTAAAAAACAAAAGGTAATAAGCCTACTATAAGTATAAAGAGTAGTATTTAATAGACTTTTTACCTAAAGCCTTTAACTACTTTATAACTAACTTTAAGGGATATAAGCTATTTACTTTAGATAAAGAAGGTAACTATATAAAAAGTAATAAAGATAAAAAATTAAGTACTACATTTTATATATTAATAATATTCTTTAACTTATTTACTATTAATAAGCCTACTCTCTTTTTATTACTATATAACTAATCTATAACCTATTTTCTTATAAAAAATAACTCCTTATATAAGAATCTATATAATAATAAGCTATCTAATATAGACGTCTTTACTTTTAATAAGTAATATTTATTTATTTTATTCTATAGTATTATACCTAACTCTAGTGTAGCTAAATATTTAATAGCTAGATATAAGTAGTATCTTACTTTTTACTACTAAATAAAAGGAAATCTAGCTATAGATAAGTTATAGGTAGGTAAAGTAAAAATCTGCTTTAGTAGTAGTAACTACTTTAAATTATAAGAGGTAATTAATATACTAACCCCCTTTAGTATACTAACCTTCTATATAATACTATTAAATACCTTATTTCTACTTTACCTTATAGATATAGATTAGTATAGTATTAAATTTAATAACCTTACTAATAAGCTAATTTAAGGTAACACTATTATACTTACTATCTATAAATAGGGCTATATATAAATACTACTTAACTAACGTAAGTAAAGTATTACTTACTACTATCTTATAGATAATAAGTTATAGTAAATTTATTATTACTTTAGCTACTTATTAGTTTAAAGGCTTTATTACGTCCTCTAATAATTTAGTAATAAAGTTAAGATTATAGCCTTAAAGAAATTAACTAAGGTCTACTACTACTACTAGATAAATATAAAGGTACCTAGTTACTTTAAATTTACTTTATATAATAATAAATATAACTTTAACTATAAGATTATTATTAATATTATTTACTTTAATAGTAACTACCTAACCTTATATATAATTAATACTATAATATCTTTTTAAGTAGCCTATTTACTTAAAAATATTACTATAAAGTATATATAAGAGGCACTTTAGATATACTAGATTAATATCTACTTTAGCCTACTTAACTAAATTATTACTAATACTAGCCTAAACTTTTATACTAGTAAATTTAAGTAGTTAGTAAGGTTACTTTATATTAATATTAAAGAAATACTAATTAAAGCTTATAATAGTATTAGTAAGGTTAAAAAATACTATATACCCCTCTAACGCGTATATAATATCCTCTATAATAAGGGCTATACACCTAAGGTTACCCTTTAGCTAGCTATTAAAGTAATTAATAATATAGCTAGCCTAAATAGCCTAGTACTTATACTACTAGTCTTTAGTGCCTACTTATAAATCTTTAACTTATTACTACTTTTACTAACCCTACTTAAAAAAGCTAAAGTAGTAAGAAAAGTAATAAAGGCTATTTACTAGATTTATATAAAAAGGTAAGTTAATAAGGTAGTAACTATATATAATAGCCTAAATACTACTATAATAGTAGCTTTTTTACTTTAATTTATAGTCTATATTTAGTATAAGAAAAAAGGCTAGTAAGGCCCCTTTTACCTTATTACTAGTAATAGGACTACTTATACTATTAACCTTTCTTAAGGCTTATAAACTTTTTATTTAACTATTATTAAACTATACCTTAAAGATACTTATAATAAGTAATAATAGCTACTTTATAAGGTAAGTAGGTAAGGTAATAAGAAGAATAATAATAATAGTATAGTAGCCTTATTACTTACTAACGTCCTTATACCTACTAAAAAAATATATAATAATATTATTATTACTATATATATATAGCTAAAGTAAAAAGCTAGCTACCTATAAAGGTATATTAATTTCTTTAATAAAACTAGCTTTACTATTAGGCCTACTACCTTCTTTACTACTATAAGTATAGTATATATCTTAATAAAAAAAGAAGCTAACTAACTATTATTAATTAAGCTATAGAAAAAGGGTATTATTACTACCTTAAAGAAGCCTTTTAAGTAAGTAACTACTACTAAGATTAAAAGGCTTATTACCTATAAGGTATTTTACTTTATTTAATATAATAAGAATAAGTATACTAAAGTATAAATATTTAAATTATAGATTATTAATAAAGTAAAAGGCTAAAATAAAGAACTATATAAGAAATCCTACCTTATTATTTAAGAATATACTAATAATAGTAAAAAAGTAATTCTTACTTAGTTACTTATAATTTAGTAAGCTAGCTAGCGCCTTATTTTTACCCTTACTTTATTCCTTATTTATAATAATAATAATTTCTTACTTTAGTTATATAATATTACTTAGGTGTATATATAGTTAACTACTTTATTAAATTATATAATTCTTATATGCCTTTTATTATAAATATAAGACCTTTATCTAAAAGGTACTATTATATAAGTAGTAAAGCTGTTATATAGTATTATAAAGGCAGGCACTTACTAGTAAGTAATATATAGTTACTACTATAAAAAAAAGCTCTAAATAAAGACTTTAACTTTTAATTTATACTTACTAATTACTAATATAAAGAGCCTAGACTTTAGGATTATTAGTATATAGACTAATAATACTATTACCCTTTTAAATAAATCCTTTTCTACTTATAAGGCTAATAAGCTTACTAAGGCTATATTTACTACTAAGAAGAAGTAAATCCTTACTATTAATAACTTACTTACCTTTAATAATAGTATAGTATCTCTAACTACTAAGAGGAAGCTTTTTCTTTAGTAAAAAGGCTAAAGTAAGAGACTTTAACCTATTAATAAAGAATCTCTATAAGCACTTAAGTAGTATGTTAAGTAATAGGCCTATAGTATATATATTATATTAGTCTACTAGCCTAAAGCATGCTTTAACTACTTTATTATAGTATAATACTAATTACCTAATATAAATAAAATTAAAGCACTTAACTATTATATTATATAGTATATAAATAACCTTAACTATAGTCTATTATTTTACTTACTTAACCTTAAATCTATAAAGCTTTTTATTCTTATAAATAAATTATTTATAAATAATAAAGACTTTACTTTATAGCTAGGATTTATTATTATTCTTACTAATAAGGCACCTATAAGTACTACTATAAGTAATAAATTTATTATAACTAGTAATATTATTTACTTTAGCTTAATAAAGTATAAGTAAGTTACTTAAAGTGTACTAGCCTTTAAGATCTATAGTATAGTTACTAGTACTAATATTACTTATACACTTAATATAACTATTATAATAATTACTAACTACCTTAAGCTACTATATATACTAATAATCCTTTATACTAACTTATACTTACTTTATAAGTGCCTTATTAAGCTTAGGACTATAAAAAAAAAAGGCTTATAATTAATATTATAGCCCTTTAGTAGTTATATAAGTAATATAAAGTCTATAAAGTATAATAAATATAAGGTAATAATAATCTTACTAATAGATTTACTAAATTATTACCTAATAAGGCACTAAAATAACTAGTTAGAAATAAAATAGTTTAAATTAGTATAAAGAGATAAGTTTCTTAAGCTATATAACAGATTATATAAATAAAAAGTATTAAATACTTTTAGGCTTTTAATTTTTATTACGTTTTTAAGCTTTTTAGCTACTAGGCAGTATCTAGGCTATTTATAGTAATTTTCTTTTACTTTAGAAAGTTACTAGTGTTAGGATATTTAACTATTTAATAGTAAAGCTAATCTATAGTCACGTGATTTACTATTACGTGACTTACTTTAGTGGCTTACTTACACTACTATAAATATCTGCAGTAACAACTTCTTCTTCTTTTTCCTATTATCTATCTTAACAAGCAACTAGTAGTCAATCGAACTATTACTGCTTTACGATCGCGATCCCTGTGATACCAACACTAACCTTATTCTGGGGTTATTAGATACCGAATGTACCTTTTTTGACTTACGAGACTTGCTTGGAATGCGATAGAAAGATGAACTTGAAGCCTGTACATCTGAAATGAGTATCTGAGGCTGGTTAGAGACACTGATCATATCTGTCTTTATGACCCTATTTGGACGCCCCTTTGAGCACGCCAGGACTGGAGAGCACGACCAGAGAATTTATAGTAGAAAGCGGGCTAGACAACTGGAATAAGGCTTTGAAAAGTCCTAGGAGATACCGCTTCCTTATCTTAAGTTTGCCCTTCGTGAATATTGCAATTTTTCTATGCAGCTTCTTTTGGCTAAGTATACGGAAAAAAGAAAATATAGAAAAGAAAGAAACAACAAAAACCTTGATTTAGAACTTGCTCTCAAACTTTGATCACGTTACTTACAACTGATGGGACCTCTGACTTCCTGTTCTTCGCTCCCTGTAGCGTGAACTTGGACTCATGAGTCCTATCCATAGTGTGCTTGCGAATTATCAAGCTGGACAGAAACCCAAAGGCTGCGGTGGCCGTCATGACCCAGAACACACCCCGAAACCCCGTCACGTAAGCCGACAAAGCCCCAATACGCTCCGGATCCGCAGAGTCCATGGCAGCCAGGTGTGTTGCGTATATCTCGGCGTTCTTGGCGATGGCCTCTGACATGCCAAGCTCCTGCAGCCGGTTCGTCATGACATTCTGAAACGTGGTGCCCCCGACAGCGACGCCGACGCTCATCCCCAGCGTGCGCATGAAGGCATACATGCACGCGGCACGACCGCAGTCCTCAACGCGGCTGATGGCCTGGGTGCCAACGTTGACGCTCGTGAGCACCATGCCGTTTCCAATGCCAAAAACGGCGAGGCAGATGGCCCACATCATCGTCGTTGTATTCTCATCCAGCAGTACAAGCAAGCCGCAGCCTGTGGAGGTAATGGCCCAGCCTGACCAGATGGCCCAGCGGAAGCGGCCGAGCCGGGAGGTGAGGACGGAGACGATGATGGAACCAGGGAGGAGGAGGCAAGTGACAGGGAAAAGGTTAAGGCCAGACTGGGTGGGCGTAACGAAGCGGACGGAGAGGAAGTAGAACGGGATGTAGTACAGGCCGCAGAAGAGTAGGAAACCCTGGCAAAAGGCGCCGAGGTAGGCGGCCACCGCGGACCACGAGTAGAAGAGGGAGCGGCGCAGGAAGGGCTCCGCCGCGCCGTATCTCTCCCAGAGCAGGCAAAAGGACACGGCCGCGGCGCCGGCACTGATGGGGGCTATGACGGCTATAGAGGTCCATTCATACTGAATGCCTGCCCAGGAGAGGCCAACGAGGAAGCTGGTCATGCCGCCAATGAAGAGGAATCCGCCCAGGAAGTCGACGCGGAGTAGCTTGGACCCCAGTGACGATTTCTCCGTCGAAAGACGGACAAACAGCGGCACCATGACGAAGCCGAGGGCGCAGAACGGGAACTGTTGGGTGGAAGAAAACAAAATCATGTCAGAAACCTTTGCCAAATCTCACACATTGATGACAGGGAAGTGGGGGGGGGGGGGTAAAGCTAAGAAGCCAACTCACGTTGATGTAGAAGCACCACCTCCACGTCGCGTGCTCGACAAACAGCCCGCCCAACAACGGCCCCAGCACGCTCCCGATAGCCCAGGCGCCGAGCACGAAAATGAAGTACTTGGGCCTCAGCCTCAAGGGCACGATGTCGGCGAAGATGATCTGGCCCATTGTGATGATGCCGCCGCCGCCGACGCCCTGTAGGGAGCGGCCGGCCAGCAAGGCGGTGAAGTCTCGAGCGAGGGGGGCGCAGAGCAGAGTGCCGAGGGTGAAGAAGAACAAGGAGACCAGAAGCATTTCTTTGCGGCCAAAGATGTCGGATAGGGCGCCGATGAACGGCTGGAAGACGGCGCAGGGTAGAAGGTAGGAGGTGCCGGCCCAGAAAGCGTCGGTGGCGGAACCGCCCAGGTCGAGGGCAAGGTCCTGGCGAACGGGTTCGTTGTCAGCATGTTTGTTTTGTCTTGCAGATCGGTGCTCTTATGGGCGAGCATGGAGTTATGGAAAGGGTGGCGACCTACAGGCAGCACAGGGACTAATACGGTGGCATCCAGAGCTACCATGAGAGAAATCACGGATATGGTAGCCATGGCTGCGTATTCTGCCCGCCCTGGCGTCCATTCCGGCTCTGTTTCCTGGATCTCGCCCAGGATCGCTTGCGTATCAGGTTTCGGGACGAAATACTCTCTTGGAGACTTGATTGATTCGAAAGTGGGATCCAACATGATGGGGGTTTATAGAATGAGAGTACGGTAAGGGAAGACGAAGAACCACAGACGCTGCCGAAAAGCCAAGGACGCAAGTCTTTGTGTGATTTTCTCGATATCACACGATGCAGGAGTAATGACAATGTAGACTAGGAACGATCGCCAGGGCGGCACTGCATGATGAGGTTCAGTGGCGAGCTTTATTGCATCCTACATGCACGTAAGACTAACTAGCAAATGGACTACTAAACCCCATCATTCGTCACGGCCGACCGAGCCGTGCGCGGCCTCATTTCGAGGAATCCTCCGTCAGCCAGCTACACTGTCGGTTCGGCAAGCGAAGAGTCCGGCCAGTATCCCGATCCTCTCATGTCCCGAGACATGGTCCTTTAGCATTCTGGTACACACATTATCTGGCCGAGACATCCGCGTACGAAAGCAGTCCGTTGAAGCCAGTTCAGCCCAGGTTTCACCCTATTTGTGGCGGATACTAACTAGTACCAGGGGAGAGCCGCCTGGGGGCTTGAGGAGATGGGACAGCCACGGGGCATCTAGAAAGACAGGGTGCGCTTCTTAACCCATAGGCCTGGTTCCCATCCATTTTACCATGTGATTCTTGTATTGGTCTAATCAAATTCGAAACCCAGGTGCCGTTGAGCCTCCTTCCAAGCGCCGATCCCGCTAGCTTCAAAGATCAATGGACAGCTAATAAAAGCTTTGCTACTAGCACGCGTTAGTAAGTCGCGACTTTTTGCCACAAAGGTCGTATGTACGGTAGGGTCAGTTGCCGTGGAGCAACAAAACCTTGGCCGCTCATCTGTTTTTTCCCTTCTTTTTTCGTTGTCCATCAGAGCTATCCATGGAGATGATGGATAGGGCTCCCAAGTTGGCTTGATATCCGGGTATTTGGGTAGATGTCTCAGTGCATTCGGAGGCGGATGGCTGTGTCCCGGAAGCGGCGTCTACGCCTGCCTATCTACGTGGTAGACCCGATCGACTGGATCGTGCGTTGTCCGCTCCACCAGATAAGGTGCCTATAGGAGAGATTACTGTCCAATCATATTAATGGACTGGCACCTAATCAGGTAATAGGCCAATATCGCGCCACGCAGCCCAAAGGCCGCGTCGCGTTCCCATCCCGCACTCCTTTCTTGGCTGGCCGGTTGGCTTGCTTGGCAAATGCTTGCATGCTCTTGGCAGATATGGTCGACAGCTTATTCTGCAGTCTGGTAACAACACATGCCGCCCGTTGATAAGTGTCCGAGTAGCTGCTGTAGTCTGGCTGTTTGTCAAAACGGTGGGAGCTGAGCTGAGATCGGGTCTATTATGTCTTAGTGTCGGCAACGTCACTGCTAGTCACCGGGGGGCTGCGTCGCGTCCCATTCGAATTCTCTCCCTTCGATCCCCCGTAAATCCCCGCCGTGGCTGTCTGGGTTGCATGTATGCATGCTTGCTGGCTCGCTTGCAGCTCAACGAACATGGCCGTCGACTCATTATGTAGTTCGGTAGAAACTCAGGCCGAGATCCCTCTTTCATCCTCATATCATGGCAGCCGGAAATGGGTCAGAGCCCGAGCGGCTGCACTCTCTCCACGCGGCTGCCTGTTGGGATGACGAGAGATTTGGGCTCGGAGGAAGAGCTAAAGGACTAGAGTCAGCAACTGGCTATCAGTTTCAAGTAAAATTAGAGAGCCACTCTGTTACATAGCCTATATAGAATGAGTGAAGGCAAATTGGAGGGTTATTATGTAAGTCCAAGCTCATCTGCACCATGGGGTTTGTCTCCCCCTTAGGGGCCTAAACACTTCCCATCCCCGAGTGCCCCGGGCCCCAAACGATGGATTTCGAGCCTGTAGAAGGGATCGAGTCCATGGTTTCAGCGTTGATAATGTTGCTGCCAATTTCAGAAGCCGCGTTGCGCTCCCTCCTACACTCGTGCCGCCGCCGGCTGGCTTGCGCTACGGACCTGACCGACGCCTCATCCTGGAAGCTAGAAACAACTAAATGCCGAGATCATGTCCTCCTTCTGCCTCCGATGACACACCCGCCGATTGGCCAGAGTCCGAGCGGCTGGTTGCCTGGCCTCGGGTGCCGGACGTTGTCGCCTCAACGGGATAAGCGCGCGCGGGCTATAAGCGCCACATCTGCCTTATTTTTGCGAAGGGATCGATTCCCTCACGTTTCCAGCGCCCACAAATCTCACAATTTCAGCCTGGACATGACTGACTGTTTGCGCCTGTTTTGCTGGTGGAATCCAGAGGGCGATGGCGGATGATAAGTGTGGTCTTGGACCTTCATTTCAACCCATTTCATCACTGTTCCTGTTGGGAGGTTGAGGTGGCATTGTCCATAATACTCTGGCCTTGACGGGTTCTTGGTTCTGAGTTTCGACTTAAAATGTCCACTCCTCCTTTGAATCCTGATCCTGTGTTGAGAGTGCCGAGGCCACTAAGATTCTAGATCTCAAGGCTATCTGGTCGACATTCTTCTTATTTTCTTCTCTTCTTTTTTTATCCTTTTTTGATACTCGCTCTTATAATCCATATTCCCATCCTTTCCCAGATCTAATCTCCATCAGTATGGGCAAATCCTCACCCCGCTGGGCATTGCTGGGCTTCAGGGCTCTCGCACCGTCGATATACATCAAAGAAGCCCCCCGCTCTTCGTCATCCGTGTCATCGACCGCTTCTGATCTCAGCTCCGACTCTTGGGCGAGCCGCATCAGCACGACAAGCCCCTCCCTTATCCTCCTCACCTCCTGGACGGGTGCCGACCCGAGACACGTCGTTAAATACACGAAGCGGTACCATGAGCTTTATCCGTACGCAACCGTCATGGTCATCACGACGGTGATACAAGACCTCGTCTTCCGCTCAGCCCAGGAAAAGGTCGCCGCGCTGGCCCCGGCTGTCGAGTTCCTCCGCCGGCACGTCAGCACGCAGCTGAAGCGGCCCACAATGCTCCTACACGCCTTCTCCGAGGGAGGATCCAACAAGGCCGTCTGCCTTGCCCAGGCCTACCTGGACGGCACGGGATGCCGGCTGCCCATAGGCGCGTTCGTTTTCGATAGCACGCCAGGCAAGCCGCACTTTTCGTCCAACGTTGCCGCCTTCAAGCGCTCGCTGCCGTCCAACAAGGCCATCCGCGCCGTAGGGGTCCCGGTCGGCATCGTGGTGTTGGGCGCAGTGTACGGAACATTCCACGTGATCAAGGGGTATGAGAATAACGTAATCTGTCAAACGCGGAACTCGCTCAACGACGAGACGTTGTGGGACGTCGCGGGCACGCCGCGGACGTATGTCTTCTCCGAGGCCGATGACCTCATTGTATGGGAAGACATCGTAGACCATGCGCAGGAAAGCGCCGAGCTACTGGGGATCGAGAGCGCTCTGGTTCGCTTCAAAAAGAGCGGGCATTGCAACCATGTTCGAGAAAACGAGCAGGCGTATTGGGCTGCCGTGGTGAGGACTTGGGAGGCGCAATATGTCGGGCAAGCCTTCTGATTCGGCCCCATGACAACCAAATTTCTTTTGTGTTTAGCCACCAGGCCGAACGATGTATCAACAGGATATGATACACGCGGCATTAAATCATTCTCGCGTTTCCAAGATTACCTTCACGGTTTCCCCCCTTAGATTCTTTTCAGGCTTAGATGCGGAATTAAAAAAAGAAATTCCACAGGTTCAAATAAAGACCCTCTTTTCTTGCCACTTGATGAGCATAAATGGTTCAAGATAACCTGTAGGTCTCGGAATAGATGGCTGGCCATAGCACGGCAGCGACGTCAAGAGACGCATTGAAGGTGTGAAGTCAAGCAATGCGCGCGTAACGAAACGACTAAAACAGGGGATAAACAACTGGCACAGACAATAACAGGCAAAGACAGGTGTGAGAAAAAGTAATCTTCTAATTAATGGTTGACCTCCTCAAGGGTGAAGTCCTTGAGGAAGTTGACTATATAGATATATACCACGTCAACAAACACGTGCATATGGTATTCTGGTAATCTACTCATGTGAGGCTTGTGACAATACGTATCGTAACATTTGTGACACAAAAAGGACGCTGTTAATTAAAGATAGTGATTAACTTCTTATATCCCAAGTAACAATATCCATATGGTGGGTGGTGAACTGAGCCAGAATCACGGGGTTCTTAAACAACCATACTCAATAAAAAAAGGGGCGTCGCATATCAATCCCCCTCCCCAAAAACACTATTCTCTAAGACGGCTTCTTTTCTGATATATAATTAGCCTTGTTCGTACACCCACACGAGAAGAACCGCGACTTCCGAACCAATCGTTGTTACTGAACCCCAATGGCAACATACGAGGAAAGCATTCGCAATGAATGGCGCATTCATTGAAAAAAGTCAAGACATGGCATAGACGAAGACGGAGCAAGCAATACGCTTTTGGAAGATCTGTGTGTAATTACTTCTCACCTCGTTCCCGGTATATACAAGCATACACACACACACACACACACACACCACGCGTCGTCCGTCACACGTCCCGTCTGTGACGACCCGACCTTCGGGACCCCCCCGGAATGACTTTGATGGGAGAAACATGAAAACAACCCATCCGTGAACACGCAAGAAGTAATAGACGACAACAGTGAGACAAGGAACAGAACTACCAGTGACGGGAGGTACAAATCAAGGGGGAAAATGGAAAATGGGAGGAAATGCTTTTTGAACCGGTTTACTCCATAAGTCTGAGTGTCCGCGCCGAGCCTTTGTGAATCTAGATTCGTTCAAAACATATTGGTCGCCGTTCCTTTACATGGTGGGGATACCCTCGTATTCGGCGTAGCCGAGGGCGAGGTTCATGTTCTCTGTGTGGTCGTTAGCCAGGGCGCTTGAAAAGGCCACAAAAGTAAAATCCAAATCAAGCCGGTTACGGGATAGAAGGGAACCGAAGCGGAATTCGGGCTAAGGAATGGGACAACTTACGAAGGCACTGGGTCGCTGCACCCTTGAGCAGGTTATCAATGGTTGAGCAGACGACGACGCGCTTGCCGCTGCTGTGAACTGCGAAACCACCAATCTCGACACCGTGCTTGTTCATGATGTTTTTGACTAGCGGGGGCTCGCCGACAACCTTGACGAGCTTCTCGCCTGCGTAGCGGTCTTGGTAAATCTGGCGGATGTCACGCGAGGTCATGGTCTTGTTGAGGGGGATGTGGATGGTGGCCTGGATGCCGCGGAACCAGGAGGCCACGTGCGGGGAGAAGGCGACGTCGGCGCCGAGCTTGACGCTGATCTCGCGCTCGTGAATGTGGTCCGTCAGGCTGTAGGGCATCAGGTTATCCTTGAGCAGGTTGACGTCGTTCTTGGGCGAGGGCTTCGTGCCGGCGCCCGAGTATCCGGAGATGCCGAAGACGGAGGGGGAACCGCCGAGGTGCTCAACCAAGGGGGCAATGCCGAGCTGCGCGGCGGTGGCGTAGCAGCCGGGGTTGGAGATCTTGTCAGCCTTGTAGATCTCGGAGCGGCCGGTTAACTCAGGAAGACCGTACGTCCAAGTGTTGTCGAAGCGGTAGTCGGCGGAAAGGTCGACAATGACGCTGCGGTGGTCGGCACCGGCCTTGCGGGCGTCGTTGATGGCCTCGATGTAAGGCTTGCAAACGCCGTTGGGGAGAGCCATGACCCAGCAGTCGATGGCGCCCTTCTTCTCGAGCTCGGTGACCTGGTCGGGGCTCAGGTTCTCGTAGACGACCTCGCGCTTGGTGTAGCCCTCAAGTTTCTGGCCGGCGAGCTCGCGAGACGAGACGTGGCGGAGATCCATGTTGGGGTGGGCGTTGAGCATCTCAATCAGAGCCTGGCCGGTGTAGCCACGGGCACCAATCAGGGCGACGCGGGAGGGGGCGTTGTTGGAAGCGTTCTTCTTGCCCAGAGGAGGGTTGGGGTTGGTGGTGGTGTAGGTGGCGAAAGTGCGCTTGCCGGAAAGGCTGGCGGCGGCAGGAGCCCATGTCGGGCGGCGAGCCATCGTCGAGAAGCCGCGGGCCTGGGCGGGCGCGGCGGCCTGGTTGAGGTTGCGGTTCGAGGTCTGGGCGGCGCGGCGCAGGCGGGCCTCGAGGTTGGAGTCGCCAAGCATGGCGCGGCCGTGGGCGTTGAACTCGTCGGTCAAGACGCCGAGCTCCTGGAGGTTGTCGATGCCGTACCAGAAGAGCTGGTTACCCTTGCTGGAGAAGCTGCCGTCGGCCTTGTCGAAGAACCAGGTGAGGTTCTCGTCCTCCTCGCTGACGGTCCAGACGAGTTTGGGGTGGTCCTTCTTGATGGCGTGGAAGACGTTCTCGGTGACGTTGCTCAGCCATCCCTCCTTGGTGACGGTCAGGGTAGCCAGAGTCGGATGGGATCGCTCCTCGTTGGGGGGCAGGACGATGGCGAGGCAGTTGAGGGGCTCGTCGTAGTAGGCCTTGAAAGGGGTACCCTTCAGAAACTCGATGTAACGGTCGACGGTGGCCTCGGCGTCCATGCCCTCGCGGTCGCGGATGAGCGTCTGCTTCAGCTTGGCAAGGTCGGGGAACGAGGAGATACTGTCGGCGAAGGCAATCTTGTCTCCGCGGCGGATCAGGGTACCGGCGCCAGAGTCGGTAAAAAGCTCCTTCTGCAGGTCACTTGGGTGGATGATGGCGACGCTGGAGGTGCGCGGCAGGGTCTCGAGGAGCTCCTTGATCTCCTTGATCTTGAGGCGGGTGCCGTAACGGCACCATGACTGCGACATGAGGTGGTCGTACTCCTCGTCGAGGTTGATGTGGGAGATCTTGTCGCCAGTCTCGCCGTTGAAGAGACCGCCCTTCTCGGAGAGGTAGACGATCTTCAGGGGCTCGAGGGCGCGTGCAAGCTCAGCGGCGGCGACATCGGCGTTAACGTTGAGGATCTGGCCCTCGGTGGTCTCGGCCATGGAGGTGAGGATGGGGACGTAGCCCTGGGAAATGGCCAGCTCGACGGGGGCCTTGTCGACGCTGGTGACCTTGCCGACCAAATTCCACTTCTCCTTGTCCAGGTAGTCGGCGGTCAGGACGGTAGTCAGAGGGCGGGTGCGGACGCCAAGGCTCTCGAGCTTCTCGACCAGCTTCATGTTCTCCTGGAGGAACAGCTTGCGGGCGACGGTCAGGGTCTTGCCGTCAGTGACGCGGATGCCCTCCTCGAACTGGGGCTCGACTCCAGCCTCCTGGAGCAAGCGGTTCAGCTGCGGACCGGCGCCATGGACAATGACGGGGTAGAGGCCGACCTCGTAGAGGAAGGCAATGTTCTCGCAGAGGTCATCGAGGTAGTCGGTGAGAATGGCACCGCCGACTTTGATAACAGCAAACTTTTGGGAGGAGACGGAGGTGAAGTATGACAGGTATTGCTGGCCCTCGCGGCGGCTGCCGATTTGGCTCAGGGTGCGGATGATGATGGCTCGGGTGCGGTCGCGGTTGGCCTGCTCGGACTGGGAGCTCGTGCTTGAGAGTGCTCGGATGGCATTGAGGCGCTGGAAGGGGTTGCGGACAGAGGCGACAGTCTGGTGACGGACGACGCGGGGAATGGCTCGGCGGGTGCCGGCGCGGATGACGGCAGCTGAGAACATGGTGACTATCAGCAACGGGTCAGTGGATTGGATCCCTCAAGGTCTTATCTTCTGGCTCGGTTGTTTCTCTTTTAGCCGTCGCCTACTTCGTAGCAGGCGTCCTAGGTCACGGCGATTTCCGAGAAAGGAAAGAAAATTGACGAGAAGGAAGGATAGAGAGATTGCGCCTGAGTCAATGGCGAGAGGGGCTTCCGCGTGGTTGCACGAAGACGCAACACAGCCTATATAAATGGCAATATGCGGGAGGGAAGCGTTGAGTACACACCTCTTTCGAGCTCTAGTTTTAAATCCTCGGGAGTAGGTGTTTATGGCACACGCTCGGGCGGGTATAGCTTGTCACTCTGACTCCTCTCTCCGACTCTTTTCAAACGCCAACAAGGTCCAATTGGGTGCCGACCAACGGAGGGAGCAATTGAGTCAGACAGAATTAACCGACGACGGAGAAGGCCCTACGGATCGGATCGAAGATGGCGAAGGGGACGGACGGAGGAGCAATTGGACCAATTGTTTGCAAAGAAGGGTCAAGACGGAAGGAAGGAGAGGAGAGGAGAGGAGAGGAGGGGGAAAAGGAGCACCAGGAGATGAAAATGCGAGCAGCAAGAGGGCACGGCGAGGCTTTTTACTTTTTGAGGCCTGCGAAGGTGCCGGGCGTGGGCGTGGGCATGGGCGTGGTGGGCATGGGACAACCGGTATGATGCAGTGGAGGTGGTGCGGACTGTGGAGGAGGGGCAGGGGGGCCTAAGCCAACGTGTGAAAATTCGACCGAAACCGCTCTGTCTCCCCTCTCTCTGCCATTGCGCTGCTTCACTCGCCGCTTTCCTCGCCACTCTGTGCCAGCTGGCAAGGCTGTTGCTGGTACCGAGTGACCAAAAGAACCTCGCTTTTCACACTAGATACCTAGGTACCACCTACTTACCTTAGGTCCTGTACTAGCTGAGGTGCATACTTTTTGCTACTCGAGATCGTCTGTACTTGTTCTATTTCCCCTCAACCAATCATCCTCTGACTACTACGCTCCCTAATTGATATCCCAAACTGACTCGCATAGTCTGGCCTCTACTATAACAAGCCGGGAAAGATGAAAAAAATAAAATAAACAAATCAGTAACACACGCTGACGGGGCACCCACTCCTTGGTCAACCGTCTTATACGCATTACGCTACGCCTGCCCTGCGCACGGTGGAGTAAATCCGCACTTCTCTCTCTATTGATTGGGAAGTGGACTCTCGGCTATTGGTCGGATCTGATAAGGAATGCCCTGGTGCGTACAAGATCACCAAGAGAGCCCGCCAGGATCCGCACTTTGTGGTCCCATCTTTCACAAGCACGCACACACCCTAGGCAAGGAAAGGGAGAAAAAAAAAAGAGAAAGAGAGGCATTTCCTGCTTGTTCCTTGCCCTCGGAAAAAGTTTCCTGAAAGCCTTCATTTCAGTGGCGGCGGAACAATGACCGAGGAAGAGCGAAGCTGCGAGCAGGGCCGACGCGAGCCGAAGCGGGACGAGATACTATAACTGTCGGCGGTCGACCTGCGAGGCCGCCGGACATAGCATTGACTTCGTCTTGGAGTGACAAATTTATGGAAGGCACCGAGGTGAGCCCTTTGAGCACCGTTGACTGACCACGGCCGGCTCAGCCTGGATGGCGGCGTATAGGCCAGAAAGCGACACGTCTCCCAACCCCCCTCGCCATCCGTTCCCGGCCGGGTGGAAACATGACAAGTGGACACGCAACTCTAAACGCCTCCTCGGATCTGTCGCCTCTCACGCCGGCCCATCGTCAACGCAATCCCGGCCCGGTGCAGGACACCGCCGAGCTTGAGATGAACCACCAACCATGCAACCCCTCCGTCAGGTGCTGGGCTTGGGTTGGCCTTGACCTTAGGTGGCGTCCCGTCCATACACTGCCCGAGATCGTGGATCCCCCGTCCTACCTGAGGGGTCTCGACTGCCGGTGGCCGCGACCCCGCGACACATCCGCCGTCAATCTGCGAGCGTCGGTTTCAGAACTCCATCCAATTACCTATCTGACCCCTCGAAAGCCAGACCTGGCTGTTCGCCAGTGTTTCGTAGCCCCTAATTGGCTGGCTGGCTGCCTCTTCCTGAAGTCGACATCTATGACAAATGAAGGCATACACACGCACATGTCACGTCACCGTAGACTCGGAGCTCGCCAACGTGCCCGTGAGAGATGGTTTCGAAATCTAGCGCGACTTTTCACTTCATTTTGTTGAAAATACGGGAGAAAGGGCCAGTCCGAGTCTGGTCCGTCCAGGTGTGAAATCAGGGCCAGTGGAATTCAAAGTACGCAAACGCCTGCCATCCCTCATACATACATGCGGTGGATCCGCAGCCGAGCGGCCCCAACTGCGTCGGAGCAAGTCCCCGAGTTGGCCAGCAGCCCTCTTTGCATGCAGACCATCGAAGTAGATCGAAGTCCGTTTCGAACAACCTCCGCGCTTCCCAAGTCATTAACCCGTCGGGATGGTCCCTGAGTAGCAGGGTGCCCGACTCATCGCCTCGTCTCCCACGGTTGCTCGAAGCCTGCGAGATATCTGACAATTCATTCCATATCATGACGGCGAACCATGAACCCAAGGGGCCAGCGCAATGCAAACAAGTGTGGTATCTAGTTACTAGTGGCGGGTAACAACAACTGGCCGGCCAAGTTAGCGTGTTGCAACGACTATATTCGACAACAGAGGACTGGTTAGAGCCACACAGTGACAAGGATACAACGCAATCCAAGGGGAAAGCGCTCGAGGAGATGGGGGTAAATACCTGGAATGACGATGATGAGGATGAGAATGATGACGCCGGCAATCAGGCACATGCGCATCTTCATGTCCTTCCACCACATCTGCTTGCGAACGCGGTTGGCGCCCCGACGGAAGCCCTGGGCCGAAACAGCCAGGTTGTCCGTCTTATCTTGCAGCGCATCCAGACGCTCACCTCTTTGGGAGACCTTGTTGATGTTCTCGCGCATCACGCCGACGGTGTCGTCGATTTGCTATAAATAGAACGTCAGCACATGACTCTGGTGACAATCTTCCGACTACGTAGGCGAAACAAATTTGCCCCTGATTACGACGCCAGCGACCGTCGAAAGAGAAAAAAAATTTCCGCGTGGTTCCGTGCGAGGCGCTCGTCAAGTAGCGAGGCCCCTGAATTCATCGTGATGACATGTTGCCAATGTGTCAACCATGTTTGTTGTTGATGCCAAAAGGCTGATGTGCGACCGGCATTGTTACGACGCAACACCGCCCAACATAACACAACGCAATGCAACAAGAATCAAGGCTCGTGATTGAAGAATCAATGTGGTGAGGCCGTCGTTATCATCATGTTCGACCCGGAGCGCTGAAGAATTGATGCGACAGCCCAATCAGGCGTCGTCATGTTGGGTCGCGCGGATAGCTCGGTCGGTCGGTCGTCATCAGGCGTACATTCCGGGGCCAACCCGATGGACAGAAGGCGATGACAAAAAAGGAAAGGAAGATTCTCGCAACGTCAAAAAGGTAGCGCAACTTACAGCTTGCAGAGCTTGAGTCCTCGCATTGCCGCCAGCTCCTCCTTGTTGCGTCGCGGGCTGGCCGCCGCTGGGGATGTAAGGGTCGTAGGGGGCGTCCTCGGGCATTGTCGCTGTGGTGACGGAAGAGGTCGAGGTAGGTGTAAAGTTGGGGCTCGCTGGCGGAGCTCGAGGCTGCAGCTGGTAGGATTAAAGTGTTTGTTGCGGACTGCCGAGATGCAAGATTGAACTGGACGACCGGTCGGAGTTTGTTCGATGGAGATCGGGCGCGGTTGTTGATAAACGGATGGGAAAAGTGAGGTGTGGTTGGGAAGAGGAGAAAAGGTGGTTGGCGGGCGTAGGAGGGTTGATGAGGTGGTTAAGTTCGGGTTCAGGTGATGAGACGTCTAGGAGCAGAGGCGAGCGCCCGGCCGAAACAAGGTGTCCGTCTGAGGATTTTTGGGGGGGGGGGGGGTTGCTGGGGAGGGGCGGACAGAGAGAGAGGGAGAAAGAGAGGGACGTTCGAAAGGGGACAACAACCAAGGCCACATTGGGGGATGCTGGTCCACCAATTTTAGCAGAGCTGGGAACGACCCAGCCACTGGAACAAACCAGCACCTCACCTGAAAGGATGCAGCGCGCGGCACAACACGACCTCAGCACGGCCACCCACCCACCACTGGATATGGATGGATGGATGGACAGGCAACGCAAAGGATGATGGATGGGGCGCCGAAGGGAAGGACAGAGGTGGATGCTGCGCTGCGCTGCGCTGCGCTGCGCTGCGCTGCGCTGCGCTGCACTACAACAGCTCATAAGGGCCAATCAAGACAGGTGTTTCGACCAAGTCAGAGTCAGACCAGCTATACAGGGTACGTACCTGTCGTCTGGTGCCTGGGGAACCTGGGAAAAAGTGGAAAGCGAGAAAAGTCATGGACAAAGTGAAGTCTCTCCTCTCTCTTTCTCTCCTTCTCTACACGAGTTAGCCGGCTAACTATCTCTAGTGTAAACTCTGCCCAGCAGTCCATGCGGGTGCCCTAACATGACAAAAGAGGCGGAAGGTCCCTCCTTGAACAAGAACAATCTGGACTTGTCTCGACGCAGCACTGCCATTTCCCTCCCTACTTGCCTTGTCTTGATCGCTGCACACGCAGTCTTGAGCCAGGGGGCCACTTCCATGGAGACCCTACTTCGTACCCCAGTTGCTTGTATATAATCCGAGCCTTGCTGCGGCAACGCTGACGAACTCGGGGCTTCTGATGTAATTGTTGAGGCGGTGCTGAAGTGTCGTCACGGCATGGACCCCGACACAGCCGGATTGGGCCAGAATTTGATCGCATCCCATCCCATCCAACCTGTTCGGTTCGATTCGTATTCCACTGCATTGTCCAAGAGACGGCACGTGAAATCGTACATCGTACCACGTGATGCGTATATCCACCCTCTTGGCCCGGACCTGAGCCCTGTGGCGCTGGGAGCTCATCTCCACACAGTCGGCGGCGCAGCCATGTGGCTTGCCCATTCTCCCTTAATCCCTCCTTAATTCCTTCCTGCTCTCCTCGTCTACACAGATCCAATCGACATATTGCCGCAACCTTTTCTTTCTCTCTCTTTTTTCCCTTAACTGACTGGCAGGTTTGATTCGCATCTGCGATTTTCGAGAGTGTGCTCATGCATCGGCAGTACGGATATAGTGCGAGGAAACCTAAGAGACCGATGCTCTGAGCAATCGTTAACTTGCCGTCTCAAGACGCCTAGACAGACGCTGAGCAACGCTTGTTAACCATAAAAAGAACGATCGCTTTGTTGTCGTCGAGCAACGATACCTCTCCAGTACTTATATGCTGCTTGATGCATGCGGTTGACGCGCGTAAAGAGAACTAATACTACACGGCAGAGGACATCGACTGCCACCTCGAAGGCGATCACAACGGTAGCGTTTGACAAGTCCCGCGTCATGCTTGCAGACACGCTCCCCCTTGGCTGCTGCTGCGACTGCGATGCCCCCATTTACCCCCGAACTGTTGCAATGATGTTTCACCCGCTTGCCGTCCACACGTTGGCTAGCAACGAAATTGTGCGTTTTCGTCCGCATGCTGACTGGGAGAGGTCGAAACATCCATCAACTTGGTCGCGACGATCATCGGGCCTGTTGTCGAGTAACTGGAGTCGGTTCGAGGAATGGATTCGCACGGGTGTTAATTACGCTCTTTACGACGCTGGATTGCGGAATCACAAGCCTTAATGCCAAAGAAATGGGCGATGCTCCACGAACTGCCTGATGCGGGCTCCCGCTGGCATGCTGCTTCTCTGTTTCCTGGATCAACGCGAGATGCATTCTCGTCGGAAATTAGTTGAGCCAAGAATGCGGGCTCTACTGCCTTGACATATGCGTCGCCATACTGATCCATCATCACGAACGCGCTTTCTGTGTCTGTCCATCTCATGTCTCGGGCCTCCAATCATGTCGCTTGGGCGCTGGATGCATTGAAGGGGTGGAGTGGCGGGCTAAGTCGTTCGCAGATGTTGAGCACCCGCTCGCACGAGCGCCGAGCTTCACAAGCCCAGGATCGGCTGGAGATAAACAACAACCAAAACAACAACAAGAACAATGGTAAGGCTTCGGCGGGAAACGACCAACGATTGAGTTTATGTCTCCATGTCTACCAGCGCCGCACCTCACACGTACGACATCCAAAGTTGGAGGAGACAAAGAGGTGCCGTTCTCGACAGTATGCACGTCTTGGCAACGGTCCATGACGATTTCCCCGTTCGCTACCATGTCTCGATCCTGCGCAATGGTTGGCTTCCACGTTCTGGGAGCAGGGCTTCTGGGTTATTGTGCCACTCGTTGAGCTCGGCACCCACGGCATTGGCCCTGTTTATCGGAAGCCAACCACCCCCGAAGCTTTGTGATGATCGCCGACGTCAACCAGCCCCGGTTTATTGAGTTATTTTCCTCGAATGCCAAGAAGGCTGCGCGCAGTTGAGCGCGATGAGGTCGCGAGACTACCGGTAAGAGTTTTTGGTCGTCCACCAGTACTACAAGCTTCTGGGTCAATCAGTTCATCAAATCTCGGTATACCTATGGCTATGGCCAGAGCTGGGGAAGACACGTCAGATAGGACGACATGGTAACCCCGGTTTCAGTGGTGGAAGGACAAGCCCCTTGGCCTGCCCCTCGTACACCTCGAATAAGAGAGAGTCAGCTCCCCAGGCCGGGCATACCTACGAGAGTTGACTTCCCGGCAACCAAACGCGCTGTAACTTGGAACATGCGCCAGTGACAAGTCAGCAATGTGCAGCTGCAGCACCAAGCTTATGGGACGGCAGGGGGGGCTCAGGCCACAGCCGGACGGACTGCAGATGGGATGAGGTAATACCTAATGCTCAATCACCAAAATCATGTCATGGTAAACAAGCGTAGCTGCCTACGGACGGTACTGTTTACAGGCGGCGGCTGCTGGGGACAGAGCGGAAAGGGGCAAGGGGGATCATCACAACACGACAACAACAAGCACACGAGCGGTAAGACATTGTTACGCTGAACATCGCTCAGCTGGTTTCGTGAATAATGCTTAGTTTGCCCCCAAGGTCTCACCAGACCCGTCATGTTCACGTTCTCCCGTGCCTCTCTCTGCTTCCTGTCTTAAATTTGGTTTTGTCCCGGTAGATTAGTCGCTCGGCAGAGCCGAGGGCAAATCTTGTCTGTCAGAGGGGCCTTCGTATTTGATTTCGAAGCTATTATTAGTGGACATCCGCCGCTTGTCGCCTGCCTTCCCGCGATCCCTTGATTGAAGCGGTTCCATCTTTCTTCTGGTATCCTGGACCCCTCCTGACCAGAACAGAACTCGTATTTACTCGGACGGTTATAAGCACCTCTTTTGCACCTGTTCTCTTCCCCCTTCTCTCGGGTTCTTTGGGTGAACGCACGAAACATAGAGGTGGAAGCAGCAACACTCAAGCGAGCGCAACTCCGCCGTCGTCATTCCTTCCATCCGACTCCTCCTGGTTCCTCCGAGCCTGGACTCAACTCGACTCGACACTCACAAAGTGTCCCTTCTCTTCTGGGGGCGTCTGGCCTGCATGCACATGCGGTGCGCAAACGCATACATACATCATACTACATACCTACCTGTATTAGTACACGTACTTCCCCCAGCTGTGAGCTGCTAGCGCTTGTGTGGCTAGTCCAACCACGCTGTACGAGGAGGAGGCCACAATAGTAACTTCCAACCTTGCCGGCCGTCCCCTCTTAGGACCTACTTCATCGCCCCACGAACGTGACTCGATTCCATGTCCACGCCCTGTCCGGTTTACGCTACGGAATTCTTCGCTTGATGCAGCTGTTGGCCGGCTGCTCACTCCCACTTGGCGGCACCTACGCTCTCTTTCTTTCGAACTTAATCGAGGCCTGTCCCCTCGGATTCTGCATCAGTCAAATCTCGTTTTTCATGCTGGCTCTCTGTCGAAGCCAACCACTCCTCTCTCGCCAATTCTTCACATCATGACCGCACTGCGGGGTCGGCCATCATGGTCTGTAAGCCGGTTTTTGTCGGCAATGCTGCTGGTGGTCGTCCAGTCCACCAACGCATACAATCTGATCCCCAGTGACCCTAGTAAGTGGTATTGCCTTCCTCCATCATGTTATTACTTACAGGTATTGTGCGCAGACAGTGTCAAGACCATCGCAAGGTCAATGACGGAAGACCTCATGTCTTTCTACGACGGAGACAAGCCGGGCAACACACCTGGTCTGCTTCCCCTGCCACACTACTGTAAGTGCATTCTCGCAGTCGTTGGGTTCTCGCTTGCAGACTGACACCATCTCAGGGTGGGAGGCCGGCGCCCTCATGGGTACTATGATCGATTACTGGTACTACACCGGCGATGATACCTGGAATGACGCCGTCACCCAAGCACTTCTGCACCAAGTCGGCAGATATAACGATTACATGCCCGAAAACCAGACATTGACTGAAGGCAACGACGACCAGGGCTTCTGGGGACTTGCTGTCATGTCTGCCGCCGAGCTTAAATTCCCCGATCCTCCCAAGGACAAGCCTCAGTGGCTTGCGCTTGCACAAGCAGTGTTCAACACTCAGGCCGCACGTTGGGATCCCGACCATTGTGGAGGAGGGCTTAGATGGCAGATATTCAACTGGAACCTCGGGTACGACTACAAGAACACCATCTCGCAAGCCTGCTTCTTTGCCCTCGCAGGCCGTCTGGCCCTCTATACTGGCAACACATCATACTCCGACTGGGCCGAAAAATCGTGGGAATGGATGGTAAATGTCAAATTTGTCACGGACGACTACTACGTCTACGACGGCGGTCACATTCAGTACAACTGCACAAACATCGTGCCCTATCAGTGGACCTACAACGCCGGTGGCATGATCCTCGGTGCGGCTGCCATGTACAACTATACCAAGAGCGATGTGTGGAAGAGTCGGCTGGATGGGCTTGTGAAGGCGGCCGATGTTTTCTTCGTGGGGGCGGAGAATAACATCATGCAGGAGGTTGCGTGTGAGACGGTGAATCTCTGCAACCTCGACCAGCAGTCCTTTAAAGCATATCTCAGTCGTTGGCTGGCCATCGCCACTAAATGGGCCCCGCACTTGACAGAGCGCATCATGGCCAAGATCCGCCCCTCGTCTGTTGCGGCTGCAGCCCAATGCAGGGGTGGAACGAACGGACGCATGTGCGGACTGAAGTGGACCGAGAACGGGACTTGGGATGGAATGCAAGGTGTCGGACAGCAGATGGCGGCCCTCGAAATCACCCTCGGAAATATCGTTGGAATATCCAGGGACCACGTTACCGCCGAAGGCGGCGGCACTTCTCAAGGCGATCCCGGAGGCGGGGGCAGCGACATTGGACGGACGATCCCGGCCGTCTCAAATTATCCGCCTTTGAGTCCAGGCGACACGGCTGGAGCAGCAATCCTAACGATGCTGGTTCTCGGGATGCTTGTTGTCGGGATTGCTTGGATGATGATAGACGAAACATCAAAGAAACCCCTCCAGCAGCGGTTTTACGACTTCAGATCCGCGCTTCTCGGAGGCGGGGGCCCGACGGCCTTGACCAAGCGACATAAGACGGACGAGATGAATGAGAAAGGCAAAGGGATCGACCAAGATGGTTCCAGCGACGGAGCAAGCTCCCACGAAAACGGTATATTGACCTCACTACCGCCGACGAGGAATGATGCGAGTGGCCACCGATATTTGACGCAGCGAGACAGCATGGTGTCTGAAATGAGCGGCACGTCAGCGATCTCAGCCCGTCCCACAAAGATCCCCATGGTCCGGGAGAAGAGATTGAGCAGGACAAATGGGCACTCTACGTTGCGGAACAGCGTAGCGTCGCAGCGGTCTGCTCGGATCGAATAACTGGCAGATGAGCAAGAACCTCGGCGAGCATCCAATAGGGATGCTTGGCATTCACTACCAACGGCGTTTATTGGACGAAACTGGACATTTTTCTGGAACATACTTGGATGTTTACATATGCGTTGGGTTGCCATCATCTTGCATTAACTCAAAACCCCGACTGGAAAGCCGCTGTCAGCTACCACGGCACGACCAGCTCTCACGTCAAGGCAGACGGAAATAAACAAAAGCTTACGACGTCATGACAGCTTGTATATAGATAGATGATGCCAATTGGAATGAAAGGGCCTCGTGGCTGCTCTGCACACATTTTCTTCGACCCTGGATGTTGCGCGAATCGGATCAAGGTGGGAAGACAGACCGCGACGATGTTTGGCAACTAAGCGTATGCTCCGAGGTGGTTGCCGAACGCAATTGACCCCGGAAATACCTCCGGCCGTTCGCCTTCAGGCGGAACGGCGCCGATGTCCTGGCCGGCTGCCGAGACAGAATGCCAGCAACCCGGGGTGATCGGACAAGACTGTTGGACGCCGAGAACGAGAACACAGCCGAGGTAGGGTTCCCACGTCCCCAGCTAGGTGAGTGGCCAGATAGACGACACCTTTGATTCATGTGTTCTCACAATCATCACTACCAGAAAGCTTCCGGGGTGCGGACTCTACGACAGTCAGTTTTCGCTTTCACATGGCGATGCAACACCAAAGTCCCTTCTGGCAGTTTCCTTGGGGAACAACACGCGCCCATCTCGATCCATTCGGGCCTGCATGCCTCTTCGAGAACCGAGGCCCAGACCGAGGGCCGGTTGAGTACCACATTTCCATTCCGGGTGGGTTCCCAAAGGCTTGCTGGCGGCTGATTGGGAGGCGGGGGGGGCGGGGCCGTGACGGATCAAGACCGCGCAGCTGGCGACGCTTGTTTGGTTCGTCTACATATGTAACATGCGGGGGAGGGGGGTCCCCCGCGGATGATCTGCTAGGTACTCGGGTAACTAGTCAAAGTAAAAGCATATGGCGTTACTGTCAAAGAAAAATCCCTGCGCGAAACCGAGAGGACTGGGAAGAGGCACTATTGGCGGGAAGCTAGGTAGTCTGCTGCGGGCTGAAGGGGACTTCTGCACGCCGGATGCATATGCGAAGGCACACCACGGACGCGTGTGACGTGAAGGCAAACCCCGCTGGACGTCTCGGCACATATATCGTTTTGGAAGCTTGCAGCACAGACTTCTGACGACCACCTGGGAGACAGCCGGTTGGCTGATGGATCATAGGTGGTCTAGAGGGAGAGGAGAAGTATAGATAGGGAACAGCCCCTTTGCTCCCCTTCGAGCTGCAGAACCTGGCGTCCTCCCCAATAAAATCGAAAAAAGAAAAAGGGCACAGCATGGCGCGAGATTACTTTTACCTTGCCTCGTCGGCCGTCCTAGGGGGTTATGTTCTCTGGACGACCGCCGAGACGTACGTCCGCTGGAGTCACAACTCCCATCTCGCTTCCTCCCACGCCCACGCAAGCCCCGTACTTGCCGCCCTCGTGTTCCTCCCCGCCCTGGTACTGTACAACAAGGCACGGTTTCTCCTCAAGGCGAGGGCTCGCGGTTGCGGCGACACACCCGTGTACCCGCACACGGACCCGGTGTTCGGCAGCGACTGGGTGCGGGCCTCGCTCGCGCGCCAGCGCGACCACGGCGTGCTCGAGTGGTGGCAGACCGTGTTCGCGAAACTGGGCCACACGTGGTGGTTCAAGACGCCGTCGGGGTGGGTGCTCATGACGGACGAGCCGGCCAACATGAAGGAGATGCTGGCCACCAACTCGGACGACTTCTCCATCAAGGGGCCGCGCAGGGACGTGATGCTGCCGATACTGGGGCCGGAGGCCATCTTCTCCTCCAACGGGGACGTGTGGCACAGGGCCAGAGCGATGATGAGGCCGACCTTTGTGAGGAACCAGATTGCGGACTTGAGATGCTTCGAGAGGCATGTCGGAAACCTGATGGCGAGGATCCCGAGGGACGGCTCGCCGGTGGATCTGCAAGAGCTGTTGTACATGATGACGATGGACTCGGCGACGGACTTTATGTAGGTCTCTCAGACGGTCGCCCGTCTTTTTTTTCTTCTTGTCTTTCCCTTCACCGTACTGACGAGTATCGGACAGGTTTGGGCACTCGACAAACATGCTCACGGAGCCGTCCCCCGAGGCCCGCCACTTCACCTCGACCTTTGAGTACATCACAATCCGTTCGGCCCTCCGCACGCGTCTCGGCCTCCTGGCCTTCCTGGACGACGACAAGAAGTGGCACGAGGGGCTCGCGACCATCCACCGCTTCTGCGACCGGTACATCGAGCGCGCACACGACGACCTCGCCGCCAACGAGGGCAAGACCGACAAGGCCGACCCGGAGCGGGGATACGTGTTCCTCAACGAGGTCATGGGGCAGCCGGGTGTGACGCCCGAGTACGTCCGCGCGCAGCTGCTGTCCATGATCCTCGCGGGGCGCGACACGACGGCCTCGACGCTGTCGTCGCTGTTCTGGATCCTGGCGCGCGACGGGCGCGTCATGCGGAAGCTGCGGCGCGAGGTTGACGAGCTGCAGGGGCGGAAGCCATCGTGGGAGGAGATGAAGGACATGAAGTACCTCAATATGGTGCTTAAGGAGAGTGCGTCCACCACCAGCACCCCTGGTCCCTATACTCTTACGCATGCCCGCGCGACGGTCCTGATGTGGCTGGAGCGTTGAAGATTGGAGCCCATGACCTGAAGTGCTGATTAATCCTAGTTCTGCGGCTTTACCCGACCGTCGTAACCATGTCTCGCTGCACAGAACGGGACACCACGCTCCCCGTGGGCGGCGGGCCCGACGGCAAGGCTCCCGTCTTCCTCACGAAGGGCACGCTGGTGCGGTGGTCCATCTTCCACATGCAACGGAGGAAGGACCTGTACGGCGAGGACGCCGACGAGTTCCGCCCCGAGCGCTGGGAGGAGAGGCGGCCCACGTACGTTCCCCTATGCGAACGGCGTATGCGTCTTTTGCTAATCACTCCTTGACCTACTGCAGGTGGGACTACATCCCGTTCTCCGGCGGCCCCCGGATCTGCATCGGCCAACAGTTCGCGCTGACGCAGATGAGCTACTTCGTGGTGAGGGTCTTGCAAACGTTCAAGGACATCTCGCCGAGGGACGACAGGCCGATTCAGCAGACACTGGGGATCACGGCGAAGCTGGCAAACGACGTGCTGCTCAGTTTCACGCCGGCTTAGGAGGCCGTCAAGGAGGCGGGGAAGGGGGCTACTGGATAATGAAAGGATGGTGTCTGGGCGGTGAGTCACTTGAGATTGCACAGGATGGATTGATGCAGCTTTCACGTTTGGCGTAGTTCGAGGATAGGCCATCGTCAGAAGCGTATCCGTAAGCAGCACTAAAGGACCTATCATTGACCCTTGTCGTCGATGTTTGATTGCCCTGCACGTCATCCGCACTCTATTGCCACACTATCGACAAGCCCGGACGTGGTTTCCGGATTGCCAACGCTAGTTGGTATGTCGGCCTGGAACGAGTTTTGCCAGGTCGTGGACTAAATCATCGGAGGGGGGTAACCAACATCATCGCGCAGCAGCATGCGGGTAGGATGAGTGCGTCTCGGCATGCAGCTGTATAGATTGGTGCGAGGCCGCGCGGGACTCGTCCAACCCCAGACGGGCCCGGATCCTACACCAGCGGTCTCGTCGTGCCCGCCAGCGGTGACATGCTGGATCTCTCATATGCACCATATGCCCCGCCCATCAACCGATCACAGGAGGTAGATCGACGCGTCGGACCGTTGCACGGAACCTCTAGTGCAAAGTGTGTCTCTTTGACAGGTGAGAAATCCGTGCGCTCGTCTCCCCCCCTGGGGAGGGGACGGGGAGGCTTTGGGAAACCCAACGTACGCTGCAGCAAATATGTAAGGGCTTCGCGAGCACCCGAAGCCCACGTCTCAGCCACCCTTGACAAGGGGGGAGGAGGACAAAAAAAGAAAAAGAAACGTTGGTGACCAATCTCAATCTTGATCCGAGCCAACGCTCCTCCCTCGAATCTCTTAACCGGTTCATGCCATCCAACGAGTTGGTTGGGAGATTGGTGAAAGCTTTCGTTGGACGTGGAATGGGAAGGGGAGGGGAGGACGAAGCTGGTTTCGTGCAAGGGCCGGGACGGCCTGGTTACGTCCTCGTTACATGACGAGAGCGGGATGAAACCCAACAGTCGTGCGGGAGTGGACTGGACTGGACCGTTTCGGGAGCAAGGGCATAGTGTCTCTCGACATTCTACCTACCTCAGATGCGTGTAGCCGAGCTCGACGACTATCCAGATACCCCGACAGAGAGGGAGCCGGGCTGGAGAAGACAACAAACCAGCCAAGCTCGAGGTTGCGCGTCTCGGTGACAAGACGGGAGCCGCTCCCCTCAGAGTCTGGGGAATAGGTCTCGCCTGCGTTCGCGTTCGAGACTTGCTGGACAGTTGGGCCGAGTTGTTTCCAAGGCTTTCTCAGCGTCGTAACCGGATGTGCCTGGTTTTAAGAATGCTTGTCATTAGTACGATCGAGGGAGGAAAGCAAGACAAGAGAGATGGGAGGGAGGCGGGGCGGGGCGAGGCGGGGCTCATTCCTCTGGACAAGCAAACAATCGGCATCCAGCTCTGGAGGTTTCGATGACAAAGGATGAGGGAAATAACGGCGAAAGGGACGCCAAGGTTACGTGCCAGCAGCCAACTGCCGCCGAGGTCGGCGAGGAAACAATGGACATGGGCCCATGTTGGCTGTCAAGAAGAAACTTGACATGAGTGGGACCCGGGTGTTGTAGGCGACGATCCACGACGGAGCATTATCCCGCTTGACCGCTGGGGAGGCGTGCAAACCAACACATTTCTTATTCCAGCTTGATCGGCATTTCTGCTCGTCACGGGTTCCCAGTAGAAAAAGGGGGGGGGGGGGGTTTGCTGTGCCAGCGTACGTATCACCCAATGCCCTCCAGTGGCATCGTACGTCCGTTGGGAGAACAAACTGCAAACCGGGACGGTCACTGCCGGCTAGCCGCATGAAAGAAAGACTCGTACGATTCATCAGAGACGATGCGAAGTTGGCAGTATGAAGCAAAATATGCAAAGGAGACGCGGACTGGCCTTGGGGAAGGGGGTTGATAGTGTGAGGGAGAGGAGGGAGAGGTGTGCCACGAGGACAAGGGCCCAGGCACATAACTCCATGGTCCCAAGAGTTAGTTGGTCAGTGTCAGTTATTCTTTCTTCCTTTGCCATTCTTCCGTGGGAAGAAAATACACAAAGGTGCGCTTTGTTCCCTCGGGGATACTTTCTTTCTCATCCTTTCCCGAATCTTTGGTTCACCGTTTCCCTGCCTCGCCCAACCGCCGCCGTGTGCTCCAAGCTCTTAACCGCATCGCCGCCCCCATCAGCTTGAAAACCCCCTACCGAGTTGCCCTGTCTCGATTCGGTGATAGGCCACCCTCTTCGCCCGGACCGCCTCCTTCTCCTCGCAGGGCCCTTGAGCCTCCCCTTCCCTCCGTCGACACACGGACCTGGTGTCCGCCGCTACCATCCATCGCCGCCGTTCCGCGCACGCAAACAATCCGGCTTCGACGACATGTCTTTCTTCGAAGGAGACACGCGCACGGGCGAACAGCCCGCGCCGCCGCCACGGGCCCTCACGCCCGTCGAGATCGGGGCCATCGTCGGCACCCTCACCGTCTTCGTCGGCGTCGTCGGCTCTCTCCTGTTCTACCGCGCCCACACTGCCAAGAAGCGCCGGGAGAAGAACGGCGAGAGGGTGGACGACGACGAGCTCCAGTTACAGGGCACGGGGAACGTCAAGAGTGAAGACGGGTCGTTCCGGCCGGAGGTGAGGGTGGCGAGTCTGCCGCCGCCGCCGCCAAGAACCCTTCTACCCCGGAACAAGAAGGTTTGGGGTCCGTACGAGGGGGCCCAGATCGAAGAGGACAAGGGTAAGCTTCCTCTCATCGGAGGGGATGTGATGCAAGCTGACGATGTAGATTTCGAACGAGCCGAGAGCCATGAGATGCAGGATGGGAAGAAATTCGGGGTGACGATAAAGCGAGAGGCGTATTGATGGGAAAGTGCGATCTTTTCTTCTTCTTGTTTCATGGAGCCTGGTTCGAGACCCATAGAACGAGGGATCTTGGATGTACGCATCCGGTGTTCGAGCATTCACTGTATGTAGCTCTTGACTGAGGATTGAATTGATCAGTTTGAATACAAATACTGCCAGATTCCGTTCTGATTGCATCTAACGCAATTTGGTGCTTGCATATTGACCGCCTAGCTTGTCAGTGCACTACTGTAATACCGGGGAGGGGAAACATGAATAGCCAGCCAATTTCTGGCTGGCTCCGAGTGTAGTGGTGAAAATGTATTGGACGCCAACACCTGAACCGATATCCAATACACAATAAGCATGACTAACGGTCTGAATCCCCATTCATGATCTTACCTGAAACGCCAAAGATGCTTCGCGACCCAACCGTTTCATAATCAACCGTGATACAAAATTGCCATCGACGATGCTGTTGCCTATTGCTGACCAGGCTTGGGCATGTAGCGGCTTCTAAACGCTTGACTAATGCTGAACCTGCTCCCGATGGCGCCATCTTGCATCTTACTCGCGAGGGCCTCCTCGAGCGCGGACTGTGTAACCGAGGCGTCTGCCGCTCGTTAGCAATGCGCGGACTAAACCTGGCGGAGAACCTACCGTCCAAGTCACTGAAACTGCTGCCCATGCTGGGCGTCCCGTCGCTTCCGTCCCGCGAGTATCCCTTTCGACTCGGGCTCTTGCCGGCCAGCTCTGACGGGCGCCGTGGAGAGAGCGGGCCTGCTGGACGACGCTCTCCCGTCGAAGGGCCGCGGGACACCAAGGCTGGTGAGCTGGTAGACGAATCCGACGTCTCGGAATAATGTATCCTCTCCTTGCCCTTCGGTGTCCGTCGGGCGATTCGGGGGTCGCCCCGCAGAGTGGAGCCCAGGTCCTGCGCCGATGTATTGGACGACTGCGGCTTGTATTGTAAGAAGGCAGGTTCGGTGTCTTCGTCTTCATCGTCGAGGTCGACAGGCCCGTCACGTTGCTGAAAGCGAGGAGGGCGACGGATGATGCGCGACTGTGCAGGGCTAGATTCGTCGGAAGAGGATGTAGGGGAGCTTAGTTCGTCGGCAGCGGGCGATGTTGGTTCGGGACTCCGAGGTGTAACCTGGATGGGCAGCGATGACAGGCGACGTCGCTGGGTCTCGTTGGGTGCACGCGATGTTGCAGGCTTGCTCTGACGAGTTGAAGAGCCGCCGCCGCCGCCGCCGCCCAGATTGTGTGTTACAGTGCCGGCAGAGCCATGGCGTGAGATGTTGGGTCGTAAGGAACTCGTAATCGGGGTGGCAGGCGTGCTAGTTTCGGTTCGCGGGAGAGGGGAATCGCGACGGACGGAAAGGGCAGATGCGGTTCTTTGGTGGCCCTGAGGCTCGGCACCGGGGATGGGAGAGGGACCGGAGGAGCCCTTGGCGGCAGCTGTAGCTTTCCGGACCTGAGCTCGCAGCTGGGCGGTGTGTCGCTCGGTTAGGTAGGCTACTTGTTGTAGGAGGAAGTCGACAGTCACATCGAAATGCGTAGCTCTGGTGGCCCGGTTAGCTTCAAGTAGAGGTCGAGCTTAGTTAGGAACACGAACAGTTCGTTCCCTGAACACAAGTTAGTTGGCAGCATCCAAAGGAAGGGGAGCGCATCTTCAGCCTACAGTCAATCTCGGTTTTGGCCGCGTTGGACAGAATGTTCCACAGCACGTCGTCCTTGGTGGAATCCCAGCTGACCTACGATGGTGGGAAGCGCATCAGCATCGGCGACTAAACGCCGGGTCCGATCAGGCAACGGGCAGGATGGACATACCGGAAGGGGATCCGTGAAGTCGCCCCGGAGAATGGGCAGTCGGACGAAGACGGTGTACGTGGGATCAGTCATGCCGAGCGTGCGTTCGTCATGCTCGCTGGCTTAGCTCTGGAATGGTGACGGTGTGGTGTGGTGGAGAGCTTTTGACGCGGGCAACTTCAAGAGAGAGACAGAGACAGAAACAGAGTGAGAGAGAGAGGCAGCGAGAGAGCGAGAGAGGTAGGTAGCAAGCAGGGAGAATGACGGAAGTGGTTTGGCTCGTTGTTGAGAGCCTTATCGGAGCTACGGGAACGATAAGGAAACCGCCGCGAGTGGGGCGGCCGATGCCGGCTGGAACCGGTTGGGCCCATGTACGAACACTCACCTTGCAAGGGTTTCGAAAGGAGACCCCTGGCTTTCTTTCGTCTCTTTCCTCTCCGCATTGTGCTTTCTCTCAGGGTACTTGGGGTACTGTTTTCTTATTACTCGCATATGAAGTATCAATGATACAATGTTCTGTAATTTTCTGCCTTTTGTCGCCTTGTTTCATCATTACAAATAAATTGAGTTCTCTACCAAGGTGTCTCGTATCTCATCTAGCTTCAATGATGTTGACCTGTGGGCCGTGGACGCTTAGTCACACACAAGTTGAGCATAACTCGCTCTATTTTGCTGCTCACTAAGCCGCGCCGTGCTCTAGCTTCAAGATACTGACTGGGAACTTGTGGCACAAGCCCGATATCTCACGCCTCGAGCTGCTGAGACACAGCTTCCCTACAACTCAGAGAATAAACAGTTCATTATGGATCAACCGAGAAGAATTTTCACCAGTAAATATGCTCTATTTCTGGCTCTTACTATAATTATACTCGTGTTGCCATGCATTGCGGTCAATCCCGAAGCTTCTGAGCGAGGTACTGAAGAGCAGTCGCATGTAATTGCCATTGTGAGTTCTCCCTACTGTATCAACGGGCTTTTTGATTGATTGATGGCAACCAAACTTGCAGAGTATTGGGCCTTCATTTTCAAGTGTTGGCAAGATTCAGCGTGGCGCCATCAGAGTACCTCTTACTGGCCATAGTAAGTTTGCTTTCAAAAGAGACCACCCTGGGTATTCGTTCTAACCAATACAGGCAATGCTGTTATGAAAACGAACAACAGGATAAACCATGTATATTCTAATCCGAATCTTTCGAACGCATTATTCAACATAGAGTAAGATGCACAAGGGCTCTCTAGCAAGACTTGGCTAACTTTGAGGAGATACATGGTGTGCGAAATCACCGAACCCGATTATTTCATGCACGCCGTCATCAAGAACCCTTGCTCTTCGGATGACCCAAACGTTGACCTCAGTGAAGGTTATATGTCTCGAGAGACCTTATCAGAAATCTTCCGCAGACTTAAGGGCACTGCCGAGGCTTGGACACAGCAGGCTGTTGGGGCTGTAGTTGTAGCCGTTCCTGCGCACTACAGCGAGAACTACCGCGACATTGTGAAACATGTTGGAGAATCCGTTGGCTTGGAAGTTTTGCGAATGATAAACACTTACACCGCCGTCGGAATCGGATGCGGCATAGAAAAGTTGGAGGACGAATCTAGTCACGCCGTCTTTTACCAACTGGGGAGGGCTCACTTTGAAGTGTCCGTTGCCGAAGTAGACATGGGAGTATTCGACCATCTTACTACAGTCAGCGACCATGAACTCGGCAAGGAAATAGGGAAAGTCGTTGAAGGAAAAAGATCTACAGGCTCCTATCGTTTCAGTCCAGCCGAGATAGGCCTCTTCGAGCGCACACTCGAATATGTGGACAGGGCCATTCAAAAGGCCAACCTGTCACGTACAGACATTGTTCGACTCGTGGTCACGGGTGAATACACACGGAATCTACAAGTTCGATCCGTGATAGAATCCTTCTTCGACGGGGAATGCGCTGTGGGCTGGGACGATCGAGAGGATTCCAATCTGGTGCCAGGCACCTTGGATCACGATGAATCTGCGACATATGGCGCGGCGGTTCTAGCCGAAACCCTTGCCGGGCATGAAAGATACGAGGATATTCTTGGGAATTTCTTTATACAAGCAAGATCTTTAAGCGTTGAAACTATCGGTGGGGGATCTTTGCGGGCTTTTCAACGGTGGACAATACTACCAGCTAGTAGGATTTTGAACCTCACCACGACAGTAAACGGCCAGTCAACCGTCGTCATTTCAGTTTTCCAAGGCGAGATTCCCGAAGTCAGGAAGAACGATGAGGTGGCCGTCCTCAGACTGGATTGTATCCCACCTGCACCCCGCGGCACCCCCAATATCACTTTGCTTCTCGAAGCCTACCCGGATGAGGTGGGCAATATTATGCTTAACGCAACAGCCCATCTCGCAGGAGGAAACGGAAGTTGCTATAATAGTGCGCCAGCCGTTTTACACAGCTTCTACGATTCAAATTCTATTACAAGCGATGATTTGGAACTCGAGGCAGCATTTGCATCTGACAGGGCAGGGCATAAATTTATTGGTTCATGCGGTAATCATCAAGACATGCTTGAACAGCATTACATCACGACAAAGGAGTATTAGGACTTGGTTTTAGTCAAACTGGATTGTTGCACGCCTCCTTGAACCATTGCAATACACTGATATGCCATGTATTATAAGAGGTACTTGCACCTCTTCATCATAATTAATACCAAGGAATTCATGACAATATGAAACTAAAGAAAACAAACCATTGTTAAGGGCCAACGTCACGACGTTATCGCCGCGGCGTCGACACTTTGTCCCATTCAACATCTTTTTCTCACAGGAAACACAGCAAAATATCAATGCGAGATATAGTCGACATGGCTCCTTCTATTGCCAAACTGGGAAAGATTTGACAAGAATGACCCACTGTCCCACTCCAGCAGAGGAATTTTCTAACCAGCCCCCCCCCCCCCCCCCCCCCCCATCTGACTCCGTCCACTTCATTTCCATCCGGGGGGCCTTTACTAATTCTCTTGGAGCAGATTTTAATATCAGCAAATCCGATATGGTGTAGTGGCCAACATGATGCCCTCTCATCGCGGGAGGTTAGGCATAGCCCCGAGTTCGATTCTCGGTTTCGGAAAGTTTTGCCCCTTTTTGCAATTTGGCATCCCTAGTTAGCTCCGAATTCGTTCTTCCTGTTCAAGGCATCTTCACGACCAACTCGCTCTAGTGTTCCTACTGAGACGGACCCCAAGGTAAGCAGGCGCAAGAAACAAAATCAAAAAAACGCATGCGCTATTCTTGGAGACAGACAGCTACCTTGTGCTGTTACGCACTTACGACTTCCAAGTTCCAATTTGCTTTGCCTAATCAAACGAGCAATGGAGATTTAGTGTGTATTCTCAGTGGCCAATGCTGCCCTCAGCGCCGTTTCATTACGGGGCGTGAAGGTGACTTTGTAGTGTGCCGGCGTGATGATCAAGTTTGTCAAGTCGGCGGCTCCGGTAATGGGGTCTGTATCAATCTTGGTGGTTGAGGACAGCTCAAAGCTGGCCAGCATACGGAGGAAAGTGGTGTACAGCTCGCGATTAGCCAGAATAGTCCCGGCGCACATGCGGTAACCCATTCCATAAGTGAACATAGGAGCTTCGGGGTTCTCCAACCAGCGCTCGGGGCGGAAGATCTCGGCATCGTGCCACAGCTCTTTGTCTGCCAAACAATCAGTCTCGTCGACTGTGTGAAAGTCGGGAGGTGACCAACCCATGTTGCAGGCCCAGGAGTTGAGGAATATCATCGTGCCCTTGGGAATAGGTTTACCCTCATAAATAAATTCCTTATTTGTGGAACGGGGCAGAGAGAGTCGGAGGACAGTGAAATATCTGTAGAAATTATGGTCATTCCGTAGCCTTTTTCCCCTTGCGCTGAGGGCAGCCATACCTTAAGCATTCACGCACGAAAGCGCGAACATAAGGGACCGTCTGATCATCATACGCGTCACAAAGTGGATTTGTCTCGTGGTAGGTTTCCCGAATGGCGTCAAAAGCCTTTTGCTGAATCCCAGGATGTATGGCCAAGAACGCGATACCCCATGTCGAGACTGCGGTGAATGTCTCAAACCCAGCCGAAAGCATCGTCAGGCTGATAGAGGTCAGCTCGACATTGTTGAGTTTTGCTTCTTCATCGAGCATAACGTTTGCCTGGATACAAGGACTGTGGGTCCCATTACGGATCCTCTCCTTGAGGTCGTCGTTTAGCTTGGACAAGTACTTGTCTCGACGGGACCTCATCTCTACGGCATTGCGCTTGCCAGTAGAGAAGGGGTTGAGTCTCAATAGAGGAATGTAATCCTGCACGTTGTCGGTAACGCTTCTGGTGCGGCTGATCTCGCCTTCGACCGTAGTGATCTCCTTGAATAGTCCGTCGTCATGACTGGGAACTCTTACACCCCAGTTGAGTGTGACAGCCAGAGAAAGACTAAGTCTTTGGACAAGAGGCATAGGATCGATTGGCAGAGCCCCTCCTTGGCCGTAGCTGAGAGCATCTTTGAGAAAGTCTCTCGTCTCCAAGTCCAGGTGAGGAATATATGTCTCGATGGAAGGTCGGTTGAGGGCAGATGCCGCACCCTTTCTCCTTCTCTTGAGAGACTCGTTGTACGGGGATGTGCCAATCGTGGTACCGGCAGTATTTGCGACTATCTGTCAGGCGTTAATAACGGTGACTTTTCAAAACTAGGTGGATGATGGCTCAAACCTTGTGGAAAGTGTACAGCTCAGGGCGAGAGGCAGTTGCTTGGGAATTGTTCCCGAACATGACTTTGGCAGCAGCAGCAGTATTGACAACCAGAACTGGCAGATTGCCTAGCTGAACCTGGTATACTGGACCATACTCCTTTGCCCATTCCCGATACTTTTGAGAAGCATTTCCGCCGAGCTGACGCAGATTTCCGACGACGGGGATTCCATTTGGGCCACGCCAAGCGGGTAAACGGGCCCTGAGCCGAACTACCTCATTGGTAATTAGATAAAAGAAGACAACCAGGGCAATAAACTTGAGCAATTGTTCAAGAGGGTGGTGAGTCGCACCACGAGCAAAACTCTGGATCAGCTCGACGACTAACATTTTGGCCATAGTAATTGGATCCCTACACAGGCTGACGTGTCAAGTAGTTCGTGAATTGACAAGTTTGCACCATCATTTATAACTGGGCGGAAATTCCTTTGTATAACCCGGTTCCCCGCGTTTTGATGATGGCTCGGTGGTCAATGCGAGTGGATCGATCACCTTTTTCGTCGGAATTGCGTTTCCTGATTCCGCTCCACGGTTCCACCTACTCTGTTATTGTTACTCTATGACGTTGATCCCATGGGAACAACTTCAGACTACCACAAAGATGAGCACTAGGGCGGCTGGTGCGCTTACTGAGGGATTTCTTGGATCATTCTGTGGGACTCGTCCACTCGATGTATGTATGCGAACATGTGATTCAACGTTGCCGGCATAATTTCGTGACCTGGCCATATGCGGGAGTGCCTCGCTAGTAAATCGCCACTTTAAAACCACCTGAGTTTGAACGCAGGAAACTATTCAATGGAACTTAGATGAGACGCATGATAAAATGGCCTCGTTACCTACAGCTTAAGACTTAAACAGCTCATAAGTTATAATGTTGACCAATTCCTCTCTATTCAGCACATCGATGATATGGAGACCTCGGCCTGCCTTGCGCTTATGACTATAGCATATCCACAAACAGATGCGAAACATCCATTGCAGAGGTGTCCAGATTTGGCAAAAGAGCATCATCCCGCGGACTTTGGGCAGAACCAGGACCTTCTTCTCCAAAACCAAGACCTGTCAATGAAGTGTTGTAGCCCATTTCGTTGTCCATCGAGGCGAAAAAGTCGTTCAGCTCTTGCGTCATTTGAGCCTCCGTGAAAGGTTCTTCTTGGCTTGGGGGCCACTCAACCATCTCTGAGCCCCGAAAGGTATCATCAATATCTGTTTGCGCAATATTTGGCGAGGTATTGCTGGCAGATGTCAAGGGCGTTGCGAGTGCATGAAGCTGCGTGCTAGCTTCCCTGCTCCCTCTGGAATGGGGAGCGTTCAGTCCCAGCCTCCGCCAGGCAAGCCGCAAGTCGCTGATCCTCCTCCAAAGCCTACTTGATACGTATGATCTGGCGCTGAGACCACGGATCAGGTCCAGTGCCATATGGAACTCATCGCGGACGAATGCGGCATGTTCTGCGGGTGCGAGTGCAACAACCAAGAAGATAACCCCGAGTGCAGAAACCAAAAAGTGATTGAAGCACATCTGCTGGTTCTGATAGATATCTGTAGACTGATTGAGAAAGTTCAGTCTTTGAATTGTATCTTTGGCAAGATTGACCAGCAATTGAACTTTAGATCGGTTGACCTGGAGGCTGGATGTTGAATGGAGAAACGGCTGTAGGAGGAGGATCTTCATTTGGTTGGCCCTCAAATGAAGTAGAAGTTGGAGTCGCCGAAGACCGCGAGATACTGGTGCTGGACGGGTTGTTTGCTGATGTGAACAAAATCTGAGATCTTCCGGGAGATCTTCAAACCACTGATCTATCCGGTAAAGGATATACGAGACTTCGTCATCACGAGTGGGACCAGTCGCTCGAGCAGAGTTGTATGATGTTGCCCATACCTTATCGCCGATACGACTGTACTCAACCATGGCCTTCAGATAAGGAACTTCTCGATCCTGTAAAAAACTCTTAGCCCCCGGAATACTGCGCATAGTTGCAATCATTGGTCGTGCGGTAGACTCACTGGTCCAGGTAATTGCTGGTCTATATCAAAACCGTGTATAACAAATGGCAGACCTGCCCCGAATCCCCATCTGCGATCTAATGTGTAGACGCACCAGAAGAGTCTCATTACCATCTTGCGTTCGGTAGCTTCTTTGAACGTCTTGTTTATGGCTGCGGACTGATGGAGGCCCATCTCCAAACACCATCGCGCAACGATGCCCACAAGTCTCCAAGCTTGCAGATCATCGCCTGTCATGAAGCTGTATATAGCCTGTTTAAAGTCAGTGAGCTCAAAAGTATACAGTCTGCTTGCATAAAGGCTTAGTACCAGTAAGGTGAACAATATCGTAGTCTTAACGCTCGCTGGTTTCCATAACTCATTGCTCGACGACCTTTTTACATCAAGAAACAGAGATTTACCAAGTTGACTGGAACCACCTGCTTCGACGGTCAAAGCTGTAGACAATACCATCTTGATCAAACTCAGGTCCTGGGGATCAATTATAGTCGGGCCTGGAATTGCAGCAAAGGCGAACCCAAGTCGTGAACCACTGTTCATTGCACTATAGAGATTTCGCACCTGTGTAATGAGCCGTTGAATCTCCAGGAAAGGATACTGTATCCCTATTTCTTCTTCGTAAACGTTGCATAACCGCACGGCCTCTTCCTCATTGATGAGCCACAGCGGATCTATCGACCCAAAATCTGAACCACAGCTGGTATGTATCGAAGGAGAAGGCGGCCGAGTTGGGTTGCCAGATGCAGACAACCTGCCGGGGTCCGCGTCGGTGGTTCCAATACCTCGTGTGCGGAGATGAGTACGAGCAAGGCTGATGTTGAAGGTATAACTGGCCGATGGCTGGCTGCTGCACTCTTCGGTGGAGCATTCCACATCGTCAACGACTGGATTCGGACAGAGCGCCGGGGCCACCGACCCGCTGTTTGAGGGGATATAAGAGGATTGTTCAAACGTCAATGGGATCTCTGATTGCAACGGACTTGGCTGCGATTCCGAGGATTGTTGAGATTGCCGACGCAACAAGTCCAATCCCCCTTGTAGAGAAGCTACCTGATCTCTCAGAGTTCGAAGGGCTTGGGCATCAGCCTCGCTAGATCCATGAGTAACGCTGGTATCGGAAGCCTTTAGATGAAAACACAACTCACGCATTGCTTGCTCGATCCTTCCGAGTTTTCTTCGAAGCAGGGTAAGTGCCTTGCGTTGTCAAACAATGGTGAGGATGAATGGAATCGCGGCGCCTTACAGGTCAAGGCCTGACGCGCGCAGCGTAAGCATGGACTCTTCCCATTGCACTTGCTCTTTCTCTTCCTGCACTCAAAACTGCAGGTCGATATGATGTCAGTGTTGAAAAAAAGAATGCTTGAATTGCCAAGCGAGTCTTACCAAGCTTTGGAAATGTACTTTCCGCGAGTTGTCCGTGGCTTGGGGGTGGGCGGAACTCCGGTCTGGGATCCGGGAGACCCGGATCTCGGTTCTGCAAGAGAGTTGGGGGAAACTGGAGAAGCCATGTTCTATGCAGACATAAACAATGACGGATTCTCCGCACTTGCACTTTGTTTCCGTTCTTGGAATTGTTGTGTACGCCCTGCTCATTCAAGCGGTACCAATTGAACGAAAACCGAACGATAAAAAGGTTAGGAAAGAAAGGGCGGGATCGGAAATGCGGTTTCCGGGGCTTTTTGGGGGCGGCTCGGCAGAAGGCGACTCCCGCAGCCCCACCAACTTTGCCCTGGCAGGATTTTCCGGGGTAGGTAAGGGGGGTACAGAGTGGGGAAATCCCTTACTGGCAACATCGGCATCGATTAATTAATAAGGCCGGCCTCGCCGACTTGATCCTGTACTCACGAACCGATCCTATGGTCCCTGTTGTAAACGCGTACCAGCTGGAGCAGGGCCTCCAAGCAAAAACCACAGAAGGCTCCGTTGAGCTTCATATTGTTGCGGATGGCCCTCGTGGGTTTAGCCTAGATACTGGAGACTTGCCGGTTTGGAAATGGCAGTCATTGGCCGAGATGTGGTTGCATCAAAAAAGCTATCTGAGAGATGAGTGGTACTGGGGGTTAACGCTTATAACTCTGCGTTTGGATCCCTTGACTTAGGGATTGGTTAACTTATGTTGGAGCAGTCTGCTAATTAATAGTTACGAACTCGTCCTGAAGAACGTCAAAGCAGCAATGCAAAGAGCATCGATACCCGTCTTCAATGTGGGCTGTATGACAGGCGCAAACCTTGCCGTGTGGTTTGCTGGGATTTCTTGCAACTTTCCTTCCTCCAGTTTCTGATCCCATAACTCTGCTTCTATTCCACCCCAATGCCAGAAAGCACAGGGCTTACCCTGAGACGTCGCTAGAACTGAGAAATCCTCTGAAATTGTAGTTGCCGTGATGTTTGGATCAAAGTCACTGCCAAAATGTTCTTCGAAACTGGTGGCAAGCATCGTTGTCATCGACGCGTCGTTCTCTGTAACTGGCAAATGCCGAGTCATCTTGAACAACGGGGCAGCCGTCGCGCCGCTGGCCGCACATTCGGCTGCCACTACCCGCCTGATGGAGGCCAAAAGTTTCTCACGTGTCTCGGGCCTCACGCTGCGGATGTCAAGACCGATTTCTGCCGAGTCGGCAATGACATTTTCCGTTTGGCCAGCATGTAAGCTGCCAACCGTAACGACGGAAATGTCACTTGGGTTGATCTCCCTGCTGACAATCGATTGAAGACGTACTACCACATGAGCCGCCATGACAGCAGGGTCAACCGTTCGGTGAGGCTATCAGTAACAGTCAGCTCTCGCATATGGGCGGGAGGACTTGGCACTCGGAATACTCACTTGCGAACCGTGGCCACCAAGCCCAGACAATGTGATCTTCATACTATCCGCGCCAGCCATGATCGTTCCCGCCTTGGTTCCTATGTTTCCCGCTCGCATCGCCATGACATGTTGACCAAGCACAAAGTCCGGCACAGGGATCTTGTGCTTATCGTAGAGGCCATCGTCAACCATGGACTTTGCTCCGGTTCCGCGCTCCTCCGCAGGCTGGAACAGTACAATCAACGTGCCGCTCCACTCTTTCTTCAGCTTGACTAGCCGTTCAGCCGCAGCAAGAAGGCAAGCCATATGCATGTCGTGTCCGCAGGCATGCATCACAGGCCGTACGACACCTTCAATATCGGGCATGGTCACTGTGCTGGCGTATGGGAGCCCGGTGGCTTCTTTGATTGGAAGTGCGTCCATGTCAGCGCGTAGCAGGATGGCGGCACCTGGGCCATTCTTCATCAGGCCGACAAGACCGTGACCGCCGATATCGGTTGTGATATCGAAAGCTTGGAGTTGCGATAGCTGTTCTGCAACGGTTTTAGCAGTTTGCACCTCGAGGTTGGAGAGTTCAGGATGCGCATGGAAGTGTTTATAAAGTGCCTCGTATTTTGCCATGCTTGTGGGTGTGGCAACCAGCAGGTCACCTAGATTGGTGGCTAATGCAGAACTTTTGTCCATCATGTATTGTTTGGAGATGATGATGCGGAATGAGATTGTCTAAAGGACAAGAACTAACTCGGCCGAAATCGATTGAAGTAGCGTTGAGAAATAGAAAGATGGAGCGTTTACGCGTCTTACTTTCATGATTTGATTCGTTACATTTAGTGGACCAGAACCTCAATCGATGGAGATGTTCTCGGCTGCAAAACCGAGGCGGAATATTGGCCGAAGCCATGATGACTCACCTTGCTTCCAACTCTACTTGACGAAAAAACGACTGCATGGCGTGCTGAAGCTGCCGGTAAACTCCGAACCGAGTTTGGGTTCGTAATAAAGGGGTTAATGGCTATGTAGCATGTAAAAGTGCGTGCCATCGAAATCAGCTGTTCAATCTCTTGGATCTCATAGGATATTATGCAGTTGGTCACTGCTGAGGGACGTTGCCGGCCTCCTTCTTCTATTATTGCTTCAGCATAAAATCGGACGTGCCCAAACCCTCCAAGTCGAAGTGGCTTCTGAGCCCGTGTCGAACAGTTTTTCATTTGAACCACACTTGTCCTCGTCATCACTACTGATACATTTTGCGTCTGGCGTGACCTCGCTGCCCCCCATCCTGACATACTCAAGCATTGGCTTGAAGGTTTTCTAACCATTTCTTTTAGAGAGTTACGCATCCATCACAAGAATCGTCCTGGAAGATGCCGCCAAGAAAGATTGCCTCGTTAATACCGGATGGCTGAGTGCCATTAAACAAGAAATCCTGTAAGTTTGCGCCGACGGGACGTTTCTGCAAACCAAAGTGGGTTTCTCCAAGGGTTGTCTGACCAGCGCCTGATATATTATTGAAGGTGGGTGGGACAACCAGCTGGAGGGGGTTGTTATCAATGCTGTAGAAAACGGAAATCATGCTGCATACATCTAGGTAAGCTTCGCTCCCAAACCGGCACATGGGGTGACGGGTCTTACTTGTTTGGGAAGTTCAGGTTTATGCCAAAATTGTGCCATACGTCGTCCGTCAACGGCGTCTCAAAGAAGGTTTTGACAGGCACATCGAATTTATAACCCTCCACACGCAACATCTTTTGACTCGTGGGGGGATCGTCTCCCAGACGAGCGCCCGCCTTCACAGACCAGAAGTCGGCCTGGAAGTCCTGTGCCTCATGGAAAGCAAGGGCGTACTCGTGAGTGTAGTTCAAAGGTCTGGTCGGATCGGTGCGAAGCGATATGTGCCACGTCTTGTGGCCGGACACTGTTGCGTTCTTGGCGTTCACTAGAAGCTCCGCGCGACGCAGAGCTACCTCTTGGCCTTCGGAAGGGGAGGCAAATATGGATTCATCCCTGCAATCCAGACTCGGTCAGTAAACCTCGCTAAAAACGTGAGGCGGCTAACCTTACGAAAGACTTAATCCAACTGGTTTGGTATCATTGTTGTCAAACTGTTTGCGTTCTGTTAAAAAGAATATTACTGAGGATGCTGGCTGCCGTTACTTACCCGGGAAGGTGGAACATTTGGAAATTCAATAATCTGATCCCAGGTGACGTTCTGTCCAAGTACGTTCTTAGGATTAAATGGGCTTGTGCTCGAAAGAAACAATGCAGGTTCGGCTGTATTTGGAATTCGCCCGTCGAAAGATAGTGTACAACTCTGTATGGCATCTTGGCTCACGATGCCCCTGAACATCGCAAGAAGGACAAGAGATTTGAAAACAGCCATTTTAGAAGAGTAGCACGAGTGAAGCAGTAGTAGATTCTCCCTGTTGGTGCAAATAATACTGTTGAGCAGACAAGAATTTGAGGAAACTTCAGCGTGTTCGAGAACTTCAAATCAAAAAGATGAGTCGAGTCATTCTGACAGGGGTGAAGGCCAGCCGACGTCTTTGAAACCAGTCCGAGCTTTTGGGAGTAGGTGTGCGTCTTGTCACATTGAACCAAACTCCAATAGAATGGCGAAATTGTACCCCCAATGTTAATTTCCGTCATGCCTCCGTCTATGGGTGGTTACTGTGTTTTTGAGCATATGTGCGTGTGTGTGTGTGTGTTATAGTGGACGTTCGTAGAAGGGGTTATGAAATGTGCACAGTACCTACCGCAGCCCAACCACTAAACTAACGAAAGTTGAAGTACGTAATGAGAGCTTGGTTAAGCTTTTTGAACTCAGTTTTTAGTCAGGCCCGAACGCATTTTGCATTTTTTCACAAATTCGATATACGCTCGGTGTGTGAAGGCGAGTTAATTACTGTCGGGCATTGTCGTAACGGAGATGTTTTGCTTCATATTGACGAAGTTCTCACAGTCTTCTCAACAGTAGACCATTCTCTCCTGTCCCGAGTATTCTAGTATTTCAGAACAACTCTTAAACCAATTGTTATTTAAAGCACTTGCCACTATTGTCAGTAACCCCGTCGAGATAACGCTTGCAACTCTCCACCACAGTACCTCAGTTTGTGAGGAAAACTCGAAGTTCCACGCGAGAACATGTAACTCACCAAAGCCAAGGGAGGATAACATTGCCATGAAGATGAATAAGCGTGGAATATGCCCCTTCAACAACACGTGATTATTTGGAATTCTTCTAATATTTATAATCAACTCTCTTGGTCTTTTCCTTCGTCTCCGTTGGCGTTCGAAATCGGAGCATTAAAGATTGTGCATCAACTTCAGTTCAATCAGAAGACATGCCAACAGGCCAAAATGACATATGAAGGATACACTTAGGAACACTCGTGGATTCGAGAAGTGTGACCAAACACAACCCATTTGTAGGTCAATTCGTCTTTTAATACAATCATTGACTGACTGACTAACATCTAGACCCTCCCCTTCCCACGCCAACCAACTTTGTGCCTGAAAGAAAATACTTCTTCACGTGCACAGAAAGACAACTTCATAGTTTTAGTAATGTATGGATAGGCCAAGCTGTTGTACTAAGGTTTTACGCTGAGGTTCAGGGTCTACAAACGTTTCCGGTTTCCAGCACTCAGCCGCCTACCGCTGGAGAGGTAAAATAATGTGTCTCCGGGGAAATTCATGATATTATTGCATTGATCGGGGACTGAGATTATAGAACTCGTCTACTCTTGCGATCAGTATCCAGCTCTCTGTTTCTCATAGTATGAACCCGGCCGCTGAAGGACTAGTTACGCCCTTGACAGCAACGACGGTACTCTAGTTTGAAACTCCTAGACATGGTTGACTGCGATTGTATACGATAGGCTGGTGGAAACTGTGGATAGGCGGACATCGTGTGCTTTGCGTGTATATTAGTAGCCGGCTTCCCTAGGCGCCTTTTGTCCTGTAGGAACGTCCCCGGCGTTAAATGATACAACAACAACAACAACAACAACAACAATCATAGTGTGAACCCTTGTCTTGTATCCTTTGCACATGCTCTCAGGGTTGTCCCCCGCACAACGTGTATACGCCATCTAGTCCTCTAGCGGCGGCTCGGCTGCAATAGCAGCTCGAATTGCATTCGACTTATCCTTGCTTTTTATTATGGATAGGAAGGTCGGATACAGAGCCATCATCCCCACAGGAATTTGAGGAGCTGCCGCGGCCTTTAAGCTTTCGGTCCAACGCTTCGCCCTTCTCGTTGGCTAACTCCTCCTCTTCTTCGAATTCCTCGCCTATGGTCCGGGAGCTGTCGCGAACTTGAAGCTTTGGGTCTAAGGCGATGTCCTTCTCGTTAGCAACAGTCTTTTTCTCGGCTAATCACTTCGTATGCGGTCTGGAGCTTCTTACCCTGCGGCTGCATCTCAGCGCGAGGGGCCAGGTTCAGAGCCAAGGCCGAAGAGCGAGCCTAGTAAAGTGTCAGAATAGAACTGTTATCATGCTGAAGATACAACATACACTAAGTGGCGCAGCCTGCACGACGGAAAGAACCGCGAAAATAGCAGCAGCGGACACGGAACTGAACTTCATATTGGCGGAAAAAATGAGTCGGGTATTGCGAGTGGTATAGTGACTTAAAGAGGTTCAAGCTCAAGTCATATTAATAGATATTTCTGGCCAGCAGAAGCGAGGCAGGACCTTTAAGAAGTAATGTAGAAGAAAAAGGCTAAGTTGGCGAGTCGAGTGTGATGAAGTACTGATTGCGAAGGTTACGCTGAAGCCTCGGTTGCTATGTATATGTATTTGTGCATTTCTACATCGCCGGCCTTCGGCACACCAAACAATGAGCGATGTGCTTGGCAGACTAGTTACGCAGTTGACGGCCATACTGCACGCTCACTGTAGACATAACTGGCCTGCCAACTTTGAAACTAGTATGAATACCCTGGGTTCAAACCTGGCTTATTGTCGTGATGTGTCACAAGGGCATAACCGACATAGGGATGAACGGCGTCACCGATCACATGTTGGGCGGCAGCTGTCAGAACATAAGCGCACCAATGATCATCGAGCAGTTTCAAACGCTCTCATACCATCATTTATCGGTACTATATGCGGGGCTTTCACTATGCATCGCGGTCAGGAGTCGAAGCGATTGCCTACATGGCTTCTGAAAACTCACATTGACAAGGGGTTGATATTTAAGGTCAGTTAAGCTTTTAGAGCGTGACGATGCAACAGTGGTGTCGATCATACGGAGCTAAGTCTTGACTTTTGGCAGGTGGACCAGTTGCACAATCATAACAGCGTATTTAGCTATATGAACCGCCGACTCATATCAATGGCGAGAAAATTGCTCGTACAGATTAATAGTGTTCTGGCCAATTGGTATTATCTTGCGAAGCAACAGACCAGTTCAGATATGCCTTCGAAAGCAACTGGACACAGACCATAAGTTCATCTCCACTCTGCACTCCAATCTTCTTGAGCATGCAAAACAAACCATATGGATACGTAATGGTAGATACCTCTAATGCTTTAATCCAGTAGATGTCAAAGTGGTAGCAAACAGGCCTCTATCAGCCACCACCCTGAGCGTAACAGTTTCGGCGTCTAGTCACATACAAATCGATATGGGGTTATAGGAATTAAGCTCTGAAACATTCGCAAAGACTATATTACGCCTTGGATAGATGGAATCATTCACGGGGTAGTTTCACAGCGAGTCCACTTGTAAGTCTGGTGCCGTCCAACCGAACCAACAAGTCTCTTATGGCCTAGCTTCCCACATCTCCGAAATCATTCGCGACGGGTAGACTGTGATGGTACTTTTCTCACTGCCATTTATTTGTCTTTATTCTTTATCTTCCAAGAATCAAAATATCGGTCATACAACACTGCTATGTCTCTACCAAAATATCATCCCGTTGGAGGCAACTTAGAAGATGCGCAGACGCACTTGGTCCCTGATCGAGAGCAATATGACTTGAAGTCACGCTCCTCTACTCTTGTCAACATCTTGCTTGGATTTGGCCTATTTGCATCTGGTGTCGTTTGCACCTTATCGGCAATGGAAATCCGCTCGAAAAATTCTCCACGTTATACATACGAGAGTGGGTTTAAAGAGGATATTTTATGTAGGCGCACTCGATAGGGAAAAGTGAAAGGAATATGGCAAAGCTGACGACAGCGTTCAGTACCACCTGAACGGATCCAGCTGGAACAAGTCAGGTTCGGAACTCCAGTTGACTTTGAAGAAGACGGTAACGAAGTCCTCGTTACAAATACCGATGAAAAGACCTATGTCGGCACCCCATCCAAAGAGATTGATGATGCTTAGGCTCAGCTTCTCTGGGTAGATATTTCTCTATATCTGAGAGTTATGGGGTGAAGATTATATGATATACTGGGATCACGACAAGAGTGGATGGACAGGAGGGTTTGATATGTTCCATCAACTCCATTGCCCCAATCAGATTCGACAGGCTCTGCATCGAGATGTATACCCAGAGACTCGGCTCCACGGAGTGGTGCATACCGGTAAGAGCATTCCTTGGCGGAGCACCGGAAACGTGCTGCTAACAGAACATATTTAAGAGCATTGTATCAACCACATTCGTCAGTCTATGATGTGCTGGGGGAGTACAGCCATTACGCCTATCAAATACTTCTCTGGATACGGCCATGGATACGTGAAGAGCGATGCTGTTCACACATGCAGAAAATTTGAACCGATCAGGGAGTTTGTTTCGAACCGCTTCAATGGGAGTCTTCACGTATCACGGCCAAGTGGACATGTCGACAAGTTTAATTATGGTTATTAGAGGGCATACCTAACGGGTAAAGTTAACCTGAGCCCATCGGCGGGCTTTCATTACTGCTGAGATACGACCTGAACCTATGGATGATATAACTACCGAACGGCATGGTGTTAACATGGAGTATTCCTGGAGCGGGCTTGGTTGCCCTTACATATGGTAGGCTGCAGATGGTTGATTAGAAAGTAAACCGTCAATAAGAAGCCGTGATTCCATCCGCCAAAATGAGACGCCTCACAGGACCTATATTCTAACTACCTCAATTCGTTCTATGTGCGCACCAATGGTTTTGCGTGAGATAAAAGGGCTATATTACATCTGCACTTCCCTCTTGAGCCACTTCCTCCATTCATTGTCAGCAAGGATATAACGGACTCTAGCCTCAAGCCACTCTGTGTTCCCCCAAAAACCCCAAGATGCCTGGAAACGACACCAGTCGACGAGAGCAGTTTCCCAATGGCGCACAAAGGTGTCCCAATCGTAGTCTGCAGGACCTTTGCCTGACGGCTTCTGGCTGAGAAGCGTCTCCCGGTACTGCTCTAGTAGGGATTTCTCGCCCTTATCCATAGGCAAATGGTCAGGGATGTTTTCATGATGCGTCAGCATCTCAACAGGGACTGAACAGGTGAACAGTTTTGCGAGGTCACAGCCTCCGACTCCCAACCCGGCGTACTGGAAGTCGAAGATTGCCACTTTGTCGCCGGCCTGGGTCGTGAAAAGGTTTTCAGACTTGACATCGCCGTGGATATATGTCTCGAACGGTCTACCAGAGGGAGTGAGGAACTTGGCTACCAGCTCGGCGATCGACGATGATACGCCCTCGACAGGATCGCAAAAGGCGGACGACCATTCCGAATACTCGTCTGTGCACAGTGATTCGTATTCCTTCCTTCGGGTGGCGAGATATGTGTAACCACCGTTAAGCCATAGCTTGGACTCGGAGGGCCCATTGCCAGCCTCCCTCCTTCTGAGCTCCTCAAGCGGCGGCAGCACGAACCGATCAAGATTATCCGGCAGTGAGGCCCAAGAGCTGCTGTGGTACTTTGCCAACCAATCCAACGAAGCGTGCACCTGGCGGCTGTTGAGTACCAGTCTCTTCTCTCCTGCGACTGGGAACTGCGGGCGAAGGTCGGTGATGATGGTCCCGGTGAGCCCTTGCAACTCCTCCGCTCGGGGCTTTCCTTCCATATCTAGAGTCGAAGCGACACACTGCGCAACCGCAACATCATGTGATAAACGCGGCGCGATCTCTTGATAAAAATACTGCTCGACCTCGTAGCTAAGCATCTTGCGCAAGTGACCCTCGTCTCTCCCCTTGGCGCGTGGCGGTGAGATGAGCTTGATGATGAGACGGTAGGTGCCGTCTGCCTCTTGCCGAATTGCGGGCGAAGTCTTTGGAGAGCCAACTACTCTGTCCATATTGACAGTTTTCGCGGTGATGGCGCATATGTGTCCGTAGCCGGCCCAAAGAGTTTGGAGCTCGGTTAGGGAGACAAGCTCGAGTCCAAGCCAGGAGAGCATGATCTCGGCGACGCGCCGGGGTTCTGAGAGTGAGGTCATAGTCAATGAGAGTGCCGCGGCCGCAAGAAAGATTTGGGTTGAGTCGAAGCTGGCATCCGGTGACGACGTGTGGGCGACAAGCTGGGTGAAGTTGGAGGGAAGTTGCTGAGATTGAATGAGCGCAGCGGCCATTTCGAGAATGTGTCTCGTGTGGGTCTAGTGGCTTCACTTCACCTCTTCACCTGGCTGCCACAGTCCGAAGCTAATGTGCAATAACTAAGGGAGATACGCTGTGATCGCAGACAGAGTATCTTGAGTTGTCTAGTCCGAACAAAGACTCATCTACCCCTGAGCAGAGCTGGAAACAAAACAATTAATCACCACCTGATACGATCTCATGCAAGCCATGGCTTGGTCTTACTCCACCACCGCTGGGAGGGTTGAGGCACTCATTCGTGTGTGGCCAGCTGGTGCCATCTGATATCGCTATCCCCGAGAAATTCGGAATATGAGAACGTCATCGTAAAATCCCCTCGTTCATGGCAGCCTGCGATTCAAAGGATAGATGAGAAGAAAGCCTCCAGTGCAACCAGTGTAGTGGCCATTTGTTTTTCCCTGCTCGTTGGAGTATTTGGCCATCAAGGTGCCTTTGTGCCCCACCTGACAGGATCACCATTTAAAGCCTAACTGGCGTGCTCATGCCGAGAGAGGTCCTACGCCTCCAGCCACTACCAGCAGTACCACGTCTTCGCCGTGCAGGAAAGATTATTCCCTTGAAAATGGGGAGAACTCAACCTTCAATTGGACAACCCCCAGCGGCGTTCCGCAAAGCCGCGCGCGCTAAGAGGGCTAAAGTCACTCTCAATCAACTCATACCATCATTGCTTCCCACGCACCCACGAGCTCGTCGCGGAATCGACACTGCTGAGCTCATCATCGAACCAAGTCCCATTCTGAAACAACCGTCATCTTCAAATCAGGCAGCTTGGGATGCCTCCAACACAGACTCAGTGCCCCGTATCCGACTTCAAGTGGCCGATACTCTAACAGCTGCTCATGCATTAGTCGTTGAGAAGTCAACGCCAGACCGACCGGCGGACCTAAGCAACAAGGAAACGCGGGTTGCCATCCTAAACATGGCATCTCCTCTTACGCCAGGCGGCGGCTTTGTAAACGGAGCAAGCAGCCAGGAAGAGTCCCTGTGCATGCGCACAACGCTGCTTCCCTCTCTCAGGGACGAATACTACCGCCTACCGGAGCTCGGAGCAATATACACACCCGACGTGATGGTCTTCAGAGACGAGTATTCTAGCAATGTACTGGAAAAGAAAGAACGCTGGTTCGTTGACTGCATCAGTGCTGCGATGCTACGGAACCCCGAGACCGAACGGGACGAGATATCGGGATTCAGCCACTACGTACATGAAAAGGATCGTCAGCTCGTTTTGGAGAAGATGAAAATGGTCTTACGGGTCTGTCAAATGAAGGGCGTCAAAAAGGTCGTACTCGGAGCATGGGGCTGTGGCGCGTACGGTAATCCGGTAGCCGAGGTCGCTAAAGCTTGGAGGAAGGTTCTTATCCCGAGAAACGACACGAAAGGAAAGAAAAAAGGAAACAAGGAGACTTGGGACGGGGTTGAAGACATTTTGTTCGCCATAAAAGACCCTGGTATGGCAGATGCTTTCGAAGAAGCTTTTGGCAAGGGCATTGAGCGAGATGAGCTGGACAATGTTGAAGACACCGAAGACAGCGAGCCGGATGTGGACGAGAGGAACAAGCTGGAGCTTCAGGCCAGCATTGACGAGCTGCAGCACCGCATTGAGGCGACATCCAACCAGCCGCTTAAGAACAGTCTCAACTCGATCCTTGCGGGCTTAGTTGGTCGGCTACCCTCAGCTGTTGCAGACGATGACGGTGGAGCCGAGGAAGATAGCGATGAGTCAGATGATGAGGGCAAACACGAGATTGGCGATATGTAAAACCCGGCTGCTTCTCGGAGCTATCACTAACAGACTTCATTACGATACATTACTGATCAAGAGTCACCGTATCTAGAACAATACAATGGAAACGACTAGCTGTTGGCTGTCGACTGGTGGTTACAATTTCGATTCCGGACGCATCTGAATAATATCGTTCGCGAAGCTTCATAAGTCGTTTGATAAGATCCACCAGTTATATAACCAGGCAGCCGAGAACCTATGCCAACTTCAACCGATATTCGCCGGTCTCCTTCGCACGGAATTGCTTTACACGTTGCACAGTTTATCCATCTTGGAAGAATGACCGACATTTGTGACATATACTCTCCGGACCGCGCCATGGAGTTGCCCTGGCCGCCATTCTGTCCACACTTGGAGGCAGGGAACGCGGCGAAGGCGTCCTCGCAGGTGACCTTGCACTGCGCGCCGGCCTGAGCGCCCGTCTCGGGCTGGAATCGGAGGTCGAAGTTACAGTTGAGCCATTTATTCTGGGTGGCCGGTGGCGTGCGCTTGTCAAGTTGCGGGTTGGGGATCTTCGAGGTGCCCTCAGAGTCGACCACCATGCGCAGGCCCGACTTCGGGTTCCACTTTCGGCAGAACTCCTTATATATGATGCCGTCGGATCCGGAGAATACGTTGTACGGGATCTCGGTGGCGGTGTGCTTACAGCTTGGGCCTTTGGATGCGGTGTCCGGGTTGAAGATCTCGAAACTGGCTGTTCCGCAGTCGAGAGAGAGGGTACCATTGTGAGCCATTGTGTGAGAGTCGTAAGTGCCTAGTGGGTTTTCAGCGCTGGTCACTTGAAATGAGATGAATGTCTCATACACGAGGTGCTCGTTGTGAATCCTTCATCAAATATCTGCCGGCATTGGTTCGTGCACTTCTTGTTCCCGGACTTCTTCCAGTTTAAGGTGAAGCTGTATCGGTTGTAGGCTGTACTGTAAGCATCCACAGGTGTGTATTGCTCAGAAACATCCTTGTCGAGCTTGTAATTCCCGGTGCAGAACTTATCGGTGAGCCTGGATTTGTCAGAAGCATGTAAGTCGTTTCGGTCATGGTAAAGGTGCGACCGTTATTGCTGGCTTGGGGGTGGGGCTAAAACTAACGTCTTGAAAAGCTTGGGATCCACGTCCTACATTGTCTTGGAGCACTCCCCATACTTGGACAATTTTGGAAACTCCTTGGGCAGTGATTTGAATATCTTTTGCATGTTATCCATTTCGTGTAACTCGTCCTTGGTGACAGGTACACCTTCAAAGTGACTGGGCGGTACGCAATCGCAACCTTGGTTTGGTGTTGACCCTATAGAAGTGATTTCTTAGCGACATAATCCTCAATCTGAATTTGGATTCTAGGCTTCCAGGCCCTGAGTCCGTATGACTTACAGATTTGCAAGTAGGCTGCTTGTCGCCTGTTGCATGCACTTTCATATCGCAATCTTGCTTCCCACTGTCGTCTCCACACATCAACTAATATGTCAAGCAGTCAGTAAAATAGTACTTTATTGCGCTGAAGCATTTTCAAATGACGCACCGGTGACTTTTTTGGATCAGGGCACGGCAGTGTACTGGAGAGCCTTTGACGTATGAGTGGAAGAGCGTGAGGACTAACAAGGAATGGGTAAGTGAGACCTCAAAACCAGTGAATCCCTAGCCCAAATTTGTTGTGTAATGAGGAATGAGCATTGACTGATTCAAAAGCGGTTTCGCTCAACAGGAAATCTGCTGTGACGAGGCCAGATTTGAGCAAAGAGAGAGCCCTTTATGGTGGGACTCGTCAAGAGAAAAAAGTGCTTATTTTGAAGAAACATACAGGGACACCATACTGAAGTGCTTGGACACGAACTTCAAAGCAGGTTCGGGCATTGCTGCATCAAAATTGATGACAAGGCACTCAAACATCTTAGACCGGGCGGGGTATAACAGGGACAAGAATGCTGGGTTGAACCCCAATAGACAAGACTACATGAGGGAAACAGAATTTGCATCCTCCACAGACGTGTGCACGTGGCTCATCAGCAGAGCGGTGGATGACGGCTGGACGAAAGTTGACGAAGACAGCGTGGAGAAGGTCATATCCGACGACTTCCGCGCCAGACTGGACGGAGCTCCTCCCGTGGATGGACTGAAGACGTCTGGGAGTACTTTCCTTCACGAGGTGAGAAGACCATTCAGCCAGGTCGCAAGGATGTGACTCACCCATATTTCTTCACTTAGGCAACTCACACTAACCAAGGAGGGCTCCTTGTCGACTCCCCCATTCCAAAGCCACTCAAGCAACGGACTCCCAGCTGCTATCATTGGCGTTGTGTGGTGGCAATGACCAAAGAGCCTGAGATCAAAACCCAGAGAAATGCAGGTATGCCGCCGATGCTGTCCCAGATCATACTGATGTAAGCTCTGACTCTCTAGAACAGATTATATCGCAACGCTGGCTATAGAGCTGAGCTGTGGAAGATGGGGTACCACGTTGATGAAGCTGGTGTGGTGCACAAGATTCCTGCGTAGGTCATGTTCCGACAGCGCTTTCGGCAGTCTTGGGTGCAAGGGAGGTTCTGCAATTATCTTATATTTCATATGATCCATGGGCTTCAGACTCTTGTATCACGCGAGATTGTCGCTTCAATCGGATAGTCAATGGTTGGATTTATGTGTAAGGTCTGGATTTGTTTTTTGAATACAATGTGCGTTTGATATATGGTGACAGTGCCGCTAAAGTAACACTTGGAGTCTTGCTCAATAAGGAGATGCTCAATTAGAATTTGGTTGATGGGCACTGTAGCAGGAATGATAGCTCGTTGTTCAGATATGATGGATTGCTCTCAAATTTGGACATGAGGGGGCAACATGTTGTCAGGCTTCAAAAAATGGGCTTGATACAAATATAACAGACTGTTTATGCGTCTACACAACTCTGCAACACACGCGGCCGTTTTGCAGTCATGCAAGCATTGCTGGCGACTGTATCCGTAGTTGGCTTTCACTTGCTGTTGTGGCTGGCTGTGTGATAGGGCGTTGTCAAATTCTGTTGGACCCAAGGCATATCACTCCCTCCGCTCAACTGCTGCCTACAACCAACAGAACTTCTATTAATAACTCCCCGCGAGCCCCGCTGTCTTCAACCACTGCTTCAGTTTCTTTTTGAGCCCCTTGTCCCTCCGTTTCTTTTTAAGCACCTTCTCTTCCTCTCTCCATCTCCGATTCTCGACCAAGAAAAGTACAACCACTCACGTCTCCTTGCCAATTCACCACCAACAAATGCACAAGCTGCTTTTCATTATTACCTAGGAGTCCAAAGTCATGATTCACCCAAGTTCGCTACCCTTACTCACTGTCCCATTGGAAATCAGACACCAGATCTATCGGACGTTATGGGGTTCTTCAACACAACTCTGTGTCAGCAAAGGTCAACGGTTGATTATGCCCTGCTATGGAGCAGATGATTCTTGGCGGCTACCAGAAGCCGACATCTGCTTCAGAAACCCAACATGGGCTCGTCAAGTGAATTCAAAATGGGGTTGTCACTGGAGATACGAGGAGGAATACCTCAATAGGGTGCATGCAGCATGAGCCAGAACAAGCGTCTCACATGCCTCTCCTTCCAGTTCTATTATCATCGAGAGCCATGTAAGATTCCATTCTGACCTCCTCTACTAACTCTGTAGCGATCATGTGAATGGTTTAGAGAACTCAGCTAAATCTTTGTCGCAGCTATTCTGATATTATGGACTTTTTGTGCCAGCATACTCAATGTGTGCACTTCACTGACCTGGAAACTATTGATCAACTGCTATCAAATCATCTTCTACCCCGCATCTCAACGACATCCACGCCGTCAACTATCCCTATTCACGGCCTGTCTTCTTTGAGTAAGACTATAAAGAACCTTGGCTTCACCTTGCGTCTTCCCATCCTTCTCCTCGCCACTCTTTATGTACCCTGGCATTCCAAACCCGGGAAACATAACGGCTTTTCGTCTATGCCACCGAGACCATATGCCACTCTTGAGGGGAGCAAATACAGACGTGAACACAAGCAGTGGACACGTATCTGGCCGGCTTTGCAAGCTTTGCCTGGTCTCCAACGATTCAACCTTTGGCTAGACCACGACGACGATCATCCACGGGACACAGTCTGCGAGAGAGAGATCTTGCAGGGATTATCAGATATTATGCCAAGCTTGAAAAGCCGAAATATACGAGTCACCGTCAACCTTCCCCGACTGCCATCCGAAAAGCTCATGGCGCCTTTTACGGACGAAGAGTACTTTCTCAACAAGCCTCCCGACTTTGAGCTTCAAAGACGCGCCCGCCTTCCGTGGACGGTATGGGATAGGCACAGCGGATGCTCGGTGGAGTGGGTGGAGAGCAGGGAAAATGGAACTATTCCCGCCAGATTCGAAGGCGGGCCTTTCTTTGAGATCGAATTTACTTAGACAAACTTCGTGATGATGGGCTACGACGTTTGTTGTGAGGAAGTCAAAAACCATCCGGTTCTAGGAAAGGTTTATAACCTTTATGAGATGGAACTGTCGGAATGGTCAACAACCTGTCAATAGTAGAGCCAACCTAATGTCACGTGACTCTCTTCAGTAGCTTACTTACATTATTTAAATTTTTATAGCAGTCGCTTTTTTCTTCTTCTTTAACAATTATTGATCTATTCAGTAACTAATGGTCAATTAATACTATTACCACTACGTGATTATAATCTCCATCATACTAACAGGACTACTATTAAAATCTGTGCCTTCAGGAGATGTGCACCTATTTAATAGGTTAAGAAGCTTAGATAACACGAAGGTACTCTTGAAGAAACACGATGCACGTTCAAGCTTTGTTTCCTTAGACAGCTCAGCATGAGCATCATGTGATTGTCGCCATTTATTCAGACGGGCCATCTTGCAACGTCAGTATGCCTGCGAGACTGACAGCATGCAAGCTTCTTGGCGTCTTGTAGCCTTGACGCCTGAGGATGAGAAGCATGCTGGAGATAAAACCTCCAGACCCAGAATGATGGGTTACAGTAGTCAAATTAAGGTTTTGAGTTTATGGTGCCTTTAAGTACTTCATTGTAACGGTGCACTTCAACTTCGTGTTAGCGTGGTCCACCTTGTGCCTCTTAGAATATGTTCACGAATTTAACTGTAACCTCAGATAAAGGCTTCAATGAATCTGGTAAGAGGCAAAGACTCTGTCTTAATAAACAGAAAATTGATTTTTCTGGTGCTGGTGAAAAGTAATCTACAGTCGCGATATTGGCGATGACAAACTATGCCGAAAGACAGGTGCGTAGGCAAGCACAAAACACTGAGTGAAAGGGGGTCTTCTACATCGGGAGCCTGAATGTATTACTGACATAATTTTGAGAAGCCAGTGCTTCAAGATAAGCATGATAGCTAGCTGGTCTGTGAGGTAGTCTTGTAATGTGGTCGAACATTCTTTTTCTTTTCTTCTTTGGGTTCCGTGTTTCGTTCCTAGGCCAAGTACCAAAGTGAAGGCAGAGCAGGTCATTTCATTAATACTAATTGTTCTAGTATTCTTAAGATAACAGTTATCACAATATTCATATTTGTCCATATATTTAATCTGCCTGTACAGAAGCCCAGTGCTATAGACAGGGTTACCAACTGATACACGCAGTCACAGTTGAATTGTTGTCACCAACTTCTCTTTTGTTGTTATACAGGCGTCAATAACCCAAATCGGCAGGACTTTGACTGGCCGTAAAGCAAGTTTTATCTCTATCACAAAGTTCTAACTGTCACAAGCCTTTGACTTGGTCTTCATGACGACTAGCATCGCCCTTTGACAGTGTTTCCGATTTCATAAGTACCAAATATTCTTACTTTATGACATTACCATATAATGATATTGTTTTCTGGTACTCTTTGGTGTTTTATCCATTGCATTGTCCAGTGAAGAAAGCTTGACTTGAAATCACATTATACAGAATACGGCTCTAATCTTATATATTACTTTGGTCGCCCCTAAAAGAAAATTCAGTCCCAAAGACTCATTTCTCTAAAGTCGCTACTCAGCGGTTCGTGGTCTATCGTTACAAGCGCGCCGGCTTATCATCTCACATATCTCCGCGCTTCACGTACCACGCCCCCCACTTATCGTAGCCTACAAGTACCAGCACACCCTCCTATTTCCCTAAGATACACCCCCCTTGGATTAAGTTAATAACGGATAGCAGACGGTCTGTATAGTAAACGGAGAAGTCAAGACACCCCGTATTGTTTGATCCCCCAAGCTATGAGACTATGACGAAGGGGGGTGAAAAAGCCGAACCACTGTGATCGAGACAGACCTACCCTTGCTCAGCTACCTTAATTACACACCTATTATTCCCCATTTCACTAATGAATATGTCATTCTCTAGGCTGGGGCTTTGAAGGTCCTCAAAAGTTTGTGCAGCCTCACTTTGTGACTATCGGCATCGTGCTATCTATTACGCCAAGGCATCCTAACAGCCCTACTATGAGAGCCAATATATCAATAGGCGATATTCCAGCCGCTTGCTTTTCAGTGCTAGGAGTACTCCAAACAGTGGAAATATATGTGACTTCCAATTCTCGACCGATAAGCACTCAGGACATGTTACGATGTCTAACTAAGCTGTCTCTATCTGATACGGTATGAACGAGAGAGGCCAAACTGTGAGAAGTCGCCGCCTAGAATACTCCAAAGAGCTTCAGTTGCCACTAGGGAAAGGAACATTCCAGTCACAGGCCAGGGTTGAGCAAAAGATAAGGCTTTCATGATCGCCGATTGCCCAAAAAGCACCGCCCTAGAATTGACACGTGTCTAAAGTTTGAATAAATGCCTTCACTTTAGTCTTGCTATGATTCCAGGCTCCTCGTTGAATAAGTTGGCTTTACACGCCTATGGTGGGTGATGAGAAACGGGTTCGTCAGAGTCCCTTGCCATATTCTATCTCGGCGAGCACACCAGGGTCCACCCACCTAGCCTGACCTGTCACCGAGCATTACAGCTCGTATTCCTTGGAATGTGGCGTCAAACTCCTGTCTGACTTGTCTAGCCAGTTCATTGAGTCTTACTGACCAGTGAACGGAACCCTTGTACATACGAGCCTGGCTGATAAGTTCAGATTTCCATGACACTTAGTGCAACAGCGCCAAAAGAGCACTATGCGCCTTTAGAAAAGCGTACCAAGTGGGAGCAGGTCTTTGTCCTGTAGCAGAAAGACGATGGGGCGAAGCGGGCAGCCTTGATAATCAGCTGAATGTTGCCTATCCTACTTAATCCAGTGTGCATCCATCATCTTCTGCTTCAGACCCCAGTCTTACTCGCCCACCCTTACAGATGCACCTTGAAAAGATGGTGCGCCATCTACATTCCCTGTCGGAAGCAAGCCCGGGCAACCAGCCCGCCGGCCATGAGTCTACATGTGGAACAGCTGGCTCATTCAGCTCGTCGAGGTGGGCAGACCACCCGCATGACAAAAAAGATGGCACACCTAAAGTACTTTCTCACACCACATCTAAAGACTATTAACATGTGTTTTTTCTTATACTAACACAGCCACAAGACGCAGTTAGGATATAGGAAAAATATATGTGATAGTAGGCAGAACACACTGATATTAATTCTGACTATTTGATATATGTATATCTATGTATTTATGTTTAGTGCTGTGCTGTTTATAACAGTGCATAGAGTGTTTAGGTGTGCCATCTTTTTTGTCATGCGGGTGGCAGACCCAAGCTTGAGACCTACCAAGGGTTAATTTGTTCCCAGATCTACTGATGGAATGCCATCAGGCATAGGCAATGCGACACATGCGACAGGGGTCCATGATTCGGCGCTTCTGGGAGCGTTTATCGATGTCGTGCAGAAATGTCAGGAGAGGCTCGCATATCGAGAAAGGTCAGCCGAGCAAGTCGAGATGGAGAGGAAAGCGGCTTTTTCACCTGTTTTGCTCTTGTCAGGTTCGGAGGCTTCAAGCTTCAACTTGAGAAAATACAATGATATGAGACGAAAAAGATCCGTTGCAGTTTCAAGCTTAACGTTTTCTTGTGATTGTGAAAAATATTTAACTCCGGCAGAGAGCCGATCACATACTGCTCATGCTCTTCAACATAACTATTGCGATAGCCCTTTCAAATGCCCACCATGTAAGCCAACCCTCAATCTTGAGTGTTGGTCCATCTGCACCCTACAGATAACCAAAGCTTGGTTAAATTAGAGAAAAATCGAAATCGTCCCCTTTCCTCCATAGATTGGCAGGCTACAATACACACTTGTTTTATCGTTACTGATTTCGTGGTTGCTTTCGAACCACAAGCATGACGCTTTACAGTACTTCCCAAAAATACTTATCATGCGCAGAGCTGGCACTTCCTGGGGAATTGGAATACCTGCGGCAGCATCGTCATCGTTCATTTGTTACACCGCTATCGCTCTACACTAAGCGTGTCCAGCAAACGACCTGCTCATCAACCCTAACTTCGAATGAAATGGGCTTCACATATGAACAGTATGGCAATGCCGTATTTCTATGGGGCTATTTTAGTAGCTGTCTAAGAATAGGCAGCGCTCTACACAGCACCCGTCAGAAAAAGTATGTGGGTAAGCAGCTTCCAGTTCGACTCCCAGCCTGCTGTGGTATGGCGTTATTCCTCGCCCTGCATCCAGGTCATCGAGGTAAAGGCCAACAAGATCCTGGTCGCTGCTTTATTAGACCCCAAGCGCCCCCAACCTTGTAATAGCATCTCCAAGCTTTGATGTCGGCGTGTCCGATTCTGAACGTCTCCGAAGTCTCGGCGTCAAAAGGACGCTTCAAGGCACTCGGTGTCGGCACCATAACCTTCCAACAGCAAGCACATCTATGCCCTTCGCTACGATTCGAATATGACGAAATAACGAAGAAGTTTCAGAGCATCCAGGACCCACAATCGGTGGCTGTTCCGCGGGCAACGGACATGGAAGGTTGCCTACATCGTCATGTCAGCAGGCGACCCTGTTTCACCGCAAATTCGCTCTGCTAGTCTCGCTCAACAACGCACAGCGGCGCAGACCCGTTCAAGAGGATGATCAGTTTGAGGGACAAGGGTGAACGGAACTCTTTTTGATCCTTACATTGGGTCCGTTCCCTGACCGGTCTGCCACCTGACTATGGCTCGGGCAGTGCATTGAGAAGTGATGCTGTCGGTCCTGGACTCGTAAGCTGTATTGGCGACCAGTGAGGCGCCTTTTTCTTCCTTCTGGAGATAGTCTTCGTTGCACTTTCTGAAGCTGACCTATCAGTCATTGATCAGATGTCATTTACTCCTCCGAAGCACTTTCTCGCGAAGAAACGGCCCGCTCCCTGCCGACCATAGCTTTCAACAAACGTCACCTTTTTCGTGCGTACGAAGCGTTTCGCTGGCCCTGTTTTATCGGTTCGATGTCGATGGCTCGAATAATCATGTCATCTCCGATCTCGGTCTATACGGGCAGACATGGCCTTCAGGGATGCCACAGACTCACGATGGACTGTCGGCGATTACCTCGACATTTATAAAAGAAGGCAAAGAATCCAAGGAATCGAAGAGCCTTCATGAAGCATCAAACGTACCACATCTGGATTCGAGAGGAATGCCTAGTTATTTGTTCTGTCAACTTTCTGCTCGCTCTGCTCCCTTGCTATTCAACGTTCATCCCCCAGCCTATTTGTCATGTCCGCCAACATTGATTTGATTCGGGGTGCCGATGGTCAACTGTTATATAAGGCCAGCGATGGCCACTGGTATCTTTATTCTTCGTTGGCCTACTCAAGCCCATCTTACGGGAGGGGCCAGCAGTGCCTGCAAGACTCGATCCCTCCCCAACACTCAACACAGCATGAAGAGTTGCAGTACGATGACGAGTATTGTGAAGCTGGAAGGTACTTGACATGATTTCCAAGAAGTTGTTAGAGCTAACGTGTGTAGCTTCCAGGGAGATTCGCACTATAACGATGACTCTCGTAAAGCAACTTCATCTAGACGAGGGCAATCCCAAACGAGGGTACGCGAGTATGTGAATGATCAGATTAAGGATAAAAAATACCGAGACGAACCATGCGACAACTCTCGGTCGAGGCGTCGAATACACAAGAAATCCACCAAGAAGAATATTGATGAGATACTCAAGCCGTTTCAGAGTTAGAGATGGCAAAGGGTAACATACAGGGTTTGTATTATGTTATCAGAGGGCATATCGTCTCTGGGAAGGAAAATACCGGTCTGTTTGACAAGCGGGCACTCATAGATGGTGGTTGTATTGGTTTTGTGATTGGGGAACAGCCAGGCCTCTTTTTCTTCTTCTTTGTGGCGTTCTGTTGCTTCTGTTTGATTTTTCTTGACTATTTCGCCAAGTGTTTCAATTCTCTTTTATTTCAGCTTTCGTACCCCAACCAGGAGGAATACCATGCTCACTTGCGAGATTATCAAAGTGGTTATCGACGTGGGATACTATATCTAGTATATCTAGCACGAGACAAGTTTCACGCCAGCCTCTTGAATATGATTAAAGGAGTTTGATAGTGTTGACCATGACACAAAACAAGTCCACTATAGGGTTGTTCAGCTGGACTGGAATTTCATAGCCAGTATCCAACTGAGGTCTAGTATTTTACAGTTCTAGTCTCTACATCTAAATTCTATACAGCCCTTTTAATGATCTGATCTAGTCGCTTTCATCTTCATTTGACTCTTAGTCAACTCTCAGACGCTTCTGGCCGTTGCCGTTGGCATGGCCGTTGGTCTCGTCCTGCGCAGCAAAGTATTCCAAGCTGCCCTTGGGGTCAGCCTTCATGCCCTTGCTGCCGTTCTGCCAGCCTGCGGGGCAGACCTCCCCGTGCTCGTCGGTGAACTGGAAGGCCTCGACCAGACGGATAGTCTCCTCGACATTGCGGCCGACGGGAAGATCGTTGACGGTGATCTGGCGGAGGATGCCCTTGGGGTCAATGATGAACAGACCACGAAGAGCGACGCCCTCCTCCTCGATCAGCACGCCATAGTCACGCGAAATCTTGTGAGACTTGTCGGCGACGAGGGGGAGCTCGAGATCCGAGCCAAGACCGCCCTGCTTGCGGGGCTTCTCAGTCCAGGCCAGGTGGGAGAAATGGGAGTCGGTCGAGACACCAAGGACGGTGGTGTTGATGGCTCGGAAACGAGGGAGCGCATCGTTGTACTGGATGATCTCGGTAGGGCAAACGAATGTGAAGTCAAGGGGGTAAAAGAGGAGGACGACCCTACAGGAATAGCGGTGTTAGCTTGTTGTCTCATTCGGCCCGCATTTTTCCAAGACCCCTCGGTCCTCTGGAGTTTTCTCACCATTGTCCAAGGTAGTCGGACAGGTTGATGTCCTTGAACTCGCCGCCAGGGAAGACGGTAGTGGCCTTGAAGCCAGGGGCAGGGCGCTGAACGAAGGCGGAAGACATTGTGGGCTGAGTCTGTGAGTTCGTACGGAGACACGTGGAGCAAAGAGCTGATGTGGATGAAGTAGTGACAATAGCAGCTGCGTTGGGAGGCGGAAATTTTCCTTATCTAGGTTTCACTGAGCTTGAGCTCTTCCGACTCGGATGCCGAGTTTGTGGATACCTTCTTTGTGTGGGTTCCACATATGGTCCCATTCTCATCTCGCTAATCGCTGGGGTGATCCAGCGATAACCACTTCACGCGTCGCGTGCATGAAACTATCACGACATGTATGAAACAAATACTTCGGGCAGAGTTGAGTTCCACGATACGTACTTGAATATTGTGTCGTTATTTTTCTCTTCTTTTCTTTTCTATCTATTTTGACCGCCTATGTTATTGAAGCTTCCCTGTAGTCATCTGGTGCACCTGAATACTGACTGCCTTGCTAGCTATGAATAATGTCTTGTTTGACACAGCAACTAACAAAATCACTGGCCTTGTTGACTTTAACTTTTCCTACATTTCCCACTCCTTTCAGGAGTTTGTTGAGTCTTTCAGTGACATAGGAGGAAACATCAACGGAGGTCCTAGTCCGGATCATACAGAAGATCACCTTTTGAAGGCTTTGCTCACGGGGTCGTTTGAGGTTGATAACCTACCGGCTGAGGCTTATGACCTATGGGCAGTCGCCAAAGCTTGGGACGCAGCCCTAGCGGCGAGAAATGCACTGAAGCCAAGCAGGATTGCTGGTATATCCGTTTTGACTCAGCTAGCCAAGCTTGAGGGACTTTTGTGCCCGTTCAGATTGGCGCACCCTGTGTTCCTCAAGAGGATGACGCCGAAACAGGTTGCCGAGGAGCGAGCTGCGGCGGAGGAAGCGTTGGTGACTTGTCTTGGTTCGTTGGGATTTTAACCTGACACCTAGGCGTAGTCGTCCACTATAGTTCTTATTCCAGCTGTGTAGAGACCTGCTATACAATGTAGCCTAGGCCTGTTATTGTTGAAGAAAGCAAGATGGATGTCAACCATGCGTGACCGCTGCAGGCGTACCTCTGTGACGGAGCCAGGTTGAGTGTCAGCATCATAGGTGTGTCAATTGATGAGTTTAGGCACGGAGCCTGGGTTCAAACATTAGGTGGTTATGTGGTTGCATTCTTCAAGTTGCCCTGATGGGCGGAGGAGGAAGCTGCCCTCCCCACTTATCCATCCAGATCTGGCCGTGGCATCCAACACATGAATCTCAACTGCTATGCTCTCTGGCTTGATATAGGAGAGCCGCACTAGTCTATAAAACCTTTAGGCCTTTAGCTAACATAACATTTTAGAATGCGGATCTCTTCATAACTATTATCTCGTCTGTTAACAATATTATCTACAGCTTTAAAGGCGCTAGTGCATTTGTTCACAGAAGAAGAACTAGAGGGCTAGTAGAGTTTAAAAAGACTAGCTGGTAGGATCCAGTAGAAGCCTCGAAATGTGCAGACTAAACAAGTAGACTTCTAAGACCCTTAGGTAGAGCGTCTCTTAATTCCTTAGAAAAGGTTACCTAGTAAATACAGCAACAGTTCTTACTACCTCTCCATGACTAATAGTAAGTAAGCAAATAGAAAAACTAATAGGACTACGTTTCGCCTAGTTATTAGGATGCTAGAATTTATAGAGGCAATAAGGGGGCTCTGTCACATACTAGGTATAAGAGCTAGAGGTTATTAACTAGATAGACCTTACACAAATACGGTACTCCTGGGCTGACAAGAACCACATCTCGTGTTTGGCCCTCAAAGCATAAGCATGGTGCATCTTGTGCTGTCATGAGGCGGTTATAGACGTAGGCACAGGCTACTCTAGCAGGGCTTCGAATTTTCTAATAGAAGACCGAGATAACGCAAATATAATCTATTACTGTTGCGATGTTAACTATCGCCTAGATATCAGCGGTATGGATTAACGCCAAACAGCCGGAATAACTACGGCCGATTTGCCGTAGATCTACTAGATCCATAGTGATATTACACAGTAGATTTACTACGTAATCCTATAATAGTTTCCTTCTTTATATATAATTTAGAACTAGTATTTACCCCTATTATTTATTACTGCCTGTTAATATATATAGTTAACTATATTACTAACCTAGTAAAACTAACACTAATTAGTAGTTAACTTTACTATAACTACTACTAAAAATACTATAGATTAGTAAGGTATTATAAAAAGAGGTAATAACGTTATTAACTACTTATAGAGGCCTAGAGTAGGCCCTACTAAAAAACGTTACTATAAATACCCTTATAACGCCGTTATATTATACGCCTTTATAGGTTAATTACTAAAATAATAATACCTAACCTCCTATAGTTAGTAAAGGCCTAGTAATTTACGTCTATATATATAAGCCTTATTACTTTATAAAAAGCACTTTTAACTATAAAAAACACCTTACTTTACATACTAACTTATTATTAATTAGTAATTATTTACTTTTTACCTTTTTTTTATTATAAGCCTATAAAGCTTACTAACTTTTTTTTTTAAATATTTTTTTTATTTTTCTTTAAGTTATTTTATATTACTAAGGTAATAGCCTTTATTATCTATAAGCCTATTATAAGCCTTCTTTTTCTAAGTTTTTATTTAACTATAAGTCTTTATAATTACTTATACTACTAGTAGTAAATCCCTTAATAGACATATACGCCCTTTAATAGTAGTTAAGGGAAACGCCTATAACTAAGAGGTAGTTAGGCTAATAGAGGGTAATTATAAGTAAGTAACTAAGATAAGCTACTAAGGTAAAGAAGGCGTAAGTGACGTATAGGGTAACAACACTACTAGGCAGCTGTAAGGAAATAGAGACCTAGAGTACTTAAGTACGCTTCTGTCTTGTTCCTCTAACATTAGAGGAAGCAAGACTAGACCTTTTTGTCTAGTTGGTTGTTAACTAAGTAATTATCTTACAGTAGCCTAGGGTAATTTACCCTAAGTACGTACTACTACCTAACGTAGCTAAGTAAGCAGAGGTAATTATAAGTAAATACTAAGTGCTAGAAGGGCTAGAAAAGTTTATCCTTACTAACTAATAGTAAAAGGACTATATTACTAAGTTACTATAAGATCTTATAGCTACTAAGAAGAGGAATACGCTTACTACTATTACTACGTTCTATATCTCTAAGTATAAATACTATAACTACTTATATAGTATCCTCTAAAAGAAGGCATAATTTAACTTAGAAGACTAGTTAACTAAGGACTTTATAGTGTTACTATATAAGGTAACTAAGGAGTTATATAACTACCTTACTAGTTAAAAAATATAGATTAACTAATTAAAGAATTTAATAGTTATATTATAACTTTATAAGGCTACTTATAATAATAAGTAAGTTATATAAAATAAGGAAATAATAGCTACTATTACTTATAAAACTAAAGGGTTTAAGAAGTAGCTAATAAATACTAATTTCTATAAAGATATTACTAATATAATAGTGTTACTTATTAAGGCTATACTTATAGCTAAAGTAACTAAGCAGGTAGTTACTTATAAATTACTAGTAATTACTAAGGTAACCTTATATAATAATTTATTATTTATACCTCCTTTAGCCTTATTACTATAGAAACCCTAGATAATAGTAATAATATATAAAGCCTAAGTCTAGCTACGTTTTTTAACTATAGTAACGCCTGCTATAACTACTACTATAATAAATAAGTAAAATAGCTTAACGCTAAGGTAATTAATAGACTTAATAAAGTTCTATATAAATAACTTAGGTTTAATATATAGTAGTAGCCTATATAAGACTATTAACTTAAAGTTACTATTTTTTTATAATCTTTATATCTATATAGGCATACTATAAAACTACTATAGCGTAGTAGTAATAGTAATACTTAAAGGGGGGCTATATAAGTATTATACTACCTTATTACTTAGTTATTTTAATAATTTTAACGTAATAATAGTAAAGCTTAAATAACGCTTTAAAGGTAATAAAGTACACCTTTTACGCCTTACTAAGCTTTACTATACCTCCTTTAACTTAATTACTAAAGAAAACGCTAGTAAGAGTAAACTTAAAGTGCTTAAAGCACTTATTATATAAATTACCTAGCTAGTATAAGTAACTACCTATAACATCACCTTATATAATAAAGATTACTATAAGTAATTACTTACTTACTACTATAGTATACCTAAATACTTTATTACTATTCTTAATTTACCTCCTACCTTTAGTAGCCTTTATATATAACTATATAGTAGTATAGTAAATTTACTTCTTTACTATAAGCTATAGTTATACTTTATTACTAGTAATAATAGTAGTAATAATTAATATTAAGTTAACTATAAGTATAATAGCTAGTGTAACTATAGGGTAGACCTCTAGAGATAGTAAGGCTAGTTATAAGGCCCTCTATAGTTAGCTAGTAGTAAAGCACTATATAATAGTAATCTATCTAAAAAGTGTTTTATTTATAATAAATTAGGCTATTAGTTAACTAAATATATAAAGGAGGAGTAATAAGCCTCCTTTACTAAGTATAAGAACACCTACTATATAACAGCCTTAAAGACTACTTTTAGTTACTTTCTAACTAACTATAAGGGTAATAAGCTACTTTATATTAAAGAAGTAAGTAATAATAAAGAAATCTACTTATTAGATAGTAAAAACTATAAATCTACTACGTTTTTTATATCTACTATATACTTTATTAAGTAGTTAATTAACAGCCTATCTACTTATAAAAAGTTATATAACTAGGCGACTTTTTATACTATTACCTATAAAAATCTATATAAAAAGGCACCACCTAATCTAACTATAAAAAGTAGTAATATATTTATATTTAATAACTACTACTCTATGTTAACATTTTAAGGTATTATGCCTAATACTAGTGTAGCTAAAGTATTTATAGCTAGCTAATAATAGTACCTTATACTTAAGAAACACCTTAGTAAGAGGATCCTATTAGATACTACCTATACTAGTAAAGTAATAAT